CCATCTTGGGTGTACCGGCGGCCATTTTGAGCATCCCGGCGGCCATTTTGGGTGTACCGGTGCCCATTTTTTGTGTTCTGGTGGCCATCTTGGGTGTACCAGTGGCCATTTTTTTTTGTTCCAGCAGCCATCTTGGGTGTACCGGCACCCATTTTTTGTGTTCTTGCAGCCATTTTGGAGCAGCAGAACAGCTGTTCCCCCATCATAATGCGAGCGTGCCCTCGCATTAGCGATGGGGAAATCCGCATCGCAATGCGGATTCATCGTTCAACGGTGCACTCGTTATACGAGGCACCACTGTACTCTTTTCAGAGTCTTCCAGGTAGAAAATAGTCAGATGTGGTTTATCATTCCCTTCTTCTGGGGCAACCTGGGACTGTGCAGCTTGCCCAAGGCCACACAGGCTGGGCTCCTCAACCTGGAGACACAATGGGGAATCAACCTCCCAGTCTCTGGTTCTTTATAGCCAGATACATAAACCACTGAACGTTCCAGCCAGTTAATTTTTATTTATACAGCATCTTATATTTGCATCATAACTGAAGTAGACTAACATACAACAGCAGAATACAAGTAGTGAATTTATGTTCCTTGGCCTTGCTGTAATCTAAGAGCAGTTTTGGAAGTTCTGAATCTACAGAAAGAGTACTGCTTTCTGTACAGGAACACCACACTGGAATATCTGATGCATCTACATGTGCTTTACAGCAGAAAGTTACACAATATGAAATAGCACAAGCTGACAAAACAGCAAGCAATAAGTGAAAAACACGATTGCCTGTTAGAAAAGTGGATATATTGTTTATAGTAGACACTGAGGAATTTTAAACTGGGAGGGTAAGGTGAGGAGAGAAGGGGACAGGACAAGAAAAAAAAATCTACCAACAGGACAGATACTCTGTTTTCACAAAAAAAAAAAAAGTCTCTTGCAACCATCCTGATAAGTACAGGAAATTCTTGTTCATATGAATGTCCTCGACAGCAGAGAACAACATGTGGTCTTTTATCAAACAGACACAAGTCCACATGAGTGCTTCAGAATGGAAGAGAAGAAAAAATCCAGCTCACACCCCAATTATCTCTAGGAGGAGCATGGCTGTCTTCTGTTCAAGACAGATACTTCCCTACAGGAACAAATCAATGGTAGAAGTAATACTTGCACTTCATATTCCAGATGTATTGGTTGGGGTCAGAGAGAAAGTGATAAGATTCCTCCCTTTCTTTGCCCTGACTTTCTTCTCCATATATGCCTTTTTTCCGAAAAAAGTTGCTGGTTGTTTTGGACTAACCTTGAGATGATATTCCTCTATCAGGCCTTGAAATGCTAAAATACTGTATTAATTACTTAATGCACAATACTAAAAACACAATCAATTACAGATTAAAAAACAATTACACTACAATAATTTAAAATCCATCAAGTAATTAAAGCATTAGATACTTTAAAAACAAAATTAGAAAAACCACGATCAAGAGACTCAATAATGGTTATTAAAAGCCTGCCTGAAGACATGGGTCTTCGAATGCTACAATAATGGGATACAATAATTTTAAAATTTATCTAAACATTTAAAACTTTAAAAATACCCTTAAAAGGAACATACACCCAGCACCCATGAGGAACCCAATCTTAGTTTTGAAAAGCATGCCTAAAGAAGCAGGTTTTTAACAGTCATTGGAAGGATAAAAAGGAAAGGCCAACTTAATCTCGTTGTAGACAGAATTCCACAACCTGGGGGCATCCACAGAGAAGGCCCTCTTCTATATCTCTGTTGAATGCTCCTGTGATGGAAGTGGGCCCGAGAGAAGCCCTTTGTTAAAGATCTTAAGGGCCAGGAAGGTTCATATGGAGAGATCTAGTCCTTCAGATAGCACAGACCCAAACCAACAGGGCTTTATAGATCATAAACAGCACTTTGAATTGGGCACAGAAGTTGACCGAGGTGAAAACAAATTGCTTGGCACAGACAATAGCCATGACAATGAGGGTGAGATCCTTAATGATGCCATAACTTGGACCCAGCATACATCTGGTAACCCACGGCTTCAGGTGTTAGAAAAGGAACATGTCAACCACAACTTTGCACTAGAAAGAAAATAAAAAGGCCTCAAAACTTGGACGACCCCTACTGCAAGTAAAAGTGTACCAAGAACTTTCAGCAAAGAAAGACACAAACCCACCTCATAAAAGAATTCCTCTTCAGCATTTGAAAACATGAGCTCCTCTTTCTGGTGGGTACTACTTCCTTTTTTCTTAACACCACTCTTCTTATCGGTAAAGGTTTTGCTAATTAAAAGATAGTAGTAGCATCTTCCACAAGGCTTGTTTGTTCTCTGCGCTTCTATCAATTCTTTCCTAGAAAGAAAAACACGTTCACGTGAAAAGTTCCTTCATTCTCTGTTCAGAGCAATGCATAAAGATCAAGTGTAAAGCGTTTGTATGGTACTCCATCCTCACACTAGTGCATCAAACACTGTCAGCCTATTTCTGAAATATTGGGTGCATTATTATTATTAGTTTTATTTAAATGCTGCATTTCTCCCCAAAAGAGAAATGCATTAGTACAACAGGGCTGTCTTGTGTGCTGATGCAATTCTTAGATGAGCCCATCAGCATATTTCTCTTCTATGCAAGGTGGGCAGAAAACATTCTGAGCACAAATTTTTTGTTGGGCAGAACATCATTACGGAGCATAAAAGTAAGGAAATACCTGTTTCTCCATCATATTCACACTTGGAACCAGATTTAGTCAAGTGCAATTGGGTTAGCAGAAGCAGATTTTCCACCCACTCCTCCCCACAACAACCCCATGGGAGCTCTGCGAGTATTATACAGAGGCTATGGCAGGGGTCCCCAAGGGGTGCCAGTCCATGGTCATGGCAGGACCGGGCCGCAGACAGATCTCCCACACCCACCTGTGGGTGCCCCTCCCCTGCGTGAGCACATCCCTCCCCTCCACGCACAGATCCCACCCTCCCAACCAGTTCAGAAAAGGTTGGGGACCACTGGGCTATGGGGACCCTGCCGAATAGGATAAACTGTGGATGACAGTTGGGATGGGTATGGAATCCCCCTCCAATTTAGTGGAGGCACATTCTGAATGTAGAGTCCTTCCGACTGCTGGAAGGTAGATCCTACATTGTCTTTCTCCATCCTATCCTACCCTAGGAAATGAAGCTGATTTGTTGAAACAGAATGAAGAACAGAAAACAAATAAAAATCTTTTTTCAGTTGCTTCTAAGTTACTTTCACTAACTTACAGCAAAAGGAGGAATGGAAAGAAATTGTGAAGTTGTGAAGATTTCAAAAAATAATTCAAAGTTTCAGAAATGTTCAAATTAATTTCTAGAATCTCTCTCTCCTTCCAGTCAGAAAGAATAAGTTACTACATCAAAATATTAATGGTTAGGAAAATGTACACTTTTTTTTAAAAAAGAGGGAATTCTGTTCCACTTATAACCTCTCAAAACTGGTCTAAAAACACATCTGTTTAGACCCAATACATTTTTGCATAATTTTAAGCATAATTTTCAGTCTCTGTAAAGCGACCGCATATAAGTAAAACTATCAATTGATATTATGTGAAACAGTACATGTTTGTACCAAAGGCTACTACTTAAGACAAGACTATAATGCTGGTTTCTTCTTCCCAGGTTCTGTTCTTTATATCTACAGTTTTCTTTTATCCTCCCATTTTATACATTTCCATTTAAATAAGGTTACAGAGGCCATCCAAGGTAAAAATTGCAATTTAAAAAAGATCTTGGAAAGTGCTTACTGCAGTTGTTGGTGCATGGGCAGAGCGATCTGGGGAGGTACATTAATGAATCTTTCACTTAACAGTAAGCCCACAGGCTTGGAAGTGTCACTTAGTAGCTTATCCAGCTGTTCGACCACATTCTGTTCACAGTTCTTCTCACACTGGCTTAAAACCAGCTCTTTAATTTGCTCAGCACATTCAGTACCCTAGGAATCAAAGGACAGATTTTTTTTTTGCAATATAGAATAATTATTTACATTAGTCAACTTGAGAAAAAAAAGCTCCTGGGCATTGTTTTATGGCACTTTTGGCAATGTCTTGCTGTGCCTTCTAATAATTTGTAGAAACTTGTTTTTAAAAAATTAGTTAATCCTTAGAAAAAGACATGGGGGGTACTGACAGGATGAATAAAATGATGAGCAAGTATTTGCTTTCTACTACTGCTCAGAGTCACAAAAACAGCCACATGAGTAATGCATACTGACCAAAAAAGGCTGAAATCCTGTTGCATAACATGCAAGGGGAGATTTTTGGTAATCAAAAACTACCATGTACTAAAAGAGTTTACACGAGAGTTGGAAAAGCTATGAGATAGACGTGGGAAGTTTTCTATTGCAGAAAATCACCCCCTGCTGGAGACATCATCACTCTTCCACAGGCATAACTTACACAACAGGATTTCAGTCTATATGAATGAACACACTGAATAAATTGACTAGCACAAATAAAAGTGACAAATAAATGCTCTTTAAAATGCTTTTTAAAAATTACAGTACTGCCAACCTGAACAAAAATATAACCCAAACGGGAAATGTATATGCTACTGGTAACAAGAAAAGAGCATCTATTTGTGTTACTGATCAGTTCTTTGTAAACAATACACAGTACTTATGTTTTGCTGTTACAAATGGGAATAAATACTGTACTTTCAAATTTTAAGAATTAAAAAATGCTTGGTTCTACTGAGTTTACTGATGACATCATTCTATTACCATCATAATCTTTCCTCACTGAAATAAACTTCTGTTCATCACAGTGATTTGCACAGCTCTTTTACTTAGGCACAGAAGGTTTAATGTACATTAGCAACATTGATGTCATTAAGAAAACAGTGCCATAATTCATTTAAGAGACTTACTCCAAGACCAAATTATACTCAACCATTAGTTCTTTGCAAAAATAAAAAGCCCATGACTATTTACATTTTTAGAAGCATTCTCTCCCCCCCACACACACTTTTGTAGTTTTCGCTTAACACTATCTGCATATGGTCAACTTCTTTTGTTTAACATACTGCTTTAGACTCCAAGCAAACTTAAGTCTTCTTATCTTCAAACAAAATTATATCTTAATGAGAAGAATTTCAAGTTGCAGAAGTTATATTTTTTAAAAATACTATAATCAGTTTTAAAATAATATAAATAAAAATGCAATATAATTTCATGTGTAAACTCACATATATTTGTAATGACCCATCTTCTGGATTATCAAAATAGGTTAATGATGCTTTTATCAGAAACACATTAGTAATACTAACCTTTCTTTCAGTCAGGTTTAAGAGGCTTATAAAGCCAAAAATCTCATCATCATCTTCATCATCACTTTCTTCTAAAACTTCTGCCTGCTATTTAATAGAAGATAAAGGGTAAAAAATAAATAGATATTTATTCCCTTAAGCAGTCTATGAAGAATTTTACTCATCTAAAGTATTTTAGTATCATAACTGACTAGCACACAGTCTTACTTATTGTTATGATTTTTAATCTTGCTTTTACAGTAAAAAATACTGCTAAAGGTGACTAACAAACATCACTAAAACAAACTGAACAATAAAATATTTAAAGTCATCAAAATAATCAGCAAGAGGAACTTATTTTCTTCAGTAACACCTTTACTTAATAAAAGGAGTTAAATGCTATTTTTCCTGGCCATGCCTCAAAAAACAACATATGATATAGGACCAGTATCTGAAAGGCGTATAATTATTGTGATAAAATTGCTCTCAATCACACTAGCCATTTATACTCTTCAGAAAGAATACAGAACAGAAAGCCCAGCCATGCAAGTAATGTGGGACAGCACCGTTTGTACAAGTGGTGATCCCTGTGAAGAAAACCTATCCAGCACTCACAAATGCAATGGCTAGACGTGATCCTGTGCTAGCATCATGTTTTGTTCAGTGGAAGTGCAACAAAATATTGTTTACATGCTTAACCAAATATAAATCATATTAAACACGGAGGCGCTTATGGCCACGTAAACATACATAAAATGGCACTTTTCTGCCTTCTTGCAGCATATTTCACATGAATAATACCATCTCCACCTTCAATCTTAACCACTTATTCTACAGCTCAGAAGTCAGCTAATATAGATAAGAATACTGTTAAATGCTGAGATAGCCCAGTTCCTGAAAAAGCAAGCTTTTAGAATATTTTTGTAAAAATGAAGACAGTATTTTCTACCAAGTGTTCATTTGTGATTCTACAGGTGCTTCATCAATTTTCTTCTAAACCAGTGATTCCCAACATTGGGTAACCCAGGTGTTCTTGGACTGCATTCCCCAGAAACCTTCACCACCAGCTGTGCTGGCTGGGATTTCTGGGAGTTGCAGTCCAAGAAAACCTGGAACCACTAAACTATATACTACTGTACACTTAAACAAGTGAGTGTGCAACACAGTCAACTTGGTCTACTTCAGAACAGTGATGAATTTACCCTATTGTTCTACTAGTTACTCGAAATGGTAAAACCACAACTACATTCTTTACTTATCTAAAATATACCAAAATCTTGGTTCGGCCTCCTTGCTATTAATTGACTTTCTAGTTATCTTGCAAAAATCCTCTCTCTCTGAATAACACAAAAGCAATATAAAAGCAAAGCAGCAGGTTACCTCCTTAAGATGAATGGATATTTCTTATGTGTTTGTTCCAGGTGCCTACTGGACACTGTGTATGATGAGTTATAAGTCTATGCCTAAAGCAGGATGAGGATGGCTCTTATGTGTGTGTGTTTTTTTCAGAAAATGAAAGTAAGGATGCACAAACATTAGTAGATACTTGAAAGACTGTCTCACCACACACGGGCCAGATGATTAAAGGTTTTGCTCTGTATCCCAGGACGGGTGACTGCTGAGATGTTAGAGGAGGCCTTCCTTGTGGCCACTCCCAATCCATGCCCAAGGGAAGTTTAGTAAGTTCTCTCTGTTTGTCTTTCACAACCTGGCTAAAACGCTGGCTTTTCTGAAAGTGCTGACCCTGTGGCATTGAGGACATTTTACAAAACAGCCCTTTTTAAGGGCTACTAAGAAACACTTGCTACCATTTATTTCTGCTTTAAAATGCTTTTTAGTGTTACAGTAGTTTTTTTAAAAAAATATTCATGTAAGTTACACCACCCAACATAATGTAAGCCACAATCTTGAGTTTGCAAGAGATAAGCAGGACTATTAATGTCAGAACATCTTTGAAGCCACTTATTCCTATGATAATGGAATCAATTACCTTGGAAGGTGGTGAGTGCTCCAATGCCAGATGCACTCAAGAGAAAATTAGACAATCATCTATCAGATCTGCTTTGATTTGGATTTCTGCACTGAGCAGGTGATTGCACTTGATGGCCTTATAAGCCTCTTCTAACTCAGTTATTCTATGATTCTATAGGGTTGCCATAAGACAGAGGTGACTTAATGACACATAACAAGTCACTTTAACCACTGCTTAAAAATTAGAAGGGTAGAGTGTGAGGCTCCCAAGATGGAGGCAATCAGCAAGTCACGTTAACCACTGCTTAAAAATTAGAGGGTAGAGTAAAAGGGTATAAATTTTTTTTGAAAAATAAAACAAGTATACTTTGTGTTTTCCTTTCATCAATAACAACCTGTTTTCAATTTCCCTTAGAAATTAAAATGGACTAGACTAGGAGTTGTTTGAGAGGTTCTCCACTACAAACTAGTTCTTTGACCCCTAAAATGTGTTTCCACCTTTTATTCTTTGTTTTGCAACAATTAGTATGTTCCCAGTGCAGGATTAAGGCTACGGCTACAGCAACTGCAAAAAGGAAGGCCATTGTATTGTTCCTCAGAATATTTATGTCTACATTTTTTATTAAGATGGCCCCCCTCAAGAGCAAGCAGCCTAGTGTGCTTCAGGTGTTTTGGATTACAGCACTGAGAAGCTCCCAGATAGCACAGCCAATAGTCAGAGATTATAGGTACTTGAATCAGAAAAACATAAGAGGGCACTAACTTGCCCACTCCTGGCCTGCATACAGCATGTGTGCTTCAGTCCCAAAGGCTGTATTAGGAAAAACAGCGAGTGTACCTTGCTAACTCACCATAGATATGTGCTACAAATTATCACCATTCTACTGTAAAAAAAAAACAATGTACTAAAGAAAGACAATTAGAAGATAACTCACCTTGATAACACTCCCAATATGATTTTGTTGTATCAAGATATCTGTCAGTTCACCTGTATTTACAGGAGCCTTTAGAAACAGCTGGAGGAGGGGAGAAAAGAACTCTGTAAAATTAACAGCGTGCATTTTTTGTTGTAGAATACTTAATATGCTTCTGTTGTTTATGATATGCCAAATGTAATTATAACATTCTAGCTCTGACACTTAAAGACATACATAGCATTAAATCCATGGAAACAAAGTATTCACAAACATTCTGGCCCAACTTGCTTAGGTTACAAGTTCATCACATTTAGCCCCTCTTCTTATGACATGAATTCATCTCCATTTCCTGCTCCTACAATATTAAACCAGTCACTTCACTTTAAATGCAGTCTTATTTTCTTATAGAATTTTGATTACAGCATTATCATCATCTGTAGTTACGCAAAACCCATGAAAGATTATCTAGGGAAGATCAAACAATGTACTTCATGAATGCTTTTGTTTGAATCCCATGCTTGGGATCTGTGACATCTTTTTCTTTAGAAAGAACATCAGGATCCCTAATCAGGAGTACTTTCTCAATTTCCTCCTGAAAATCCACCTGCACACAGAAAATAACTTTAGAAGCAAACAGAAGCTGAAGCTGAGGTATATTTAATTTTCTGTGATCCCATGAGTCTTTAAAGACAAGGTGCAGGGAAATCACAAGTACTGGAATGAAATATGTCTGTGACATGGGAGAGGCGCAACTGGTGGCCTTGTAGATGCTGACTGCAATTGTCTTTTGTCCCTCACTACTGACTACGTTGGTGAGAACTTGTGGGATATAGCCCAACAACATTTGGAAAAGCACAAGTTGTCCACCTTTGTTTTGACATAATGAGCAGTCAATTGTGCAAGACTGTTGAACTAGGATATAGACAATGTAAACTATCTACTCCTGATAGTTTGCATTGTCTATATCCTAGTTCAGCCGTGGGCATGAATCACCAGTTTGATGGTTTGGTATCAGAACATGTAAATCAGAGTGCTCCAGTGGTTTGGATACATATGAATTCGCAAGAATTCCACCCCAGTAATTCACGATATCTCATCTTATTTAATAATATTTCAATGTACAAAACTATAACCAAATGCTAGAAGATCAGACGCTGTACCTGTTGCAGCAATCTTTTAATTCCATTTTTATCATTATCAGATATTGCATGTGCTTCAAATTCAATATTTACTTCCTGTGGACAAACAAAGAAGAGAAATTACACACAATTTTGCAAGTTTACTTCAGATGAATTATTTTTTTAAAAAAAGTCTTAAGAGTTATATAAGACATATGAGATAGATGCTTACCAGAGACAGTGAGGGTAGGTAGAAAATATACTGAACTTAAGTAGATCTATGATTTTCATTTTTTTTAAAATAACAGAAACAAGAAGTTCCATCCCCTCCGCACCCCCTTAATATTACTGAAAATGAAAAAGTGAGATGGCATGAATTCACAAATTCTAAGGGGTTTCTAAGTTGGTGGTGAATTTGAGAGACCAAGTAAAAAACTAGGAACATTTTGCAAGTTTATTTTAGTGGGGCCTAATTCTGTACAGACTAGTGAACCAGCTGAGTTCAGTATCTTCTCTCCAAAAAGACAAAAATATCAAAAGTGTATTCAAACAGCTTCACACAACGGAAGGTTTTACAGTTTGCTTTCCTGCTGCCACTGACCTCACTAAATGTTGTTGCACTTTATTATCCTGCATCTGCTTTTATATTAGCATTGACGCTTTGATTAGTGGGCATGGTTAAGATTTTAAATTGTTATTTAAGTCCTTTAACTTAAGACTGAACAGCTCTAGAGAAAGGAGGTGGATTTTCCAGAGCACAGAATGGCTCGAAAAAAGAAAAATAGGGAAATTTATAACTGGGATAGAAACGGATCGTCGTTGCCGTTTAGTCGTGTCCGACTCTTCGTGACTCCATGGACCACAGCACGCCAGGCCCTCCTATCTTCCACTGCCTCCCGTAGTTGTGTCAAATTAATGTTGGTCGTTTCGCAGGCACTGTCCAGCCATCTCATCCTCTGTCGTCCCCTTCTCTTGCCGTCACACTTTCCTAACATCAAGGTCTTTTCCAAGGAGTCTTCTCTTCTCATGAGATGGCCAAAGTATTGGAGCCTCAGCTTCAGGATCTGTCCTTCCAGTGAGCACTCAGGTTTGATTTCCTTTGGAATTGATAGGTTTGTTCTCCTTGCAGTCCAGGGGACTCTCAAGAGCCTCCTCCAGCACCACAATACAAAGGCATCAATTCTTCGGCGGTCTGCTTTCTTTTTGGTCCAGCTCTCACTTCCATACATCACGACAGGAAAAACCATAGCTTTGACTATTCCGGCTTTTGTTGGCAAGGTGATGGCTCTGCTTTTTAAGATGCTGTCAAGGTTTGTCATCGCTTTACTCCCAAGAAGCAGGCTTCTTTTAATTTCGTAGCTCCTGTCACCCTCTGCAGTGATCATGGAGCCCAAAAAACTAAAATCTGTCACTGCCTCCATATCTTCCCCTTCTATTTGCCAGGAGGTGATGGGGCCAGTGGCCATGATCTTAGGGTTTTTTTTATGTTGAGCTTCAGACCGTTTTTTGCACTCTCCTCTTTCACCCTCATTGAGACGTTCTTTAGTTCCTTCTCACTTTCTGCCATCAGAGTGGTATCATCTGAATATCTGAGATTTTTGATATTTCTTCCAGCAATCTTAATTCCGGTTTGGGATTCCTCCAGTCCACAGTTTCGCATGATGTATTCTGCATGTAAGTTAAATAAGCAGGGGGACAATATACAGCCTTGAAGTTTATTTTAGTGGGGCCTAAAATAAATGGCCAGCACTTCTGTACAGGCTAGTGAACCAGCTGAGTTCACTAGCCAAAAAGACAAAAAGACAAAAATATCAAAAGTGTATTCAAACAGCTTCACACAACGGAAGGCTCTACAGTTTGCTTTTCTGCTGCCACTGACCTCACTAAATGTCGTTGCACTTTATTATGCTGCATTTGCTTTGATTAGTGGGCATGGTTAGATTTTAAATTGTTATTTAAGTCTTTTAACTTAAGACTGAACAGCTCTAGAGAAAGGAGGTGAATTTTCCGGAGCAGAGAATGGCTCGAAGAAAGAAAAACAGGGAAATTTATAACTGGGATAGAAACGGATCAGACCCTCTCAAATAGAGAAAGGGAAGCCTGGAGTGGATCTCCAGGTGCCACGGATCTCCCAGCGACATCCCCGCCCCCGAGAAGGGCATAGGAAAAAGGCTTGACGACAGAAAGGAGACCTTTTCACCGGGACAAGAAATTATGGGCAAACTGGGCAACCCTCCTTTTGGGAAAGGAGCCGGAAACAGGGCCTAGAGGAGAAACTGAAGTTACTCCAGAGAGGAGGCGATCAGAAAGGAACCGCGGCCCCTCACTCACCTCGTTAATCTCCTCCTCCCCCTCCTCGTCCTCGTCGTCGTCGTCGTCGCTCTCCAGGTCCGAGTCTGACTCCTCTTCCCCGCCGCCTTCCTCCTCCCGGCAATCGGGCGGGCCACCCGCTCGCCTCCGCTTAGCCCGAGAAGCCATGCTGCCGCCGCGGCTTTTGCCTGGATTCCTGTGCGCATGCGCCCCGGCAGCCGGAAAAGGTAGGCCGCGGCCATCCCGGCAGCGGACAAGACGAACGTGGGAATCGGACGGGGCGGTTGTCCCCCATCGTTACCACCCCTCGCCGCGCCCAAGCCTCTTCGCGAGCGGGCTCTCCGCGCAGGTGAGCGGAGCTGGTGTCGTCATCGAGAACTGACTTCACTCCGCTTCACGGCGGGCGGGGAATCGGATCTCGACACAGACAAGTTTAAACCCCCCCCCCCCCCGAATCTTTGCACAGTGATTCCACACGACCCCGCAGGTTAGGCTGGGCGCCCGCGATGGGCTCTGCAGGTGGAGTGGAGCTTTGGCACCGACTACATGACCCATCTAGGAAGGGCTGGGTTCCTGCCCTTGCTTTGAACGCCGGAGTTGAACCCGAGGGTGTAGAGATGAAAGGAGTCGCAGAAACGACATCGGAGTAGCTCTGCCCTCCGGGTTTGTCAATGATCGCAGCCCTGCGGGTTCAAGGGTGGGTGTTTCATATCCCTTGTGATTCTGTACATATATACAGGGGCTGCCCTGCTTGATTGCCTTTTTTTAATCAAAATGATATTGGATTTCAGCTTTGGTAGATAGTGTTCGGTTTGGGTTAGTACGCTCCTGGTTGAGTTTGAGGGCTCAGGCACCCATTTGGTAACTGAAATTGTCCTTTGATGAAATAGTTTGGTAGATTAAATAGGAAAGCTAAGTAACCCCTGTTATGCATAACTTTTTTTTTACTGATTTCTGAAAGAGAAATGGCCATGTGAGGTGCTGCTTTGCAATTTTTATAGGGCCATCCTGTACAGAGTTACCTATGTGCTGTGCACCATGGAGCCATGGCCAGCATCGATGAGATTTCCCATGGCACACATTATCATATTCATAGTACATTACATACTTCTGAGGTACTTTTCTCACCTGTAGTGCGTACTGCATTGTGCTTTCAGAAAAAATGGTACACATTTATATAAGTGGTAATGTGTTTTCACTCTGGCTATGTCAAAGTTAAGCTGGCTGGTTATTTTGCAGATTGAGATATTTTGGTTTTAGAGGCTGCCTTACCCATACATGTACACCACTTACATGCCTCTAGCCTTATTATTACATTGCTTGCCTATGCAAATAAGCCATCACACATTAACATTACAGATGGAAATTCAACATCTGGTAACAATTCTAATACAATGTTCTTGGCATAACTGGTTCACACATGCAGCTGCAGAGGGTACACATGCATGGGTAAATCAACCCACCTATGAAACACACATGTATGGAATCATCTCATGAGATGGTTCTCAGGCTATTTGTTTCAGAACAGTTCTGAAGCATAGTCAAAATTCAAAGTCTTCTACCCTATAAATCTGGGGTGAGAAGCATCTGGTTTGTGAGGTGTGTGGGCTGCTCCTCCGTCATCTTTTATAATCCATTGTACTGGCTGGGATTTGGGGGAGATTTGAAGTCTAAACAATCTGTATGGGCAAAATTTGTCAATCCTGTTATAGATGTTAGTAACGGTGAATGCATGGTTATTTCTGTATGTGTTATTTCAAAGCTTTGACTTCAATATGTGGTCTGATAATCTGTGACCTGAGAATCATTGTTACTACCAAACCTCTGCTCACAACTGTACAAACTATTATATATCCTGTGCTCATCCATCAATTAGATAGTGGAATTGAGAACTGTGCTCTTTCTGTATTCCTGAAAATTTGCATCTCATTGTTATTGGTTGTTTTTGTGTGTGAGTACTCTGCCACAATTTCTCTTTGATGTATACATGAGAATAAGTGTTCATGTTCTGTTGGGGTCAGGTTATGACCATCTTTGTTAACTCTTTATATCCTTTGTGCTGTGCACTCTGTGGCACTATTCTGTTTACATATAAATCCCACTATTTTCTGGGGATTGCAATCCAGTTAATTGTTTAGGTCCAATCTTGGCTGGGATTACTGTTACTGGCTGCTGTGATGTGCAGTGTTGATGCAAGATCCTCATCAACACCCAGTTCTCCTGCCTGGTTTGTTGCCATGCTGTGCCATTCTCATTTCTTGTGGCATTGCTGGGCATCTCTTTTTGCTTGGCCCATCCTTCCTAAACACTGCCATTATGGCCATATTCTGTTTTCTTCTTGGAGATTATGAGATATTTCCCTATGTCTTGACCTGGTGGTGCTTCTTAAATGTGTGTGTGTTGAAGGTATTTATAGAACTTGATGTCAAGACTTCTTGGTTTCATGAGGAGGGTGGGATAATAAGATAGGCATTATATGATAACATTACCATAGTAAGGTCTATAATGCTCTCTTTCTCTGTGTGTGTACATATGCTTGTATCTGTGCTGCTTTTCTTATGGGACTGATACTAGTTTTTGTCTTGTTGTGAACAGCTTTGATAGATAAAATATAGACTCTGGTTTTATGAATTAAATGCTGACCAACGTCACCATGTACTTCTACCATATCCCTATATCCAACCACCTAGGGGCAATGCAAAGTTTTCATGGTGTCACCTAAGCTAAATATTTTCCTGTAGTTTTGATACGCAAGGAGTATCTTAGGTAGTAAAACTATTGAGGCTCTTAATTAGCTCATTATCCTACTTTCACGTGCTTTGGAAGCTCATAAGACTGGACTGGAAAGATTGCTACTTGAAATTATGTTATCATTTGTGTTTTTATTGGTGTACATTTGTATGAAGGATAATAGTGTAGTATAAATGAACTCCTCTTCACGGATTGTTGCCTTGTCGTGGCGAAGGGGCTTGAGTAATTCAGAGAAGCTGTGGGCTATTCCATGCAGGGACCCCCAAGATGGACATGTCATAGTGGAGAGTTCTAACTAAAGGCGATCCAGCTGGAGTAGGAACTGGCAAGCCACTCCAGTATCTTTGCCAAGAAAACCCCATAAACAGAAACAAAAGGCTAAAAGATATGTATGACACTGGAAGATGAGCCCCTCAGGTCGGAAGGTGTCCAACATGCTACTGAGGAAGAGCGGAGGATAAGTACAGGTAGTTACAGAGCTAATGAAGTGGTTGGGCCAAAGCCGAAAGGACGCTCAACTGCGGACGCACCTGGATGCTGGAAAGAAAAATAGTGCATGGGAACCTGGAATGTAAGATCTATGAACCTTGGTAAGCTGGATGTGGTCAAACAGGAGATGGCAGGAATAAACATTGACATCCTGGGTGTCAGTGAACTAAAATGGCAGGGAATAGGCGAATTCAATTCAGACAATTATCATATGTACTATTGTGTGCAAGAATCCCATAGAATGGAGTAGCCCTCATAGTCAAGAAAAGAGTGGGAAAAGCTGTACTGGGATACAATCTCAAAAATGATAGAATGATTTCAATATGAATCCAAGGCAGACCTTTCAACATCACAATAATCCAAGTTTATGCACCAACCACAGATGCTGAAAAGGCTGAAATTGACCAATTGTATGAAGACTTGCAACACCTTCTAGAACTGACACCAAAGAAAGATGTTCTTCTCATTCTAGGGGACTGGAATGCTAAAGTAGGGAGTCAAGAGATAAAAGGAACAACAGGTAAGTTTGGCCTTGGAGTTCAAAACAAATCTGGGCAAAGTCTAATAGAGTTTTGTCAAGAGAACAAGCTGCTCATCACAAACACTCTTTTCCAGCAACATAAGAGGCGACTCTACACATGGACATCACCAGATGGGCAATAGCGAAATCAGATTGATTATATTCTCTGCAGCCAAAGATGGAGAAGCTCTATACAGTCAGCAAAAACAAGACCTGGAGCTGATGTCGCTCTGATCATCAGCTTCTCATAGCAAAACTCAAGCTAAAACTGAAGAAAGTAGGAAAAACCACTGGGCTAGTCAGGTATAATCTAAACCAAATCCCTTATGAATACACAGTGGAAGTGAAGAACAGATTTAAGGAACTGGATTTGGTGGACAGAGTGGCGGAAGAACTATGGATGGAGGTTCGTAACACTGTAAAGGAGGCAGAAACAAAAAACATCCCAAAGAAAAGGAAATGCAAGAAAGCAAAGTGGCTGTCCAACGAGGCCTTACAAATAGCAGAGAAGAGAAGAAAAGAAAAGAGAAGGAAAACAAAATGCAAGGGAGATAGGAAAAGTTACAGAAAATTGAATGCAGACTTCCAAAGAATAGCAAGGAGAGACAAGAGGGCCTTTTTAAATGGACAGTGCAAAGAAATAGAGGAAAATAATAGAAAGGGAAAAACCAGAGATCTGTTCAGGAAAATTAGAGATGTTAAAGGAACATTTCATGCAGAGATGGACATGATAAACGACAAAAATGGTAGGGACATGACTTAACGACTAAACAACAAAAATAAATGAATGTCTGTGTCAAACAAAAGGATTCACCTGACGAGTGTTCAGAAGCAGTGCACCTGTATGAGTGAAAGATGTTCGTTATAACATACACTTTTCCTCAGGTATCTGTCTTGTATTTCATGAGCTTTATTTTATTACTGCTAAATCACACTACTCTTTGGAAGCAAATCAGATTGCTAAGGGGCACATTGAAGAAATATTACTGGGAGTTAATGGGTGGAAATGAAAGGTCTCATTAATGTTTATATTGACCCTTGAGCTTTTAAAAATTAGTTTTTGATAAGAAACTATGTTAGTGTTATCTAGAAACATATACAATATACTGTATTAATATGTATGGAAAATGTTTCTTTATGCTAGACTTGGAAAACCACAACCTTTCCCCCACTGAATTGTTGATGTATTATTTTTTACATTTTGTGTGGTATTTGACATATTTTGTATGGTAGATTGTTTTCATAGTTCAAAAAATGAGTGATGTAGCAACAGTGCAAAATAACTTTACAGTTATTTACAGTTAATTGTGAGTTTCGGGTGTGTTAAAATCTTGCACAAAATAGAAATACAATTGGAGAACAAGATAACTATTGTATTGAAAAATATATTACTGTATTGAAAAAAGTTTAAGATGCACCTGTATGTTTCAGTACCTAAGCACAGTAATTGACAGTAGTTTTTAGCTATTCTGGCTGAGAGCTTGCTCACTGAACATGTGTTTTGGCATATTCATAGGTGCTTATATTTATGTACATCTGCTAGGGTGGCAATATGCCCAGAGTTACAGTGCAATGCTATGACAATTTCTGTAATGTGTTGTTGCTAAGAAAAAGAATTTTGTAGAATGAAGTGTCCAAATTGTAATAGCGCAGAGACTGTCTCAACTGTAGGATAGCATTACCATGTGAGGACGTCAGTGTGTTTGAAGCATTATGTCACTTTGAAATTGCTCACACATATTTTCTGTCTTTCACTTAAACCTGTCAGTGTTTGAAAAAAGAAGAATAATTTGTTCCTTCAGAAGCCTGTCATGAATGGCCAGAGGCAAAATAAATGTTTTGCTAGCTTGTGCACATTGTTTAGAACAGTATTTCCCAACCTTTTTCTAGCTGTGGTCTCCTTTTATAATAGCCAAATAACCTGTGGCTTTACTGCCATATTTGCCTTTAAAAGCATTTTTAATGCGGTAAACATATTTAAATAGACATTTCTGAATATAATTCCAACCTAATATATTAATATTAATATAGTAATACGTACATAATTATGGCAAGCTGTAAATCTGCCTCTAGAAGGAATAAAGTCAATACACTTTGAATTTAAATTACCTCCTTTTGTGCTCCCTTCCCCCAGAAACACCCCTCAGTAAAGAGCCCCTCCTTCTCGAGCCCAAATAGAATCTCCCTAGGTTTTAATATATTTTATTGATTGATTGATCTATAGTACTTGCACAGACTAACACTGCTACCTCCTTCACAACTGCCAGAATGATTATGTTAGGCTGAATTGTACTTCTAGATTATATGCCTGGTATTCAGTTGCTCTGCATTACAAGTAGATATAAACATTGGCAAGAAAACATGCTTACAGGAATATTGTTCAAGTTCCTGAGCATTGCTGTTACACATTTATACATCAGATCTGCACAGTTAGTTGGGTGTTCTGTCAGTTTTGTGCATTGTCTGTGGTAAATAGTAGCAGTTGTCCAAACTCTTAAGCCAATGTGTTTTCCACCCGTATTACCTAAGGTTGTCAGGATGCTGGTGACCCTAGACGGCCTTCTTCCTTTAGGTCTTTGGCCCTTAAAAGTGAGCTTTTCCATCAGATTTTTAGGGAAATCCCACACACTTCAGTTCTGTGGCACACAATTGATATTATTTTAAAGTTTCATCCAGGTGAAGTAAAAGCACCTTGAGCAGGAACATTTGGACAGAGAAGGACTCAGCTTGGTATTGGTACACCCATTCCCAAAAGGATAAGTTCAAAGCTGAGAGGAGCTGTAAATCTTCCTCTAGAAGGAATAAAGTCAATACACAGAGAAGGACTCAGCTGGTATTGGCACCCCCTTTCCCAAAAGGATAAGTTCAAAGCTGAGAGGCTTCTGGATTTGACAGTATATTTGGAAGTCCAGGATTTTCTAGGAACCAGGAGTACCTCTTATTAGCTTTGGCTGATACATTAGTTGTAATACTGTGTAGGAAAACCAAAAATAACAGTTATTAGACACAGAAAAATTATGTTGTAGGCCAGTGGTCCCGAACCTTGGGCTTCCAGATATTCTTGGACTTCATCTCCCAGAAATTGTGGCCAGTAGAAGTGGTGGTGAAGGCTTCTGGGAGTTGTAGTCCAAGAACATCTGGAGGCCCAAGGTTGGGGACTACTGTTGTAGGCTGCTTTGGGTTTCAGTTCCAGGGAAAGGCAGGATAAATCAACTAAATGAAGGAGTCTGAGGTGTATATACATTCTCACTGTTGGCCTCTTCCTTCCTGAGAGGTATACACTTGTCTCTATCTATTACTCTGCTTATTCTGTTTTATATTTTGTAAAAGAAAAAACAGAGAGAGAGAAAGAGAGAGGTGTTGCTGGATGTGGATTTACCAGAGTTCCTTTGTCCCATGTGTTTTGAACAAAGAGAGGTGTCCCTGGGGGACCTGTTGCCTCTGCTGCAATAGATTTTGAACAAAACGTTACATGCTAACATTTAAGCTGAACTGGAGCTGTGCTCGAAATCCTGGCAAGTGATTCTGTTATGTGCACATCAGGATTGTTTGGATATTCTTTTTGCAAATATTTTAAATCATAGCTGCGTTGGAAAATAGTTGTTTTAACATTTTCACGGATTATTGCAGTACTTCTGCAGGTTTGGCAAAGTTCTAAGAAGGGGCTATCATTTTTAGTATACATTATTTTGTTGTAGACTAGAAGATATTTCTTTTAAGCCACATGTGTTTCTACTCTATCTTATCATTTATTTTTGGCAGAGGGACCATATCATTTCAAACCAGCATGTACTTTGTTCGCCTTATCAGGGTAGATGTTCATTTCCAGAGAATGCACATTAACTGCTTACTCATTGAGCAGTGAAGCATTCTGTCTATGCAACTGTTAATTATCTTGTTTCTTGTGATGCTCAGCTGGTATAGCAATTGTACAGAGAAGAGTCCTCTAGATCTAATTTAGATATATTAACATTTGTGTTTCAGTATTCTCTAGCAATTCTCCAGAAAACAATGAAAGTCCTTTTGCTGAAAGATCCCAAAGAAAGTGAAAATGGACCAGATCCATATATAAAAGTAAGTAAACTTAAATAAACTTAGAAAACTTTAGTAAATTGTATTTGAATTATTCTCTAGTTTAAATCTAATTCTGCGTTTTAGCTTAATGGACTCATTTGGTTGTATCTTGTTTCAAAAATACAGTATATAGCTTAAGTAGATGATGTGAAACCAAGATATGATGTGAAACCAAGATATATTTCAAGACTATATAGATATAGATAGATATAGATATAGATAGTCTTAAGGAAATATATCTTGGTTTCACACCATTCTTTTTAAAAGATCAAAGTTTCTAAAATGTGATATTTTCTGACTTATACCCCTAACAATATCTTAAGTCTGTGCCATTACCACCACCATCATGTTTAAGTACAGAGTGACTGTTTGAAGTGCAGAGTCTCTGAGATGGATAGATTTGCTAAATTGAATTTACCAAATTGAATTTTTTGAGCAATATCATTGCATGTTTTCTTTGTTTATTATTTATTTAAAATATTTATATGCTGCCTTTCTCCTAAAGGATCCAAGGTGGCTTTCAGTATTAAAAGAAACAAAGTTATAAGCTAAAATAATATTACAATATTTAAAAAAGTAAACAGATATCATATTAAAATTTACAAATAACATCAATTAACAATTGAGAGTCAACAATCTAAAATATGTAAGAAAATGTGGAACTATTTTTTTAACCTGCCAGAACCCTGTTGAAGATTTACACCAGCGTAGGTATAATTGCAGAAACTACAGTAGCAAATTGCTGATAGTCAAAGTGTTACTGCTCACATGCCAGCAGCTTGTTGATTAATTCCAGTTGGCATGGTGGTTTGCTTAATAGTTTAGGTATCTGGCTGCAGAGCCGGAGGTTGAGTTTGATTCACCACTGTGCCCCCCATGAGTAGATCCAGGCTGTATGGCCATGAGAAAGCTGCACAGTCCTAGGACTGTGAGAAGAAAGGAATGGTAAATTATTTCTGAATATTCTCTGTCTGTGAGACCCTGAAAAGGGTCACCATAAATCAGAATTGACTTGACAACACATGATTATTTTATTTATTGCTCATTCACACACTTATATAAATCTCCAAAGGATTCTAGACGCTAATTTTTAAAACCATTACAGGCATTTTACAGAAATGTTGCGTGTGCATTGCCTTTACCTTTGTACTTGTCATATTTATGAAATACTATCTCCATTATTGTTGAATAAAATGTGTCCATCACTGGCCATGACTCTCTTAATTATGACTTGTTTCAAACTACATTGTTGGCAAATGCCAGTGGAGTCCAATACATTTCTCTTCAGAACAAGCCTCATTGTTTGCTATAGAGCTTTATCTATTAAGTGTACAGCACTGCAACTTGAGTTGTCCTGCTAGTTAATGAAGTGCCAGAAACATTATTAAAAATGTAAATGTCAATGCTCATTGCATGCTACAAAATTGGGTATATTCTGTTCATAGGAGCTGAGCTCACACGGCCTTGAAGCAACTTTGATTCCAGTTTTAGCATTTGAATTTATTTCTCTACAGGCTTTCTTTGAAAAAGTAAGTTTTACATTCTGTTTCTGTTAATAGCCTGGTAAAATTATACAACTGTTTTAGTTTACTCTTGAATACATTTATTTGGTTAAGCAGCTAGCTTCCCCTGCTATGAAGCTGTGATGGTGCCTATTAGCAGAAGTGGGTGTTACAGACATTCTGTTATTGGAAGAGGAAATTCCTTAAGTACTGAGAGCATGTGAGTGATTAGGCAAGACAATTTTCTCTTCATGTAGTTTGGAAATTGGCTTGCTTTTGTTTTGTGATCAGTTTTCAGTACTAAAGCACAGAATGCCTTTGAGGTCTAATTTCTGCGGCATAAAAGTCTGGCTGCTCTAACTTTCCAGCATTCACATATTTTCAGCTCTATTCATGTACAGTGGGGTCTTGACTTGAGAACTTAATCCGTATTGGAAGGCGGTTCTCAAGTCAAAAAGTTCTCAGGTCAAATCTGCATTTCCCATAGGAATGCATTGAGAACCATTTGATCCGTATCTGCTCTTTTCTGTCCATAGAAATTAATGGGTAGCTGCTATTCCGCCTTCGACCACTAGAGGGGGATATTTTGTTTCTTTTTTTCTTAGGTCAAGAAAGGTTCAGGGAAGGCAGGGAAAATACAGTCCAGGCAGTACCAGGCAGTCTGAAGACTGTCTGACTGCTCTAACTCTCCAGCATTCACATATTTTCAGCTCTATTCATGTACTTTCTATAGCAGCGATGGCGAGCCTATGGCACGTGTGCTACAGCTTGCATGCAGAGCCCTTTTTGCAGGCACATGAGCCATGTCACCAGATTTCTACTCCCCCCCCCCCTTTGCAGGCAGGCGAGCCATGTCACCAGATCGCTACTCCCCTCCCCGCAGTCAAACCTGAGAAGTCGGCTGCAGCCGCAGTGCTGGCGCTTCAACAGGCGGTTTGACGGAGCAGCTGGTGCTGGCGGCGGATCCTGAGTGGGGTCTCGAGGCACCTCTGTGCCTGGGATTCCCCCTTCCACCGCCACTTCCGGTTCCACCGCTACCACGGCATGCTGCCCGTTGGTTTTTTTCCTCCCCAGTTTGGGCACATGAGCCCAAAAAGGTTCGTAGCCACTGATCTCCAGTGTCTACTTCTGTCTCCAAAGTGATGGTTACTTCATTTCAGAATCATAATATTGGCATGCTTTACTCTTTTGAATATGTTTTTGGTGTTGCTTTTATTTACCAGTTTTTAGTGTAGTATTGCTTGATCCTTTTTACCATTTGTATACTTACTAGTTTTAGCTTTAATATTGTCTATTCATGATGTCACCTCCTTTGAGTCCTTTTTAAGGAGAAGAGCAAGGTAAAAATATTTTGAGTAAATAAATAAAATGCTGGCCACAGTTAGTACTTACTGCTGTTTTGATGTGAACCTCACATAATAACATTAATTAATTAATTAATTCCATGGTGAAAAGGGAATTTACCCTCATTGCCCTGATCACCTGAAGCTGAGAAGGGATGATACATATCTGACAGCATTGATGGGGAAAGCTGATAAGAAATTATATCTCTTTCAACATGATTTGGGTTAACCAGCGGAATAGTTTAAAGCTGATATATAGTTAAGGAATGGTTTCTGATGTCCTCTTGTGTCCCTCATCGTGCCTCAAGTGATACAGGCAGTGGTTTGTTGACCACTGGCCATTTGGCAGTGCCATTTACACCAGTGTAAAGAACCAGTAGGATTGATTTTAAATCAATACTTACCCAAGGTCTGTTGATTCAGTGGGCGTACTCTAGTTGTGACTAACAATTGGATTTAGTCCTGTATGTTCAGAGTTGCGTCCTAAAACTCTGAGAGGTGTTTAATGGCTGTTGAAAGGCGTAAAAGCAAGGGATAGGGGGATAATTAGTTACTATTTTGGTAATTGTCATTCCTTTGTGGCTTAACATTGTAAATGGCCAGCTTTTTTGTTAGCATATTTGGGAACTGTTACTCACTGAGGCAGAGCACTGTAAATACTGATTTAATAACAAACTGCAAGTAGGATTGTAATGAATAATCCTATTCCTAATGTTGCCTGTCTTATAAGTGTGCTTGTTTCTGCCTCAGGATCAAATACATAGTTTTTTTTAAAATCCGTTGTTTATAAACTGGAGTTTATAAATTTAGCAGTTAAAAGCTCATTACTAGCTGAGTGAGAGCCCCCCAAGTTGAGACAGTATCTATTAACTGCTATTTAAATGAGGGTAAAAAGCAAGTGAATCTTCCCTTGCATTTTGAATGCATGAAAAATATTTCATTTTCTTAATGTTCCTGTCAGTTACTCAGGAACAGGTTATTGGTATAATCTTTCTACTTGTACATCTTTTGCCTTATCCCACTGCTGCCAAATCAAAGCAGTGGAAATGCAGGAAAAATGCCAGTGTGTGTGGTTGTGCTCAGGGCTATGATGGTGAGCTTTGGTTGATGGTTGAAAGAACTTTTTTTCAAAATGGAAAGCATCTTCTATGTATATATGATACATATTCTCATTAATAGGATTTGGAGTTGTTAACTGCATGCTGATGACCATATTAATTTTCCATAAAAATATTTCCCACTGCATACAGTGGTGCCTCGCTTTACGATTGCCCCACATTACGACAAAACTGCATTACGACGATCTTTTTGCGATCACAATTGTGATCACAAAACGATGGTCTAAATGGGTTTTTTTCGCTTTGCGATGATCGGTTCCCTGCTTCGGGAACCGATTCTTCGCTTAACAACGATTTTAGACAGCTGATCGGCAGATTCAAAATGGCCACTGGGTAAACAAAATGGCTCCCCGCTGTTTTCTGGGACGGATTCCTTGCAAGACAGGCAGCGAAAACGGCAGCCCTATGGAAGATCTTTGCTCGATGCTGAGTTTTGACCCCATTGGAATGCATTGAAGGGGTTTCAGTGTGTTTCAATGGGGGTTTTTTCGCTTTACAATGTTTTCACTTCACGGCAATTTTCCTGGAATGGATTATCGCCGTTAAGTGAGGCACCACTGTAACTGAATTATATATAAATGAGATTTTCAAATCCAAATGTGCAAGTTGTGTGTGCACAGATGGAATGCTTTTCTTTCAGAATCTCTGATCTCTCCTAAGCTTTTGTGGGCCCTTGCTGACAGGCCAGAAGTGAAGATGGAACTTTTTTCTGCCCCCACCCCTTGAACAAACATATTCATATGAGACAGAAATAGTAAGATCATGGTAATTCTTTACCTTTAAGGTTTTGACAAAAGGACTGTCATGCATAACCAAGACCTTTACTTTCAAAAGCATGTGTTGTCTTCTATTTCTCAAAGTTAATCAATTTGGCTACAATAGGTAATGCTTGATTATTTTTCTCATGTTTTGCTGGTGAATAGCTTTCTCATCCTGAACAATATTGTGGGCTCATTTTTACCAGTCCAAGAGCTGTTGAAGCTGTCAAGTTATGTCTGGGGCATAATTCTAAAGAAGAAGGTAAGTAGGAATTTGAGCACTCCAATAAGTAAAACAAAATGTGTTGAGCCAATTTTGTGTTTCTTTTTTCCCCCCAGACAGACAGACCTTTAAACTGCATTTTCCAGAATGATCCTACGGCACTGATGAACTGTCTGAATTCTTAATTAAATGCTTGGGAATTGTTAATCTAGTATGTTAATTAAATGTCATTTCAGAAACATGTTACTCTTAGTGGAATAAAAGTGGATGGTAGTATAGCAGTATAATTTTGAAACATGTTCATAGACTAATATATGTGCTTATAAATGTGTTTCTCATCAGTAGTTAATTTAATGCTTTGGATATTGTTACATGTCCTTTTTCTTTCTTTCTTTCAAGCTGAGATGTGTTAATGTGGGTCATTCACTGCAACCCAGTACATCATTAGTAGATGCACAAAAATGTTAATGGCATTAAACTAATTTAGTGTTTACGGTAATGTGGTAGCTTTAATAACATTTTTGAGGATCAGGACTGTTCAAGCAAAATCATAACTCCTGTATCATATTTCTCACCTTTCATCTGTGCCATTTAAAGCCGAATTGTGAATTGCTGTTGTTAGTCTCTCAGTGACCATGTACAGAGACCCAGAACAGACCCCTCATTCTAGGAGAGAGAGACTTTAGGTGAGGGGAAATGATGTCTGGGGATAGCAGCAGATTTTCCAAGAAAAGATAGAACTTTGGTTGGCATAGGAAACAAGTGTGTGCTTCCCCAGCCTGACAGCTTGTCTACTTGAAAATTTTTGTGGGTGAACGGTTGGTACAGTCTTTTAAACTCATAAGAGAGTGAAATACAGTAATTGTTACTTCTGGTCTGTGGCATATTAAGTGTTTCTTAAGTTTTGGTCTGACTTATTAATTGAAATAATATCAACTGTGGGTCCTGATGGCAATTTTTAGAGTATCTATTTTAATTGTATTATAATTGTTTTATCTTTTTATTGTATTTTTATTGTATTTTAATTGTTGTAAGCTGCCCAGAGACCTTTGGGTAGAGTGGGCGGCATATAAGTTAAATAAAATAAACAAACAAACAAATCAGTTTTAACCCATTTTCAGGTGGGATTCTGTGTTGCAACATACTCTCACTCTTTGCTTGACCATCCCACGTCATGGCTACATTGCACCTTTTCCCTCTGGAGTGATGCCACCATTGGCAACATATAGCTACTGCATGCATGGACATGTGTAGGAGCTGAAGTAGTTTAGAGAGGAAAGCTGTACCATGCAAAGTTGGTGGAGGGGAATGAAGAGAGAGAAAATGGACCACAGATGGACAGCATGGCTGGCAAAGTGTGTGGGAAATAACAAGACAGAATGGGAAGAATGGAAGTGAAAGATCAAACCAGTTGTACTTTAGTCATTAGACTGAGCATTTTGATCCAAACAAAGTCCTATCCCTTAGGCAAGAACAAATCACGACTTATGGCTTTTATGAGACAGGAGAGGCAGGCCAGATTTCCTAAACGATGGAAGGAAAGTCTGTGGTTTGTTTAGTTGCTTCATCTTGCAGTTGGAGCCAAGGTGGGAGGAATCAAACAGCATGTGTGAGCATATTGGGTTCTTCACTATAATGTCAGAAAAAACATTCTGCAGGTTTTTGTTGCACTTTTTATCATCTGTAAAAATACAATAAGGAAGACAAGTAACTTAATCTGCAGGCTTAAAAAAAAATAACGTGTAACTAAATTTTATTGAACTCAGTGGACCATACTTCTGGGTAGTCAAGTTTTCAAGCATTTTGGACTGTTTTTATAGTGAAGAGAAATGTGATTTTGTTTGCTTTGGTTTGTACTGCCACTGGTATTTACATATAGTGATAGTTGTTAATATTTTACTGAGCTCACCTATTTTCAGAAGAAATAATATTTACAGCAAATATCCAAATTACAATTTTAATATTTATGTATTAGGGCTTACACAAAATTTAATGTTTTACAGTTTGGAAAAATTCTCTGAGAGACCAGTGGAACATGAAATCAGTTTATGTTGTGGGAAAGGCTACGGCAGGTCTGGGTAAGCCTCATTTTAAAAAGAATTATTCAAATATTAATACAAACTATTCAGCATGCTTTGCAGTAGATACACATTTATTTTTCTGTATGGAAAAAGTCTTATTAAAACAACCTCAGCCAACATATTCTGTTCTTTGCTGTTTGTTTGCTCATAATGGTGCAGCATAGTTCAGGATATCTTTTAGCCAACAGGAACATCAGAAGGTATGTCACTAATTAAGCATAAGAAACAATTAAGCTTCAAGATTCTCACTGAAATTACACATTTTGCACTTCCCAGGACTCTCTGTGATGTTAAAAAAAAACACCTTTTGCCTTAGAATTTGCAGGCTTGTGAGGCTTGTAGTTCATTTTCCTATACATGAAATGTCCATATATTTTAAAAATACAAGTGAATTAAAATATATACAATTGAGAAATCTTCACAAGCACTCTTTTAGTCAGTGGGAAAGGACAAAAAAGGCTGTTACCAGAAATTGTGCCTTCTCAGTCGTGGCTCCTACCTTGTGGAATGGCCTCGTGGTAGAAATTTGCCAGGCCTCCCACTGCCCCCAATCCTTTAAGAGAATGTTAAAAACAGTGTTGTTCGAAGAAGCACTTAAAGACATCCTCTCATAAGTCGATTCCTGTTTTTGTTTCCTGGAATCTGCCATCATTTGAGGTTTTATATATTTATTCTATGGGTTTATTTGGGGATGTCTAACGTTGGTTTGTTGGGTGGTTGGGGTTGCTGTTTTATTGTGCTGTTGTAAACCACTTAGAGTAGTGCTTTGCACTAAGTCAGTGGTACATACATACATGCTATGCTATGCTATGCTATGCTATGCTATGCTGTACTATACTATACTATACTATACTATACTATACTATACTATACTATACTTGGAATTAAACCCCATTAGGATAAGAGGAGCTTATTACCAAATGCCCGTGTATAGGATCACAGCCTTAGTGATTTTGGTTGATATGGTTGTGTCTGCTTATGCTTTTGTTTATACATGTATATGTGTACATAAAGAGATTGGACACTTTTATGTAATAAGGTTGCTGGGCCAAAGGTAGGAGATTTTGGTATAAACCATAAATCATTTACTAGATTACTATAACTAGTTTGGCATTGGCCAGAATCCTATTGGTTATGTCTGCCAGCATAATGCCAGCAGTTTAACTTTCAGTGGCAAAGTGCCACCAGTTAAGAAGTCAATGGAGGTTGCTGAGGTGGGCAACTGGAGATGTCTCCTCTGACTTTTTAACTTGTAATGCACCACAGGAGGTTACACTGATAGAAATAGACAGTAGGGTTCTAGCTAACAAGGTTTATAAGGAAATACCTATTTGGATATTTACAATAAAGGATTAATAGAATTCCATCTGTTTCATTTATTTGTTGTTGTATGCTGTCAACTCACTTCTGAGCTTTCAAGGCATATGAGATATTAAAGTGGTTTTACCAGAACCACCACCCCCGGTTAATTTTCATGGCTAAGCAGTGATTTGAACCCAGGTCTTCTAAGTCCTTATGAATTACTCAATCCAATATACTATGCTGGCATCTATTTCGTTAATAATTGTGTGCTATCAATTCTATTTCAACCTATGGTGACTCTTTCCAGGATTGTTTAGGTCTAGAATGCTTAGAAGTGGTTTACCTTTTCCTTCTTGTGACTTCTTAACTTTCTGCAGTTTAATATTGGAAGTTACACTGATGGAAATATACAACAGGATCCCAGTCACGAGGACACTCTGGGTCTGTTCATCTTACTCAGGGCTACATAGGCTACCTGTTCTCCTGAGAGTCACAGTTGGGAGTTAAACATGTGACCTCTGGTTCCATCATCAGGGACCCAATTCACTGAACTATCCAGTCAGCTATAAAATGCTCATGCGCAGTCTAACTTGGACCTCTGTATCGTATATCGTGTCACCTTGGTTAGCTGACAGGGCAGGAAGCTTGATTCTTCATCTGAATCAACACTGGCTTCTGCACAGGCAAAATCAGAATCCAGCCAAGAGGTTTTATGGGCCTACTAATTCAATAAAAACTGCAGCTCTCAGAGAATCTACATTTAATCATTAGGGACGTGTCATTTGGTTGTTTTAGACTCCCAGAATTCTCCTTGGATTCTCAAGGCAGCATTCTGGGAGTTCCAACCCACAGATGCACACCTACAGACAGGCATATTTTGCTTTCCTGGATCAGATGCAGGCTCAGGCTTCATGCCTGTCTCTCTGTCTACTTCCTGTTGAAAATGTAGGAAAAGCCACCATGGTGGTTTCTGGGAGCTACTGCTCTTTCTGCTAAATAGAGATTACAGTGTCTTCTGAAGGCCAATATATTGAGAATGCACTAGGAGAATCCTGGGAATTGGAGTTAAAAAAATCTGACTAGCACACCCCTATTAATCATTTTTCCAAAGCAATGTAGAGAGCCTACATTTCTAGTGGCCAGTTGATTCCGTAGCTGAGGAATCAGGCTGGGTGTGTGTTTGCTTAATCTTTAAAAACCCTACTGTCTGAGCACTGACTTCTTGAAGGCATGCTGCCTTTAGCCACATCCTCCTCCTCCTAATTCAAGTCTTTCCTGGAAGCCTTCTGGCATTATTGTGATTTTAGTGTAGGTGGCATTTTATTTTATTTTTTATTTAAAAATATTTATATTCCCTTTTTAAATTTTCACTAAAAAAAAGCCTTGAGGCATTAAGCATTAAAAGTGTTAAATATAATGGATCAGAACAGGTCAAAGTAAATGGCCCTCCTGGTTCCCACAGATGAATATGTGGGAGGAGTGGTCTAAATAATAATGCAATCTAGATAAATACATGCTTTATGGCTGGCATTATTTCTTTATGCAAGCTGCCCTTAGTAATATTTAGAAGGATAGGTCTGCAAATGAGAGAAAATTAAAGTAATGGGATTTCAAACATGTTAAGAATCTTCCTTCCATCTATTTTTGACTTCCTGGACCTTCAGCATGACATTTTGGTTTTTTCAACATCAAAAATAGAAATGAAAGGGTTTGGGGCCCTTGCTTTTAATTTTGTTTTGTTTTGTCCTCCCTCACCCCCTACCAGTTGGATTCTCAGGATCTCCTCAGGAACTGTGGAAGTCTACACAAATGGTTTCACTTACATCTTACAGGCTTCATGTTGCCCATCAACTCACTACTCCCCTGGAACTTGACTGTGCTGTATTTAGATAGATAGTGCATTCTAACTAGAGATAGGGGTATTTGTACATGAATACAAATACCCCCGCACAGGTGGACTTGTATTTATTTAGATAGATAGTGCACTCTAACTAGAGATGGGGGTATTTGTACATGAATACGAATACTCCTGCACAGGTGGACATAATGAGGGTCTGATCCCCTGGGCTGGACTGTCCACTCACCTATCTGCTGCGGCTTCTGGCTCCACACTCCCTTCCAATTGCTCCGGAGCTGGTGGTTGACTAGCCACTCATCAAAGAAGGAGGGAAGATGAGCCTCCCTGCCAGGCTGATGAGTGGCTAGTTGACTGCGAGCTCTGAAGCGATTGGAAGGAAGTGCGCTAGATAAATACATGCTTTATGGCTTGCATTATTTCTTTATGCAAGCTGCCTTTAGTAATATTTAGAAGGCTAGGTCTGCAAATGAGAGAAAATTAAAGTAATGGGATTTCAAACATGTTAAGAATCTTCCTTCCATCTATTTTTGACTTCCTGGACCTTCAGCATGACATTTTGGTTTTTTCAACATCAAAAATAGAAATGAAAGGGTTTGGGGCCCTTGCTTTTAATTTTGTTTTGTTTTGTCCTCCCTCACCCCCTATCAGTTGGATTCTCAGGATCTCCTCAGGAACTGTGGAAGTCTACACAAATGGTTTCACTTACATCTTACAGGCTTCATGTTGCCCATCAACTCACTACTCCCCTGGAACTTGACTGTGTTGTATTTATTTAGATAGATAGTGCACTCTAACTAGAGATGGGGGTATTTGTACATGAATACGAATACTCCTGCACAGGTGGACATAATGAGGGTCTGGTCCCTTGGGCTGGACTGTCCACTCACCCATCTGCTGTGGCTTCTGGCTCCACACTCTCTTCCAATTGCTCCAGAGCTGGTGGTTGACTAGCCACTCATCAACCTGACAGGGTGGCTTGTGTTCCCTCCTTCTGCCAGGAGTGGCTAGTCAACTGTGAGCTCCAGAGCGATTGGAAGGGAGTGCGGTGCTGGTGGCAGTAGCGGATGGGTGAGTGGATGTCTACCTGTGCGGGAATGGGATTTCAAACATGTTAAGAATCTTCCTTCCATCTATTTTTGACTTCCTGGACCTTCAGCATGACATTTTGGTTTTTTCAACATCAAAAATAGAAATGAAAGGGTTTGGGGCCCTTGCTTTTAATTTTGTTTTGTTTTGTCATCCCTTCACCCCCTACCAGTTGGATTCTCAGGATCTCCTCAGGAACTGTGGAAGTCTACACAAATGGTTTCACTTACATCTTACAGGCTTCATGTTGCCCATCAACTCACTACTCCCCTGGAACTTGACTGTGTTGTATTTATTTAGATAGATAGTGCACTCTAACTAGAGATGGGGGTATTTGTACATGAATACGAATACTCCTGCACAGGTGGACATAATGAGGGTCTGGTCCCTTGGGCTGGACTGTCCACTCACCCATCTGCTGTGGCTTCTGGCTCCACACTCTCTTCCAATTGCTCCAGAGCTGGTGGTTGACTAGCCACTCATCAACCTGACAGGGAGGCTTGTGTTCCCTCCTTCTGCCAGGAGTGGCTAGTCAACTGTGAGCTCCAGAGCGATTGGAAGGGAGTGCGGTGCTGGTGGCAGTAGCGGATGGGTGAGTGGATGTCTACCTGTGCGGGGGTATTCATATATGAATACGAATACCCCCATCTCTAATTCTGATTTACCTATCATTATCAACAAATGCTTTAAACAGAATTGTGAGGTGTCAGGAAGTATTTTTAGAGGACATATGTCAGTGAGCTACTCTTATTCTCTTTTAGTAGCTGCACTGGGCCTCGTACCACAAGGAGAAGACTGTGGAAATGCAGAAAAACTCTCTGGATATATTTGTTCCCGTAAGTGGATAACATTATTTTAATGACTGAATTATTGCTTCATCATTGACAGATCAAACATACGGTTGCAACCATATTTAGTGCATTCCCCTGCCCCCCATCCTGGGGATATTAAAGTTCAAAATATTGACATTAAAGTCTACCCTGCTGCCATATATTTACCTACAGTAGCTCTGCACATTCTCATCCAGTTTTTATAGTGAGTTTCAGTGCTTAAGTACTGTACATTGTTAACACATTATTCTAACAAGTTTATTTTTAAATATTTACTTATTTATTTATTTATTGGATTTCTATCCCACCCATCTAAACCAAAGGTCTACCAATATGCAATCCCAGAACTCTTTTGTTATTGATGGCAATAATAAAAGTAGTGATAATGTTTAAGCAAAATAATCATCATGATAAATAAAGTCCATCTGGCATGAAATGTGGACTAGCATGGTTTTTGTTGTACCTAAAATACAAGAAATTAAATATCCATTTTTTAAAAAGGCAGCTGGGGTGACACTTTTTTAAAAAAAGAAAAAGTACAGTGCAGCATGTTGACTATAGATTAGGTTAGCCCCATTGAAACAAATTGAATTGAAGTTATCCAGCTGATTTCAGTTGGACTAAAATTGCAGTGGGCAGCCTCCAGATGTCTGGGAGCTATGTAGGTGCTTCTCCAGACTTTGGAGATCTGTTCCTGCTTCCCTCCAATATTTGTCAGTTGTTTCTTTGACTTTGAAGAAGCATGAAAGCTTCCATTCCATTAAGGAAATAAGCCTCCAGGTGGTGCAGGGCAGTCCTGCCATGTTTGCCCCAAAATCCGTTCTGAGCTCAGGGGCTTTCCAAGCAGGCCAGGGTGGGGTGGTAGAAGTCTATTTAAAATTTCCCTCCAAAACACATATAGAGCTTAAGGGGCTTTTTAAATTTAAAAAATAATGCACATTCTGGAGTTCTGCAGGCCTTCCTTTGCCCACCTATTCTCATCCGCCCCATGCATAAATTAATCATCAACCAACCTGATTGTTTTTGTTGCTCGAGTTTTCATTTTCTTTGGTACTGACTTTGGCTGAGGTGCTTGAATAAAATATATCATTTGGCTCCTTAATTAAATAGGTAGTTTCAGTGTTTTTCTAAGGACAGAGCTTCCATTTTTGAGAATGTAATGCCTGTGTGTTGTTGGCTCTGTAGAAAGGAAATACTGCCAGAGCTGATGCTTGTTATATTGTCCAGAGCTATCAGGCATATATTCTTTCTTTGTAAACACAAGTCTAAAAGGATTAGTATTAGTTTTCAGATATCTGATTGGTGTTTCAATTAACCGACACAGGCCCTGGTAGGATTGATATTCACATATTCTGTTTTTATCTCCCAAAATACTGCTCTGCGTTCTGTCTCAAATTCTTCGTTACTTCCTGTAATTTATTACTGACATATACATGGTGCCTAATAAAACTTCAGCCTGCAATTAGCTCATTCTGATAAATCTGGGCAGACTTCTAATAAGGTCCTTCAGTTTGATTTTATGAGATTTTCTTTGCCTTGATGGAACTCAGGAGCTTAAGGGTAAGAAGAAAAACTGTGCTTGTTGTATTTAAAGTAAACATCCCAACCAATTTTTTCCTTCTCTCCTAAAAAAAACACAACCCAGATAATTTTTGGTTTTTAATTGTTTTCTTCTTCCTCTGAAACAGAAGTCACCTCATTCCATGAGCTAGAAATGCTTTGAAAAAGTATACAAAGATTTGACATTTCTGACTGACTTTGCTCAGACCTGCTGTGAAGCACCAAACTGCAGAAATGTATCAGGCAAAGGAAGCATGAAATGTGCCCCTTTCTACCTTTTCAAATGTTCCTTTTTGTGTCTGGCCAACAGAGGACACAAAATGAATTTGTGGAAATCATTTGTTGAAATTTTACTGTGTAGATACATGGATGTAACTTGGTGTTATTTCCTCAGGAGCTTCAATAGTGCCAAGGCAGGAGTGCTGCCCCCAGAGGTCATCTGCCAACATGGTGTGCAGTTGGTTACAATGGGAACTGCGTGACTGTGTAATCAAATTGTGCAATATGCACTGCTTTGACTGTTATAACATGGCAAAGTTATAAGCATATTATCCTTGCTGAATCTGTAACTGTAGTCTATCCAGATCTTTAAAAACCTATATGCTAAAGAGCATCTGTGATATGAAAAACTTGCATGTAACTTGAACTGTAACTATTTTCCACAATCTTAAGGATAATACATTTTGTACTTTTCATGGTATGTTTAGAGTGTGGCCATTTGGAAAGTATTTCTTTGTGGTCTTTAACCATAAAATGTCATGGTGAATTTAATCATTTTTAATGTTTTTAAACAGGAGAGTCACCCAATTCATTGCCTCTGCTTTTTCCTTGCGGTGCCCTCAAAAGAGAAACGCTTCCAACAGTACTCAGGGGAAAAGGTTGGATTTTAAAGCATTTGAAAGAGTATTTGCATTTCAACCTTGCCACCAAGGAAGAACATAGCAAGTGAGATGGTACCCACTGTCAGACCAACAATATCTCTCAAACATCCTTAATTTTTCATTCTGTTGAATGAACACTTCTGCCAACATACAAGGCAGGCTAAGTCGCTACATTTTATTTTAGCATCACCACCACTTTAGGGTGCCATTTTGTGTAAGGTAGTGTCTTCATGAAATATTCAGCAGTTAATGGCTAGAATCCAGTTGTATTACTTTATATAGGCATAACCAGGATTGGGTGCTGCAAAAGTTTAATTTACACTAATTCAGTGCTCCTTATCCCCGTTTCAGATTTTGGGGCTCTCTTTTGCCCTTGGGAAGCCTTTGGGAGCCTTGGGCCAGGGAAAGGGAGGCTTTAATAATAATTTAAAAATCACTACTGGATCACTGGCATTCGTCCCGATCCAAGTGGTGGCAATCCAGTGGTGGTTTCCTAGGAAGCCTTGGAGCCTGAAGTGGGTGTGGGATAGGGAACTTTACATGAGTTTAAATAAATTGTTTCCAGTGCCTGATCCAAGTTGTGCTATCATAAATTTACACAACTTTATGGTATTGAAGAAGGTTGCAGGGTTATAATGAAAAGGGATGCAAAGTTTTAAAATGCAGAAAATACTGATAAAGACCAAGGGTGGCACTCTCATCCTGCTGGGAAAAAATACAGTGCCACTGCATAGTTTGTGCACTAGTATCTGTGAGTCAAGCTGGAAGAAACCAGTCGGTCAAACTCTTGGTATTTATGTGTCCTTGTAATCCCATTTGAACATAATCTGCTATGTGTCAGTTTTGTATGAACTCAGCATCTGATTCTGCTGAAGTCAAAGTGGCTTAGGATGGGGCATGAATTATTTTTCTGCTCTACTGGTATAGCAATTTATCCTTGTCCTTGGTTTTCTGACATTCAGCCTCTAGTAGGAGTGGAACAAGAAGAAGTAGATGAATGTGTTGGTACACACCTCTAATTTTTCATTATACTTGATAAAAGTCAAAGCATTTTGTGTGATCTTATGTGATTCAAGAAGTTTATAGCATGTCTGAGTCTTATGTACCATTCTTGATGTCCTAAATGTCCCAGCCTAACTGAAGTCAGTCATGACTGAGTTGTGGTCATTTCCCTGGTACTTCTTCATCTAGCTGCAATTTACTTGTCACACTCATTTCATTGTGACTTAGACCTGACTGACTTTAGCTAGCTTTCCTGAACGTTTAAAGGGCAGCACAAGAAATTAGAGGTAGTAAACACTGTGTCATCTACAGCAGTTTTATGCTTGATGTAATGGGAGATTTATCTTCTGTCTGGTGCAGAGGCAGAGCTTTAAAAGGTTGGGTGACCACCCACTATTGAACAGTGAACGAAATATTTCCTCTTAGGCCAATCCTACTAAAAATAGCATCATAATTCAGTTCCATTTCTTACCTTGCAACATTTCCGCTAGGGAAAACTATGATACCAAGCTCATACATTTTAAAGTAAAACAATCTCTCCATGTATTCAGTCCTACAGGACATAGCGGTTTCTTCTCTAAGAGCATGCACAATGCCAGCACTTTCCAAGCTGCTTGAAATCCTCCCCGTTGTCCCGTTGTTTCTTCCCATGCCCCTGCCATTCTTCTATGATCTTACTTTTAATAATTTCTTCTGACATTCAGTAAAGCAGTGGTTCTTAACCTTTTTGAGAGAATCGCCCCCTTCAGTCATTGAGGAAGTTAGCATCGCCCCCCTCCCAGTGGCCCAGCAGCAGCGCTAGCCCGACAGCAGCGGGAGGGATTGTGGCGCAGCAGTACTAAAAATCCAATCAAAACAGCAATGAATAGGAAGCTATCTAAAAATCACACATGGGTAGCTGGTTTACTGAGGGAAGGCTTGCCTGAAGAGAAGGGTCTTTGCCTGGTCACGGAAGGAGAGCAATGAATGGAGCCAGCCTGGCCTCCAGTGGCAGGGAGTTCCAGAGGCTGGGATGAAGTTTAAAATGTTTTCAGATAGAAACAAAGGGACACCTTGGTGCCACTGAGTCCTCATACAAAGGGAATCTAGGGAAGTAGTGACCCTTTCTGCAAACTTTAATATTGAAGGAAAGGGGAATACCTTGCAGGGGGATGAACGGGAATGAAGGCCGGACACGTGAGGGGCTGGAGGGGGGGGGGGGGGAACTGGCTGTTGCTTGAAGGCGGCAGGAGGAAGGCAATGAGAAATGGGGTCAGGAAAAGGTTTGGTTTCCTCCTCCCCATTTTGTCCGCACAAATCTCTTGGGAAGTAGGTCAGACTGAATGTATGTGATTGGCTAAAGAGGCTTCATGGCCACGAAGAAACTAGAATCCCTGTCTCCTGGGTCTTAGACCAACACTCTACATCCCACACCACTCTGGCTTTTTCATTCAATTCCCATCATTTGTCACCATTGACTATACTGGTTAGGGCTGATGGCAGTTGTAGTCCAAAGACACATACCCCTTAGCTCTGTTTTTCCCCCTTTCTTTTTTGAAACTATAGAACGATGTTGAACTTTATCCAGTATTTCATCAGAACTTTCCTTTCAGACTCCAAGAGGGTGATGTATCTGAATTTGGAACATTATACACAAAACTAGATCTCTGTGAACTTTTATGTGAATGCTTTTTTCACTTTAAATGTACACCATTCATGTTTTCACTTAATTAAAACTGGGGGAAAAATATGCTCAATTTTTTATTTAATGCAGGAATTGCACTGGAATGCCTTACCGTTTATCAAACTACGCAGCATCCTAGTCTTCAAGAATCTTTGGGGAATTATTTCTCACAACAGGTATTTTATTTTCTGAATAGTAAGAATATTGCAGCCTGTCACTGTCAAAAAAGAAAATGGGAGAGGGTGAATCCTTTTTTTTTCTGGTAATGTTTTGGTAATTTTTTTTCCAGGAAGAATTATGAATCTTGCTGGTTCAGAGAAAAGCCTGGGTGGGATTTCCAGCACAGCAAGATTTAGAAAATGACAGTGAATGAGGGTTTTTGTGAGCATTCATCACATGCTTACTTTGTTGTAAACATTGTTAACTGAGTAATGTTCTTAGAAATTATTCTAGAACTATTAGAGCTTTAAAATATGTGAGTTTGGGACTGCATCCTATGGTTTTCCAGGCAAGACAAAATTTCTCAGTATTGTGTACTTCAGTATTTGCCTTCAGTAAAATAGATGCAGGAATTCAGATATCAGGCAAAAAGAAAAAATGTATTCTGCTTAGATTGTTATAGTTAAGTGAATATGAAGGATTCTCAAAAACGGCACTGTAAGACTTTTTAGAGACTGTTTTTCTTAAATCTCTGTGAACTGTCAGAATGTATTCTATTTATTTACAAAATTTTTATCCCACGGCAGCCTACATCATTAAAAAGACAATATTTAAAAGCTAAAAGCAGTAAGTATACAAATATTTAAGAAGAATTAAACTAGTATTACATTAAAAATGGTAAATAAAATCAGTACTAAAACATTTAAAAGAACAGTGCACAACAATCCATTTAAAATGATCAGTTTCTAGGAGTACAATGTACTGTATTTTTCCGTGTATAAAAGGACACTTTTTCCTAAAATAATTAGAGAAAAAAAATGAGGGTCATTTTATACATGAAGGCAGCAGCAGGAGGTGGAGACTGAGGCAAAGAAGCAGCCGGGCACAGCTGCCTATTGCTGCCGGCGCAGCCCGATTGCCCCCTCCAGCAATCGTCTCCTTGTGATTGGGCGGCAGTGGCGGCAGTCAATGGGCAGCAGCGAGAGGCGGTCAAGCCCGGCTGCTTCTTTGCCTCGGCCTCCACCTCCAGCTGCTGCTGCCTCCACCGCTGGTTGCAGGCTCAATGACCGTGCAGCCCTTTGATCCTGACTTTTCCCTTTCTTTTGCTAAACCCTGTGGCTTAGCAAAAGGAAGGAAAAAGCAGGGATCGAATTTTCAAATTTGGGGTTAGAAAAGGGGAAGTCGTCTTCTACATCGGGTTGTCTTATAAACTGAAAAAAATGGTAATCTCCATGGTGTATACAGGTTTCTGACTTTGATGTGTTATTTTCCATCAGGTTGGTTCTGGTGGCCTTTTCTGCATCTAACTAGAAAATCAGACACCATAAATGCATTCTTAGGCAAAGATACCATCTGGTACTGTATAGGTAAAGGCATCAGTAGAAAAGCCCTGCATTCACAATGGCAATACATTTTCAGTTTCCACTGCAGCCATGTGTACAAAAGCTAAATGGATTTTTAAACCATAAAGGAGCTTTCCCTTTTCAGAGTACAGTGGACCCTCTACTTAAGGAATTAATCCGTATTGGAATGGTGGCTGCAAGTCGAAAAGTCTGTAAGTCGAATCTCCATTGACCTACAATGCATTGAAAACCGATTAATCCCATAACCAGTGGTTTTTATTCTATTTTTATTCCATTTTGGTTTTTTTCTGGTCTGTAAGTCGATTCTCTGGCTGCAAGTCAAATCTAAATTTTGCAGCCAGAGAAGTCTGTAACTCGAAAAGTCTGTAAGTCGAGCCGTCTGTAAGTCGAGGGTCCACTGTAAGAACATCCATCGCATCAAAACCCTCCTCTTGTTTAGCACAGTGCAACAACCTGAATTATAAAATATCCATTCTCTCTCTCTCTCTCTCTCCCTCCCTCCCCCCTTCCCAATCCACCTTCCTTCTCTGTCTCTTTTAAAATACTTTTCCACAGGGCATTCCTGCTAGTATTACATTCTTCAGCCCTTCTGGTGTCAGATATTGTCTGAAGCAGATTCTGAAATTATCTGGTGATCTCATTTCCCAAATAAAGGTAAAAGATATCAAGTAGTTAGAGTATTTATATAGAAGGATGGTTTAAAATTCACTCTGATTCAAGTGGGGTTTTTTGGGTTCTCATTCATTATAATCAGATCAGTTTCTTTGCCTCTTCACTGGGATGGTGAGAATAATCAGCCTTCATTGCCAGTTGCTTTAAGATCCTTTGGAGATAGGCACTGGAAATGTTGGGAGAACTGGTTTTCTGCACATCCTTCTTGTGAGGGTTTGAACCTTTTAATGAACTCAGAATCAGTCTTGGCTGTTCCGTTTTGATAGCAACGAGGTCACTTGAGATTTTTAGATCTGATTGTCACATGATAACTACAGGAATAAGACACAAAGTGGTACCAGAAATAAACACTTTGTATCAGAGTCTCAATACTAATGTTTTTCCTAGAATTAGGATCTGTTTGCAGGCTAGTAGCTTTTCATTTGAATTCTTTCTTCACTTTACTGTCAGTAGATGATAGCAAAGCTACATGTGCCATCATAATCATCTTAGAACTGCAGAGCTGAAAGGGACCGTATGGACCATTGAGTCCAGCCCTTCTTAAGGAGGCCCAGTGGCCATTGAGTCCAGCCCTTCTTAAGGAGGCCCAGTGGGGAGTTGAACACCCAACCTCTGGCTCTGCAGCCAGTCGAACACCCAACCTCTGGCTCTCCAGCCAGAGACCTAAGCCACTAAGCTATTAAATGTGTGCTGTGTTTTCTGCTATCATTCTTTTTGGCCACATTTGTGTGTGGGGTGAATCTACTGTATAATAGGATTGTAATACAAGTGTTGAGTTACCCTTTCTATTCCTGCTGTACTCTCTCTCTCTCCTGAAGCTGCTGTTGGCATTAGTAACTACTTTCCTACCGGGTCTCAATCCTATAGTTTTGATACTATAGGATTTCCTGAAGCTGCTGGCGGTGTTAGTAACTACTTTCCTACCAGGTTTCAATCCTATAGTTTTGATACTATAGGATTGAAAGGGTTATATATCATGCCATACTTATAGTCCAAATTTTGTAGTAGGAGGGCATCTATACTATTTAAAAAAGACAAGCACAAACATGCAAAAGCAAATGAGCTTACATAGCTTGGCTTAGAATTTCATGCCCAAACTGGATGTAATAGCTTTAATACTACTGTGAATGTAGTTTCAGAGTTGCTGTTGATATCAGAGACAAGAAAGAAGTGATGAGTTTATTTCTGTTAGTCCAATCTACATTAGTGAGAACATACAAGTTTGATAGATCTGTAGCTGCAACTCAACATTAGATGCATAAGTATACAATTTTAACTCTTGATCTAACACAACATACATAACATTTGAACACTTTTTTTCAGTGTCAGGTTAAGCAGATACTCTATGAATAATAATGTTATCAGAGATCTAGCAGGACAAGAGTTGATGCCAGTACTAAGGTTACCAGTTGTGGTGGTACTATTAGGCCAACCTGCTGTCAGCAACAAAAATTCAGCTTTATAGCTGTGGTAGGGGGAGGCTGTAGAACCACCAGAAAATATTTGTTTTAAGAGCATTTTCACAGTTTGCCACCAAAATTTGATGCAATTTTTTTCCTCTTTTAAAAGAATGATTTCCTGCTTTCTGCCAGTTTGCCCATAGAGCTTCTGTGGGTATATTTTTGTATGGGGTTTGGCAGCCACAAATTATCATGTCTACCACATGTTGCCCACTCCTGGTGTACAATGCGTAACACTGCTGTTCTTTCAGTTTGCTGCTATAGGTCCAACAACAGCTGAAGCTATGACAGCTGAAGGAATCTCAGTGAGCTGTACTGCCCTCAGCCCAACCCCAGAGGCTCTTACTGATGGGCTTAGGATAAGTCTCCAGGTATAGAACTGCTCACAGGCAGATGTTAAGACAGTGTGTGTTTCAAATTATGCAATTATGTATTATTATCACAAATACAATTTCTGAACTGAATGACGCCTCCTTTTGAGTCATATGGTTGGGTAAAACCTTTTATTGGACCCCTAAAAAGTTGCAAATAAGGCAAGCTTTTGAGCTGCCAATAACTCTTCAAGGAGAGAAAGTATAAAGTGTGGGATGAAGATAAACAGTCCAAAAATTGGACCAAGTGCGATGTCCTTGGTTCTTCAAAGGAGATTGTTTGCAAGGTCAGGTGGAGTTGTAAATAACGTGCTCTGCTTGGAACAAGCATCACTGCCATGAAGACTTCTGTTCACTGGGGATTCTCTCGATTCTGAACACTGGATGTGATGATCAGTGTGTGGTTTTAACCTAGTCTGATACCTGAATTTGCTCTCTGGTTTTCTGAAGTAAAGACTGTTACCTTGTTCCATGTTTTTGTTTGAAACCTACAAAGAAGTCTATAAATCTCCCCTTAAGGCAATGGATAGAACTATAAAGGTCCAAGCAAGACTTTTTTCTATATAAGAGAGGAGAAACTGTACACTGATACCTCAATCCTATGTGGAATCTGCAAAGCTCCATCAGACTTTGCAAGCAGTCTGATATTTGGAGTCATGGGCATCACATATGGCCTAATTTTTGGCCTGTTTACCTGAACACCAGATTTTATGCCATCTTCGCCTGGCTGAAGAGTTTTGAGAGCTTACAAATAAGCTGACAAGTCAACCCAGAACTTTGTTTCTAGAGATGGATCACACAACTATTTTCCGTTTCCTTTTCCATTTTTAATGTATGGCTATTTCTAGTGTTTGCTATGATTAGAAGTTGTATTCAATTGATTCTGTATATTCTTTCAACTGTGTTAAAAGAGCTATTGATAAATTTGTTACGCTTAGTTGGTAAAATTGACTGTAACAGCCAATTTCTCGATTATATACTTTACCCTAACAAATGTGAATCTTTGCACTATTTAATGTTTATGAAATAATAATAAAGATGTTTTAGATGCTCTGACGCCATCTAAGGAAACTTTATATTTGGTGGAAGTTTACTTTTTAATTATCTAAATAAAGTTTGTAGAATCATAAAATTGTACAGCTGGACAGGACTGCAAGGGTGATCTAAAGCAGGAAATACATAGTTAAAACTTCCCCTACAAATGGTCATCCAACCTGTTTTAAAATGTCCAATGAAGAAGTCCACTACTTTCCAAGGTAATCTATTCCATTATCAAACAGTACATTGTGAAGAGAAAGACCAGAGACAAGAGGTCTTTCTGGTGGAGCTGTTTCTCCTTAAGACATCCAAGGAGACTCAAACCACCCCTCCTCCTACCCACCCCGAAAGAAAGACCAGGCAATAGACAGCCAGGATTTGGAAGAGAAGAGCCAAAGGGAAGAGAGGATATCGCGTGCGGTGGATACCAGTGATTTAGAGAGAGAGTTAAAAGGGTTAAGCGTGGCTGCCCCAGCGAAGGCGGAAATGGCGGGAAAAGAGGAGAAAGGACAGGCTCTAGAGGAAGGGGGATGGGGAGATATAAATACAGCCCGGGATAATATCCCAGGTGGTTGGGAAATGGTCTGGATGCAGGATCCCTGGACCGGGAAATGGGAACAGGTTCAAGTGACCAAGGCTGAAGCAGAGAGCAGGAGGCGAAAAGGTTTACCCCAGAGACCTTCATATTGGGGTGAGTCTGAAACGAGGGAATGGAGGAGAAAGCTTACAGAGGAGAAGGAAACCTTCGCCAGAGAGAACGAGGCACGCCGGGCATGGCATCTCAAAGAGCTGCAGAAGATGGGGTGTTTCCTGGACCTTGGGGTGACTCACAAGGAGAGGGAACCCTGTTATGGGGATGGATGGGGGATGAAGAGACCCTCCCGCTTTTAAACCAGACTGAACCCGAATTTGAGACAGTTGATACAGAACGGGTGATCGCTGTACCTTGGAATGTTACTTCTGTTAACCCTTTTGAAGAGAATTTATGGTTACCCTTGTCAGAGGGTCGAACACGACTGGACAAAAATTGTCAAGGGGAACCTTTACCTTTACCTTTTACCTTGCCAGAGCCGTTGCTCGAACAAGAGATTCAGACAAAATACCATATTAATGTTAATACCCCATTGGTTGAGTTAATAAACAACACAAATCCGTTTGATTCCAATGAGTCTGGTGATTTGTTCAAGAAAAGGGAAGCCCACATACATGAACCTTCACAACATGGAGTTAGGACTTTCTTCCTACTGTTTAGTCAAAATCTCCTTTCTTGTAATTTGAATCTATGAATTTGGATCCTAACTGCTGGAGTTGCAGGAAACAAGTTTGCTCCAAGCCGTTACACCTTTGTATCTTCCAGAATTAGACTTCTCAACATCTACTTATCCCATAATATGTTCTGTACAACGTTTGTAATGGCTTTCTGTATGTAACTGCTTCTACAAATTTTAATATTGCATCAAAGCCATTTTGCTTTAGAATGAGTGAGCAGATATGTGTTTAGTCCCATATCTTTGTGACAAGTGTTCTGTAAACCGTGTAATTATGTGCTTTGATTTTTTAAAAAATTTAAAGCCACATTGGGAAAGTCCTTGCCCTGTCTAAGTGGCAAGGTGTCCTCTAAAGATGACAGAACTAACGTTTACTCTTATTTGGAATACTGCAGTTAATTTTCTTGTTTCTGAAATTGTAACCTAAATATTGGATACTATTATAATTATCCTTCTATTAAAGAGGGGGAAACATCCTCTAATGGAAAGATACAGTGGTGCCTTGCTTAGTGACGGATTTTTTGCGATCGTTTTTGCCACCCGCTGTGTTTTTGCGCCCATTCCTCGCTTACCGGGCAGCAAAAATGGTGGCCGTATGGAGGATTTTTGCATTAAGGTGAGTTTTTTGCCCATAGGAACGCATTAAACGGGTTTTAATGCATTCCTATGGGCTTTTTTTTTTCGCATAGCGACGAATCCGTATAGCAATGATTTTGGCTGCACAGAATATCATCGCTATGCGGGGCACCACTGTAATCCTCACATAATTGATTTTTTTTTTTAAATCACTGATTCTATCAGGACAGCTCACTGTATGATATTCTGACAATTCTTTGTTAAGATCTGTCTTACAACAGAACACGAGGCCATAGAAGAGTAAACTTATTCCTCAGTATCACCTCCTAATTTGCTCAGACAGGAGGCATGATGGCTCACTACCTCAGCAGAGACCAAAGGAAAGGTACATTATACCAGTTATTTAGTGCTTTGGCTTGGGCACTGACAGTTCCTGCTGTGTAATATCTCTCCGATGCCAAAATGCATTAACTATGAGGCTACAATGGGAGAGAATTGCTGCTTATAAAACATAAGGAACAGAATTTATTGGCAGTACAATAATTCAACTCTTCTGCAGTCACTGGTCAGCATTAATGGTGTGATCCACACACCTAGAGTTAGGCCTCATCACAGACTTTCAGTCTCTACTTCCATAGTCAATGTTTGGTGTTTTTTTAAAAAAAATCTTAGTGTCAACAAGGCCTTTTTCTCTTCAAATGGAGACTCCACAGCTGAGGTCTTCTTGATTCTTAATCAAACAGAAGGAAAGACCAGATATGCACCTGGGTGTTTTCCCCAGAGATTTGAAAGTTAGGTCTGAAAACAAATAAATTTCCTCTTTAGTATTCTTGTTAAATGTTATCAACATGTTAATATCCACTTGCTATGCTCTTGGCAGAAATCACATGTCACTCAGTAGTCTCTATCGCCTGTGTTTCCCTTAAGTAATTCAGTGTTGGCCACATGAATGCATTTGGATTATAACATCCTTCACCCAAGCCATAGTTAGGAAGTTAAAATATATATTGGGTTTTTCTGTGCTTCACAGAGCCACGGTCCAAGATTATCAGATGTTCCGAAGTTGGAAACTATTACTCTGCAAAGAGCCATTTGAGCACTTCCAGCTTCAATTCTTTAGCATAACATTACACAAAGATTTGGCTGAAAGTGTACACCTCCCCAGAGCCTGCCTAAGTCATGCATGCAAAGCACTACTGAGATCATAGTGACTAGTTCCAGCAGCACCCAAATTAGTTCAGCATGACTGTTCAAGTTTTTTTAAAATATATATATATATAGTGGCTTCAGTTTCCAATGACTGGGAAATAATGTAATTTGGAGCAAAACTGCAGCCTTTATCCAAGATGAAATTGGGAAGATTTGCAAGGTGCCTGCATCTTTCTCTGAGTGGAACAGAAATTAAATGGAGGGGAAAATTCTCTGTAGGCACAAGCAAGGGCTCTCTTTTTAGTTGCAAAATTAAAGGGGTAAAGTGGATTAGGGCTCCACATATTATTCATTTCACCCCTTACTCGTAACATGGGGATGGCTCTGTAAAAGGGTGGATCCCGGAGAATGGCAGGCAGCTTTAGTGATCTGAAACACAGTGTTATGGCTTCTATAATAAACTCTAGATCTCACTGTGTAACACAAATATATAATAAAGCAAACACCCAAGTCTACAGGTTGTTGGCTTTAACAGTGCCAAGATGTCCAAATAGTTATTGCTGCAATTCCAGAATGAAGCTTTCTGAAGTGGAAAACTGAAATGTTACCTTGGAGTGTGTGTGCACGTCCTGTGGCATCACAGAAAAATGGTTGCTTTTGCCCGATTTCCAGACTACTAATAACCTTATGATTAAACAAAGGGAAATGATAGAAATTTCTCATGGTAAGTAACTGTTTAAACTATGAGTCAGGACCCCACAGGAACCAAAGAAGTTCCATTAGACTCGGGGTTTTTTGGAGCAAATAAAATAAAAGCTCAAAAAAGAGAAGCCCATCTGGTGGGGCTGGCTGCCCTGTCATGAGAAAATAGTGAAAGAGCTTCAAGGCAACTCAGATTCAATGTTTTGCAGTATTTTGACAAAAACAACTCCAGCAAGAATTAGCTATTGCTATTAATACTCTTCCAACATAGGTTAAAGATCTGTCAGGGCTAGCAAATACAGCTAATAAATCCTTTGAATTGGGGACTGAGCACCAACAGTCTTTACAACTTCTAGCAGATTACATGACAGATCTGCAAGCCAGAACTGAGCTCCAGAAAAACAAAGGGAGACAAAATGTCAGCTCCTATCAGAAACAACAACAAAAAAGTTAAGAATGCTGTCTGCAATATTACTCCTATTGAAGAAGGAAGACTGGTTCACTGTGATAGACCTCAATGAGATCTATCTCAATCTGAGGGGGACATCATTGTTTCCTCTGCTTTGTTATCGACAACAACATCTACAAGGTCCTTCCTTTTGTCCTATCAACAGTGCCAGATGCTTCACCAAATGTACAGTCACTGTAGCTGCAAACCTGACTTCAGGGTTTCAGTATTTTTCTCTGTGACTAGCTGATTGTGGCATATTCAAAGATAATGGCCAAAAATTATGTCAACTTCACTCTGATTCTGCTGTCATATCTCAGCCTGAGTAAATCTAAAAGTTGCATTAGAAACCAAGGTGTGTGATCCAGTACAAAGATGCCAGACTAAATGTGAAAACAGTGAGAGCTTATTGACCCCAAGAAAATACACCACATCAAACACCCCATAAGTAAGTTTTGGACAAATGCCCTAGTGACAACATACATAGCTTAGAAGCTGCTTGGTTACATGGCCTTGACCACAATGGTCATCTCCTATGCAAAACAAAAAATGAGGTCTCAACAAGCAGGATTCCTTTCAAACTTAGCATCAAGAACAGTGATCAAAAGAAACTACAACCCCAGGGCTAGCAAATCTACTTGTCCAGAGATCAATCTTTCAAACCAACCTAACCCTCAGCTTTCATACCAACAGTTGCAAGTCTCATAGGATGGAGCACATACTGCATAGTTACGCAAATTCATGCCTTATGGTTCCAGGACAATAGGAAATTACACATAAGCATAGAGATACTGGCAGTAATCAAAACTTTCAAATTTCTACAAGGGAAGGAGGTGCAGCTAATCTCAAGACAACTCTACAACCATGTTTTACATTAACAAGCAGGGCGGTACACATTTGATTACACACTTGTACCTTTCTTTCCTCATATGTGAATGATGTATTCAAAAGCATATATATCCCATTTTTGTTCATGCTGCAGGAAAGAATAACCATATAGCAAATTTGCTGAACTGGGCGAGTGCACAAGTGGAAATGTATGTGATGGTTGCTCATGCAGAGAAAGGAGTTGTTTAATCGTTAAATCATGTTTGACTCTTTATGACTCCATGGACCAGAGAATGCCAGGCCTTCCTGTCTTCCACTGCCTCCCGGAAAGAGGTAGTTGGGTGTATTTATATTCTGAATGTAGATTAAGGAATGTAGAGTAAGAATTGTGAGGGTGATCTTGAACAGGACAGAAAAGTTGGCTCTAAGAAAGAGCTTGCATTATCTTGTAGCACCCAGCTGTTCTGAGATGGATGACTCCAAGGACCAGAGAACGCCAGGCCTTCCTGTCTTCCACTGCCTCCCGGAAAGAGGTAGTTGGGTGTATTTATATTCTGAATGTAGATTAAGGAATGTAGAGTAAGAATTGTGAGGGTGATCTTGAACAGGACAGAAAAGTTGGCTCTAAGAAAGAGCTTGCATTATCTTGTAGCACCCAGCTGTTCTGAGATGGTACCTATAATGCACTGAAAAGCTATAATATGCTTAGTAGCATGAGCAAGTTAAAAACTGCAGTTCTCTACAAAATATATTTTTCTGTGCAGATACTAGTTTTAAAAGGTGTTAAGCATTTAAGGTATCATACGATTTTGTTTTAACTGCAACCAGGATAATGCAGCTAATCCACCTAGAATATATATACACTGTTAAGCCTGAGTTTTAGAGGCAGCAACCTGACACAAAAGCACTGAAATGCAGAGTTAGAGGACACATTTTCAATTTTAAAAAAATTATACATTACTTTTATTCACATTTCTGAAAATAACAGTGATTAAGACAGAAAAATTCCATTTTATCCTTTATCCTTTCCTAGGATAAAGTCTATTATGAGTGTCACACTGAAGTGGGAGAAGGCACACTCACACAGGAGTATGTTCGATGCTACAGTACAGTACAATGTTTGCATATGTAATGGAATCTTATGGTTTAAGTAAAACTTCTGGCAGTACCTTACAAAGACGATTGTTTTGTAAATAATTTTTAAAAAAACAACTAAGCAAAATTTCACTGTAATAGATTACAGTATTAGCAAAACCACCCTGCTTTACAACTCAACAAAGTATATTATGTTTCAAATAAATGAACTGTACATTTCTGTTTTAGCACTTTAAAATACAATAACAAAATATATACTAACTGTATCATTCTTCAAAAGATAGCAATAAGGTTTATTTTTCCAGCTGTACAATCTTATAAATATGTAATAATACAAATAAAATCAAGGATCTCTATAGAACAGAAACACAAGTCCATTTTTGAGCAAGGCACTGATTAAATTGCTGTGATGTCTATCAGGTACTGTTAGGTTACTGAGGTCCCAGATTACTGCCTTCATTGTCCTGAGTCAGCTGTTCCAATAGGTTTAGCACAACTTCTATTCTTTCCAGCAGCGTCAGGTTCTTCTTTGCTACAGATCGCAAGAGAAGTGAGTAAACATACTTATTGGACTTAAGAATTTCTTCTTCTTCATTGTTACCTCTGAGGAGAAAAAGGGTGGAGTAAATTAATCCATTGCCACATTACATTAATACTGAACTTTGCAAACAATGGCTTGAACACAAGAGTAAAAGCATTAACAGAACATATTTTTGCTGTTGCAAGGGAAATACTTCCCTAAATTGACACCAACTCCCTATAACTGTTCTGTCCTATATCACATCACATCTCAGGCCACTAGCAAACGTCACCCAAACTCTTAAGAAGAGCTTTTCAGCAGGTGCACAGGTTTCATTCTGCAAGCAGAACTCTAGTTAATTTTTGCAGACCATCTCATGGCCCCTGTATCAGGTAGATGCAACAATCCATTAGAACATTTCTTCTCCTGCCTTCACGTTAAGCAGATACAATCAAAGAGTCCAGAAATACTGTATTTTTCTGTGTATAAAATGACATATTTTTCCTAAAAATAATTAGAGGAAAATTTGAGCATCGTATGCTCAGGCGCCTCTTCCTGCCACCGCCACTGCCCAATTGCCTCTTCCAGAGCTCACAGCTTGTCCCCTCTGGTGGCCCTGAGGCAGCAGGAGGCGAAGGAGCATTCACATGCGCTTTGGTGCCTCCTGCTGCTGCCTTCCCTGCCCGCCTGATTACCTCCCCCAGTGCGACTGCCGACTGCTGGGGCTCACCTCCAGCTCATGTCAGCTTTATCTCCTCTGGTGGTGGAGGCAGGAGGAGGCAAACAAGCATTCACGTGCGCTCAGGCGCCTCTTTCTGATGCCACCGTCAGATCACCTCCTGCCATGATCTCCTTAGGGCACGGGACAAAGCAGTGATGTGAGCTGTACCCAGCAGTCGGCAGTCGCACTGGAGGTGATTGGGCGGGCAGTGGAGACAGCAGCAGCAGGAGATGGAGGAGCGGTTGCCCATTAACTGCTCCTTCGCCTCCATCAAGGGGCAAAATTAGGGGGTCGTTTTATACACTGGGGGGTCATATACATGGTAAAATATGGTATATTGCTCTGGGTAGAAATAGGGAAATTTAGCTGAGCTCTAATCCAGTTCTATTCCCTATCTGTCATTATATTACCCTGTTCCTCAGGTTTTCATTAATGCAACTCAGCAGTATGCATTACCTGCACCTTTCTGGATGATCTCACATGTCTCAGAATTAAGCTCCTTCGTTTATTTCATTATTATGATAGGTTTTCCTGCAACTACTTGGCTGATTCCCCATGGAAACTCAAGCATGTGGAATAAGCTCAGACTTTCTTTCTCTGTTAATGCCAGTTTTCAATTTTTTTATCAAGGACTTCATAAATAATTAAAAAAAAAAAACATCAGAAATTAGCAGTGTCAAAGCCAGAAGTTTTGTAGCATACGTAAACACACAAGATGTGTTGCCAACTGATTTCATTGCAAATATTTTGATCAAGGAAAGCAAGAAGCAATTACATTCCTGAAATTTGGCAAACAGAAATGACAGGTTCATTTATTACACATTACATTTATCAATTAAAGTTCCAATGAATTCTGTAGGAATTTCCATAATTAAGCATTTCTATAATTAATACTTAAAACGGTTTCCACAACCAAATAGAAAGCAAAAAGGGATAGAAACTACACGAAAGAAATACAAGCAGACAAGAGAGAAAGACAAACATTTTGAAGTGTCTCATTTAAAAGCAGTTAAACTTCATGTTCATATTAATGAGAGCTCTCCCGAACTGCCACATCCAAAATGAAGACTGTGGAGAACTACATGCTTTCGCTCTCCCATGCGAAACAGATTACTTACAAGTAAGACTAATAATTTAAAAAACTTTATTCCAGAAGCAGGAAATTGCTAAGAGAGGTCAAACCACTGGATGCAAGAGGCTCAATTCCTCTTATACCAAATTTGGGAGCCAAATTGACATTTGGCAAATGAAAATGTTTGTGTCCACCAAGAGAAATACAGTGCCCATCCAAGTATCCCTAATAAAATAACCTGTGCAGACTGGCTAAACATGAATTCTTTACAGTACCTATGTATTTTTTACAATACTATATCAATTTATATATTCAAACATTACAGACGCCATTCAGGTCCAACAATTAAATCCATCGGGAAGCCTCTACAAGAAGTATAACTTTTGGGGTGCATAGGAAATGCAATCCACACAACGACTGCCTTCCTTACAGCTCTTCTGCTATTTTCTGCCTGCCTTTAAATTCTGCTTTTCTGCTAGTCTTATGCTTCTTTCAGCAACTGCCTGCAATGCATGTTTTTGATATCAACATGCTGTGGCTTGACTGTGTGAATGGACACCCACAGAGAGCACTTATTTATTTTGCTTATATCCTACCCTCTTCTCAAGACAGGGAGATCTCACGTGGCTTACAAAATGTTCTTTTAAAAAGATACAACTAAGATAAAACTAAGTTATAACTAAGAACACAATTTAAAATGCAATTAAACATATAAAACACTACTAACTTGAAAATATGAAAGAGTAAAAAGTGCAGCATTCATCCACTGAAAGATCCAACAAGTGTTAAGAAAAGTTCCAACTGCCTAAGAACTGGAGATTATAGGGCCACAGCATAAGGTGGTGGCATTGCCTTGTCACAAAAAGACAGAACTGGTGACTGAACACAAAAATTCATTCCCAGCTATCAGCAGATGCAGCTCCGCTTGGCAATCCTGGCATTACTACAAAGGTGCTGACTCTTGCTAGCAAATAATAGTCTTACATCATGCCTTGCTGACAACATTCTTCTTTCAGCAGTATCACATGTGGTTAACAAGGTTCAGTAAGACTATATTGTGTTATTCTTTTGTAGCTCCAGCTACATTGAAGTTGCTCTTCTGCTTTCATTTTTGAAGAATTTGAAAAACATATAATATAGTTAGAACTTAACATGTTCAGGCTGTGGAAAAAGCTAAAGATAATTATGAATCATTCACAGAGCAGAATAAATGAAAATTCAAATATTCTGCCCCGACATTATCAGCCTCTCCAAACCTGTATAATATTCTAGTATAAGACTGGAACAATTACTGGCACAAACAGATGTAAGAAATGAGTTGGCTTTGCAACAGAAATTGCATCTGGGTCTTCTGTATTTACATTGCCATCTTGTGGAGACCTAGAAATTGTAATGCAATGACCATAATGGTCTAGTTTTTGCCAGGATGCTTTTCAGTTTGATTTTTGAGAGCTATAGACTAGAGTTTAACACATATATGGTATGTACGTTAGAAAGTCCTCCAGTTTACTATTCCATGTGGAGAGGGTGGCCAATGACTTATTTTAAAAATCAAAATTCCTTTGTCTTCCCTAGGATACAGCAAACCTTGAATCCTGTCTACCAGCACTAACATATAGACCACCACCTGAGAACAACAGGCTTCAAACAGGCCCATGTTTGTTTACATGTTTACATTGTTGTCTCTGGTGTTTATATTATCCTATATAAACCCTTCTGCTAATACCAGCAGAGTCTTTAAAGACCAATGTAGACTGGTGGGCCCCCCCTTTTATCTCATCTATTTACATTCATTAATAACACCGGGCAAATTCCATACTCCTGGTTAGAGGCAATAGTGATACCAATCTATAAGAAGGGGAACAAAGACGAACCCTCAAATTCTAGACCAATTAGCATTCTGTCAATAGTGGCCAAGCTTTACGCTAGATATCTTAATAATGGATTAATCACATGGATTGAGGAGGAGGATATCTTAGGGAATGTATAGGTTTGCTTTAGTAAGAACCGCTCCACTTTTGACCACTGTATAGTACTGAATCACCTTGCAGAGAAGTATATGGGCTGTCATGGGAATGGCCTGTTTGCAGCTTTTATCGATTTAAAGTCTGCCATCGACTCAATACCCAGAGGAAATTTATGGGAAAAACTCTACTCTTCCTTGATTGGTAAGAGGCTTTTGTATCTTATCAGAAGCCTCTACCAACAGACCACAATTAGGGTGAGATGTGGAGTCAGTGGGAATCTATCTAACCCCATTCAGGCAGAGAGAGGGGTTTGCCAAGGTTGTATTCTGGCACCTACATTATTTAATCTGTACCTAAATGACCTCCCTAAAAGCTGCACAGCACCTGAATTTCACCCCTCGAAACTGGCTAAAAGCAATGTGTCCTTACTACTATACGCAGATGACACAGTTGTCATGTCACTATCGGAAGTTGGTCCTAAACATATTCTACGTACAGTGGTGCCTCGCATAACGCTTTTAACTGGTTCCAAAAAAAAAACCTTATGCGAAAAAAACTTTATGCGAAACACCATTTCCCATAGGAATGCATTGGAAACCGGTTAATCCGTTCCAATAGGCACGGATTGGCGTCCTTAAGCGAAAAAACCCATAGGAAACATTGTTAAACGATACAATGTTCCTCCATTGGAATGTATTGAAGCCGACTGAATACATTTCAATGGCTTTGCGAAGTCAATTTTTGCAAATTTAAGTGTGTCATAAAAGGGTCAAAAATGGTTTTAAATGCTTGGATTAGCTTCTGGACCCTCTAAAATGGATGCAAAAGTTAATTTGGCTTTGATCTGACTTTTCGTTAATTTATGGTGAATTTTTTCCCCCCAACTTTTGACAGCTGTCAAAATCTGACAGCTCCATTGTTTCCTATGGGGGAGAAAAAAATTCACAAAAAATTAACGAAAAGTCAGATCAACGCCAAATTAAGTATGCACACATTTTAGAAGGTGCACTAACGATTCCAAGCATTTAAAACCGTTTTTCAACATGTTAAGACACTTTTGTAATTGAAAAAATGAACATCGTTAAGTGAAGCAGGGGACCTAAAACCAAAAATGTTAAGCAAAGCATGGTCCCAAAATCGCTATGTGAAAATCGCCCATAGGGAAAAACGTTATACGAAGCACAATCTGACTCTGAAAAAATAAACGTTAAGCGAAAAAAACGTTAAACGAAGCAAACGTTATGCGAGGCACCACTGTACATTTATGGGTTACTGCAGGAACAACCTATTAACATTTAACTTCGAGAAAACCAAAATAATGGTTTTCTCTAGGCATAGTAAAGTGAAAGAATGGATTATTGAGGGCCAGCATATAGAACAAGTTAAAACATTTAAATACTTGGGAATTGTCTTCTCACGTACCCTCTCCAGGTCTCACCATAGACAAGCAGCAGTGCAGGTGGCTGACAATACAAGCAAAGTTCTTAGACGATACTACTATGTCCAGGGTGGGCAGTTCACCCCTGCTGCTCTACAGATAGCTAAGTACAAAATTCTTGCTCAGCTCCTGTATGGTATTGCAATTTGGATAAATGGTTTCAATCCCTCAGTTGAAAGTGTCCTGTCAAACTCGCTGTGAATCGTATTTGCCATGCCAAGATACATTTCTTCTGCTGCCCTGCGTTTGGAGGCTGGCCTTCAATCGGTGGAATGTCAAACTTGGTTATATGCATCCTGATTCTGGTTGAAGGTGGTATATGCTCCCATAACCAGCGGTTATTTATACTATTTACAAAAAAATGTCTTTGCCAGCTCATGGCATAAGGGATTTACTGATAAATTACCATATTTTTCCCACCATAAGACACACTTTTCCCCCACAAAACGGGGTGGGGTGGGGTGGAAAGTCTGTGCGTCTTATGGAGCGAAGAAAACAGATTATATTTTCCTGTTTTCTTTTCCTAAAAAATTGGTGCATCTTATGGAAAGGCGCGTCTTATGGAGCGAAAAATATGGTACATCTTTTAGGCTTCTCTATGGACTTCTTTCTGAGTCAGCATTATGATAGTACCAAGTCAATGGTTGCACAAACCATTAAAGACACAGATCTCCAGTATTCACTAGCACGTGCAGACAGGATGTGCTCACCAATGTACTTTGGTTTAAATTTTAGCTTTCCCAAGTTAGCAAATTATCTATATCGAATCACAGCACCAATGTATCATTTTGTCTTCTCAAGGGCTAGGTTTAATTGCTTTCCCTCAGCCTTGTTAAAAGGGTGCTTTAATGACATTCCTTATGGAGAAAGAATATGCCCCTGTGGGGAACAAACAGTTGAGTCCTTGGCACACACCATTCTAGGATGTAGTTTATATAGATCTGAACGTATCCGTTACCTCTACCCAATAATGTATAAATGTACTAGTATAGCTCCCACAGACTACCTGAAGTTTCTGCTGTCCGGAGAGAACCAATTAATATCACAGTCGGTGGCTAAGTTTTTATTCTGTTTTAAGAATTCATAAAATGTTATATTAAGACAGCCATACAACTCAAGTTTTATACTGCTGGTTTGTTCTAACAACTTACTTATTCTATAACATCTTATACAATGTTTTTATCTTTGTATTTTCAGGTCTATGACCGTATAATAATAAAACAAAACAAAGTACCATGTTTGCCAGCGTACAAGATGACTTTTTTGGCCCCAAAACATGCCTCCAAGTGGGGGGGCTGTCTTGTACGCCGGGTGCACTCCATTTGGGCCAGGAAGGAGCTGCCGCCGCCGCCACTGAGTGAGTGACGCGGGGCCACGCTGGCCGGAGAGGAAGGCAGGCGGGCATGCAGGCGGTCGGTCCCGATGGAGGGAGGGAAGCAGAGCCGGCCGTGCCTGAGCGGCCAGAGCCCGCCGCCCCGCGCTGCTGAGCCAGCTCGCCCATGCGCCACTGGAGAGCTGCTTCTCCTTCCCATCCTCCTCTGCCACCGCCCGCTTCCCTTTCCTTCTTGCCCTCCTCGCAGCTGAGCCCGCTCGCCCGTGCACCACCGGAGAGCTGCTTCTCCTTCCCCTCCTCCTCCTCCTCCGCTACCCGCCCACCCGCCTGCTTCCCTTTCCTTCTCACCCTCCTCATCGCAGGCCATGAACTTCCAGCAGAGCCGTCCACTCTTTATTTTGAGTGGAAATGTTGGGGGGTCGTTTAATACACCCAGTCGCCTTGTACGCCGGCAAATACAGTATATACCCATCTGAGTGGCAGATTGACAGAAAAGTGGGAAAAGAGTTTAAATTTTAAATTTAAATGTAAAAACTCTCAAATTAAGAGTTTGAAGCATTAAAAGCAGCTAAGGGGAAGAAAAACAGATCCCTGATGAGAAGCCTAGAGGCCCACAGAGAAGGGATCCATGTAGACAAATGCAAGGGCTAATAGTTTTCCATTATTGTAATGGTCTGGTTATACAATCTGTATTTGTGTGAATTAAAGGTGGACAGCACACAGAGGCTTGGAGGTACAGCGAGAGACAGTGCTCTGAATATCATTTTTCCCTCCCCCTTACTGTTTTTATGCTTCAAACTCTTAATTTGAGAGTTTTTACATTTAAATTTAAAATTTAAACTCTTTCCCCACTTTTCTGTCAATTTGGCACTCAGAATGGCTTATACTGTATAGGGTAATATAAACAAGGTTCTTTGGAAGAAAGTGGGCAGGGAATGCAGGAATTGCTCTGATGAGTTCTGCTTTTCCCCTCCACTTTCTTTGCAAAAAGTGGAGGGGGAAAGCAGAAATCAAAATGCTTTTATGATTCCTGCTTTCCCTCTCCACTTTAAAATGGAGGGGAAAAGCAGCGAGGAAAGCGCTTTTTGTTTTTGAAGGTTGGTGATGAGCATCCGCGTAAACAGCACAGAGTACTAGTTGACCTTCATTATAGTAAATCTGTGAAGTTTTTTCAACTCCTGAAGGATGCACCATGTGAGCTTCTTCGTGTACAATTGGAAAGAGTAGCTTCTTTGTATAAGACAACCGCAAATTTTTAATCTAAATATTTTAGAGAAAAATATCATCTTATACATGTAAAAATACGGTAACTAGGATTGCTGTTGGTGTTATATTCACCTTGCTACCTAAAAGCATTCCTAGCTGAGCACAGAGCTGGAGACCAACATAGACAGTTATGTGGATAAGCTTGGGGCTTCATGGCCTTCATGATAATCACAGATCTATCCCAGTTGGTCATGGGTCCTAGGCACAAGACAAGGCAGTTGCTCCTGAGTGCTTTATTCAAAGCAATAATGCTCATTTTGCACCCTGGTTCTTGGGAAAGTTCTGAACAATGAAGCAGGATGACTGCCAGAGCACTAGTCACATAAATTCTGTATGAGGATGGCTGAACAGAGTACCTAGATGTACTGACCTGTAGCTACTTCATCATTTTCTCAATCAACCATCCAACAGAGCCTTTCAAGGTAACATGGAAATTAACATCTGGACAAAAGTGATGCGGCAACCCATAAAAGCTTGTTACAAGGCTTTTCTGAGGATGAAATCCCTTGCCTTTATAGTTTTCTTAATACTGTTCAAACAGGTACAAATAAAGTGTCCAAGTGGAAATTATTTCTTCTTCTGTGACCCAAGGACATGTACGTGACAATTGGACAATTTCATGTGTCATCTCAATAGCTGCACATCATGGTTAATCTGAGCTACCTGGATTAGTCCAAGGAGTGGTGAACCAGAGGTTCCAACAGAGGTGGGGGCAGTTTATGCCCCTCAAAACCTGTTCTATACAAATGAGAAACCCTTTGAGCTCATTTTTGGATGCAGCAATTTTCATGCTGCAGTAAGGAGACAAAGAAAACATATTGCAGCACTGGTAACTGGACTATCCAGGGAAGATTTTTTTCAGGACTGCTAATGTCTTTGCCTCCTCAAGGCCAGGAAAAACTGTCTCTTTATAGCTATATGTTCTTTCAGTGGAAGAAACCTGCTGAATCTTGTCCACTAACTATAAGCAAGAACAGCCTGCTAGGTACATGTAAGGATATCAAACAGTGGCAAAAACCCTTCTACATTAACTTCAAAGCCACTTCTCTATGTGTAGCTGTAAATGTAACACCACCACAAAAAGGCAATCATTTCAACTAGCATTCAAATATGAAAGTAACAATAGGTTCAGAAGATAAATCACATTCCTTGTTGATATCTAGACCTCCCTTTCTGTTAATGGAATAGGTTTTCTGCAGTTCACACTAGATAGTGCTATGAGAAAAGAAAAATAAATCAAAATAGAGTCTGCTTCTGCAAACACCTATACAAACTTCTACACATGCAGAAGCATAACTACTATAACATTACTGTGGCAATCACCCTGCTTTGGCTCAGGTAGAAGATTATTTGCATGTGCCAATGAAAGCTGTTGGGATGTAGAACCACAGCAACTAGAAGGAAGGGGTAAGTCAGAGTCTAGTTAGTTTAGTCATAGACAGAGTTTTGAGGGGAGATAGTTTGGGTTTAAGGTAGAGAGAGAATTTAAGTAGTGAATAGTCAGAGTGTTATCTGTATTAGTTAAGATAGAAAATGTTAAAGGAAACTACTGAAGCTTTGTGTAACTTTAAGAATGTGCTTAAAAATTACGTATTCCTGAAACAACTAGTAATCAATAAACCTGTTCTTATATCAAAGTTAAGTACTTAATGGACCTCAATCTTTCATAGGAAACATAGTTGGTAAAGAGATCAACTGGTGGCAGCAAAGTATGCTGGGATACCTTTGTGAGCTCTGTGTTTGGTGAAACAAGCAGAGGCCATGGGGTAAATGTTACAATTACATACTGTAATACTAGGTCACCTCTGTAATGTCTACAAGACAACATAACGGGCTATTTTCTTTTCATTCAGATTTGTTTGGATTCAAAGCTCAATCTATTAATGCTATAAGAGGGCACAGGAAAACAACACTAGCTGCTGCCACATACTTACCCGAGTTTCTTTTTGGTTGATGTAAGCAGTTTGATGGACTGAAGGAGGAGAAATGACAATCTAGATTCAAATATACCAAGGAGCTTTGATACTTCTTCTTTATTGAGGCTGTTTGAGGAATCTTCAGTAGTCATTCTCTCTACATTCTTCTTGTTATCCTCAAGGGTCTAAACATAATATATTTGTGGAAGAATTAACCATTCTAAACCACGAGTTAGCACTTGTATGAGCTACAATTTCACATTGGTTTCAGAATACTTAGCAACTATATGGAGCTTTTTAAAAGCACATAAAGAAGAGTCATGGAATATAGGGACCATTTATCTAGCCCTGAACCTATACAGATGAGCATATGGCATGCTTGAATTAAAGGTTACTTGAAAATAATAACAATAGTTACCTGCTCACAATCAGCAACAAGTTCTTTTTTGATAAGCTGAAACACAGACTGGGTCTGTCTCATTATATCCAAGGCCCCTGATAAGGTCTTTAGCTTTCCCCCATTGCTGTTTTGACCTTGAAATAAGATAAGGAAGGCATTAATAAATTGGACACATTCTCACTTATTTTCTATTCTATAATACTGTATTTTAAGAATTTTAACAATCCACACAGCTTTGTTAAAGACGTATTTCCCCCCTCCCACCTCATTCCACTGTATTCAAGGAAACTAGTGATCAGTTTAAAAAAAAAAAAGAAACTTGAAATAAAACAAGGCCAAAATAGAAAAACCATCCAACTTACTTGCCATCTGAAATTCTGCAAATGCTACTCTTTCCAATTGTACACGAAGAAGCTCACATGGTGCATCCTTCAGGAGTTGAAAAAACTTCACAGATTTACTATAATGAAGGTCAACTAGTACTCTGTGTTGTTTACGCTGATGCTCATCACCAACCTTCAAAAACAATAAAATTGTTTACGTTATAAAGTTATAAAGAAGAATAAAAAGGCCAGCTATATGCGATATGAAAGGGAATAACTCCATTCAGTTTCTACATCAACAATCTCCTTAAATATTCACAGAAAATAAAAATTCAAAAAGAAACCTATGAGGAATCCTTTTCATCTTAAGACTGCTTACATGACTAATATTAAATAGATTGATAGGAAGATATTAGTACATTGAAGAAAATATATCAGGGTGTCATGAATTATAGGACTGGCACAGAATTATGACTAGTGCCAAAAAATAAATAAGCCTGGAAATTCATAGTAGTAAAATTCGTATTATAAAATTATTGCCTGTTGCTTACTACAGGTACCCTGTTTTCCCGAAAATAAGCCCTAACCTGAAAATAAGCCCTAGTATGATTTTTCAGGATGCTCATAATATAAGCCCTGCCCCAAAAGTAAGCCCCAGTTAAGTGAAACCCCACCCTCCACCCTTGTGCAGCAACCAGAAGATGATGACATGACTGTATTTGAATAAATGCAGATTGTTGTACATGAAGAAAATAAAACATCCCCGAAAATAAGCCCTACAGCATTTTTTGGAGCAAAAATTAATATAAGACCCTGTCTTATTTTCAGAGAAACACAGTAGTAAGATGTAACTAGAACAGGCTCACTGAAAATGTGGGATTTGATGAGAACATTTATTTATTATTTATTTAAAGTATTTCTACTCTGCCTTTCTACTTAAAAAGGACTCAAGGCAGCTTTGATTTCAGGATATAGTAATTATGTTTAAAAAAAACAAAAATCAAAACAGCCACTGTGCCTTTTTTTAGTGAGCCAAGAAAAATACAGAAAGATATATTAGCATAAAACTCCTTTGGGCAAATACCTGGTTTCTCAAACAGCTATGATACATGGAAGCCAGCCTGTGGTGTATTGTAGCTGCCCGGTACTGGCAAAGGGGTTGCCGTGCAGAAACTGTATTAACGTCACAGTATTTCAAGGATTTCATCATTGACTCACTAACTTCTTTTTCTATCTAAAACACATCAAAAAGAGGTTTTCAAAGTCTACAATATTAAAATCCATTTACTTCATAATCCCTCCCCCCTCTTTTTGTGTGTGTGCTTCAAATACAGGAAAAGGCAACTAAAACAATCAATGGTTGTAAACTGGATTCTGCAAGTAATTGCATTACCATGGATCACTCTCATAGCTTCAATTTTCTCATGGAACACAGAAATAATAGCCTTTATAACATAACAAACTATTACAAGTGTAGCTTTTTTAATTCTTAAAATTATGTGATTTATGGATTTCAGACACTGGAGGGACTATGATCATTAAGCATATGTTCTACAATCAGGGAAATTATCAAGGTGGTAAGGTCAAGCAACAAGGACAAACTTGCCACTATCACACCCTTTAAAACTACATAGGTAAATGTGATAGGCTGACACCAAAGATCTATACACCCAGCATCCTTTTGCAATGGAAGTTCTTTTTGATGCATCAGAGATTTCTGTTCAGAAGATAGAGAAATGGTGAGAGAAATTAATTTTGAATATTCCCACAAATATTCACAAAAAAACTGTTCCTGAGAACTGGGAAGATGAACTCAGAACAGCATGACAAGTGTTGAGTGGGCTACAAGGACGAATTACTGAAAATCACCTCCCTTCTTTTCCTGTTGTCAGATACCTCTGTTAGATAAGAGAGCAATGCATCAGCAATACTACTACTACTACTACTACTACTACTACTACTACTACTACTACTACNNNAATAATAATAATAATAATAATAATAATAATAATAATAATAAAAGACAGAGAGAGAGAGAGATGCCAATTGGACATAACATAGTGTTTCATAGGACTGAACCTTTGTTCTAAATCTAGCTAAACAATCTTTGTGTTCATGAGAAATAGGATTTGCCATCCATATTCTCTGCCATCCAACCACAACACTGCACAAAGATACTGTAATCCATCAGTGTTTCCAAACACAAATGCACCCATTGCACTGTAGAATTTAACAGAATTCTCAGCTTCAAAGCGCTTTGATATCAGTTTGACTAGTTTTAAATACTTTCCTCCCTATCACACCTGTGAAACACACATCTACACTATGCCACAAAATACTAATGGTTTACCCACAGGGCTTAATAAACATAACTATTCCCAAAGTGAGGGTTTCAGAATCTATAAAGGTCAACATCATAGTGTTTGCTCAGGTTAATTAAACAAAGCAGAAAAACAAAAATAATAGGAAAACATTTTACTACATCATTACTGACAGCAATCAGCATAATGCATATGCAACTATTTAGTTCCTGATTGCCATATTTTTCTGTGTATAAGACACCTCCATGTATAAGATGCCCTCTTACTTTTCTAACCCAAAATTAAGAAATCAATATTTTAAACACAAAACAGAACACATTTTTATTTAGTAATTAGGTAACATTTATATACCAGTGCTGTCATATTAACTTTAACGTTATTCAGTCTCTGGGCTCAGAACTCTTGGATAGAGATGGGGTATTTGTAGACAAATACGAATATGTCCCCACAGGTGGAAATAACGAGGGTGTGGCCCTATGGAGCTGGACCGTCTACTCACTATTTGGCTGCTGCTGTGGGCACAGCAGCGTCTTTCTATCACGCTGTGCTCCACAATGGAATAGCCACTGTGTGACCTGGCAGAGAGGCTTATCATCTGGCCTTCAGCCAGGAGTGGCTAATCCACTGTGGAGCACAGCATGATAGGAAAATGCTGCTGCGCCTGCAGCAGCGGCCGAACGGTGAGTGGACAGTCCAGCTCCATGGGGCCGGACCCTTGTTATTTCCACTTGCAGGGAGATATTTGTATTTGTCTACAAATACCCCCATCTCTACTCTCAGACATTAGGATTCCCTGTTGCATCTGAGCGCTGTTGCAATTGGTTTGTTCAGCATCAGCTGACGTCAGTTACATAAGGCTTGTGATTGGAGGAAGCTAAGCCTTCTGATTGGAGGCAGCCTGTTTGCAGAGGCAAGGTATGGGTCGTTCTGTTCTATCCGCAGCTTACTTCAGTGTATAACACAACCATCAATTTTTAGTCTTAACAATTTTAGAAAAAAGTAGTGTCATATACACAGAAAAAATATTTTATTCAAATGCTCTCTTTGGTGTTACCTTAGGGCATTATCCCCTTCCATCAGCAGCACCAGTTAGAAATGCCAAGACAATGGCCATTTCTCAACAGAGGATATATTGTTCAAATGCTCTCTTTGGTATTACCTTAGGGCATTATCCCCTTCCACCCAGCAGCACCAGTTAGAAATGCCAGGACAATGGCCATTTCTCAACAGAGGATATAATAAACTCAAAGGTGTTACCTGCTCTTGAGCCTTCCTGGACAAGGGAGCATAATCTTGCAGCAGAGTTGCCATAGTAAAATAGGTAGTTGACAGTTCCCAGTTGACAGAATCCCAGACAGCTGGATGAACTTCCCTTTCACCAAGTGATCTTAAAGCTTTCAGGTAATAGTCAATAGCCTACAGATTTTTTTTTAAAAAAAGAACCAATGTGTCACCAAAGGGAAACATGAATAGGTTTACATCAGACACAACTGAGATGCAATTGGAGTGCAGTCTTTTATCTTTAATTCAAGGGATTGAACAAAAATATCATATGAAATGTTTAGGAATTGCAACCATGTTCATGGTCCCATTATTTCAGGGGCTCAAATGTAACTGGACAAATTAACACAATCATAAATAAAATGTTCAGTTTTAATACTTTGTCAAGAATCCTTTGCAGCCAATGACTGCCTAAAGTCTGGAACATCACCGCTGGGTTTTCTCCTTTGTGATGCTTTGCAAGGCCTTTACTACAACTGTCTTCAATTATTGTTTGTTCGTGGATCTTTCTGCCTTACGTTTTGTCTTCAGTAAATGAAATGCATGCTCAATCGGCCATTGCAAAATATTCCACTTCTTTGCTTTAAAAAAAACTTGTGGGTTGCTTTCACAGTATGTTTTGGGTGATTGTCCATCTGCAAAGTGAAGCACCATCCAATCATCTCTGCTGAACTTGGCTGAATATGAGTAGACAACGTAACCGTATACAGTGGTGCCTCGCTTGACAACGTTAATTTGTTCCAGCGAAATCGCTGTAGAGCGAAAACGTCAAATGAAATTAAAAAACCCAGTGAAAACTGTTCAATGTGTTCCAATGGGCTGAATACTTGCTCGTCCAGCGAAGATCCTCCATACGGCGGCCGTTTTCGGTGCCTGTAAAGCGAGGAATCCGTCCTAGAAAACAGCGGGGGCCATTTTCTTCAGCCAGTTGCCATTTAGAAACCTGGTTACCGAAGCAGGGAACTGATCATCGCACAGCGAAAAAAACCCATTTAAAAGCAATCGCAAAAACGTCAACGTAAAGCGGGGTAATCGTCCAGCAGGGCATGACTGTACACTTCACATCTGGCTGCTTCTATCTTCTGTTATATCATCAATAAACACTAGTGACCCACTGCCATTGGAAGCTATGTGTGCCCATGCCATCACACTGCTCCCACCATGTTTTAAAGATGTGATATGCTTCGGATTATGAACAATTTCAAGCCTTCTCCATACTTTTTTCTTCCCATCTTTCTGGTACAGGTTGATCTTTGTTTCATATGTCCAAAGAATGCTGTTCCAGAACTGGGCTGGCTTTTAAAGATATTTTTTGGCAAAGTCTGATCTGGCCTTTCTATTCTTAAAGACTATGAATGGTTTCCACATTGTGGTGAACCTTTTGTATTTGCTCTTCTGAAGTCTTCTCTTTATGGTAGACTTGGATAATGTCACTTGGCTGGATGTTGTGAAGGTTTTGTTTTTTGTTTTTACCATGAAACCATGAAAAAGGATCCCACAATCATCCACCACTGTTGTCTTCCATGGATGTCTAGGCATTTTTGTGTTCCAGAACCCACTAATGCACTTTTTTTCTCAGAATGTACCAAACTGTTGCTTTGTTGTTGTTGTTTAGTTGCTGAGTTGTGTCCGATTCTTCGTGACCCCATGGAACAGAGCACGTCAGGCCCTCCTATCTTCCACTGCCTCCCAGATTTGGGTCAAATTCATGATGGTAGCTTTGATGACAATGTCCAACCATCTTGTCCTCTGTTCTCCCCGTCTTCTCTTGCCTCCACACTTTCCCAACATCAAGGTCTTTTCCAGGGAGTCTTCTCTTCTGGTGAGATGGCCAAAGTATTGGAGCCTCAGCTTCAGGATCTGTCCCTCCAGTGAGCACTCAAGGTTGATTTCCTTCAGAATTGATAGGTTTGTTGCAGTCCAGGGCACTGGTTCTTAACCTTGGGTTACTCACGAGTTTTGGACTGCAACTCCCAGAAGCCTTCACCACCAACTGTGCTGGCTGGGGTTTCTGGGAGTTGCAGTTCAAAAACATCCGAGTAACAAAGGTTAAGAACCACTGGTCCAGAGGACTCTCAAGAGTCTCCTCCATTGCCAAACTGTTGCTTTAGCCATTCCTAACATTCCTGCTATCTCTCTGATGGATTTCTTTCTTTCTTTTTCTTTTTGCAGCCTAAGGATGGCCTGTTTCACTTGCATTGAAAGCTCCTTTGAACACATGTGAGTTCACAGCAAAAGCTTCCAAATGTGAATGCCACACCTAGAAACAACTCCAGATCTTTTACTTGCTTAATTGAGAATGAAACAATGAAGAAATAGCCCACACCTGTCCATGAAACAGCTTTTGAGTCAATTGTCCAATTACTTTTGGCTCATATTAAAGAGCTGTAATTCCTAACTCTTCCTCTAATTTGGATGAGAATGCCTTCAAATTAAAGCTGAGAGACTGTAACTATAACCATATTCATTATTTAACTGTAACTTGAAATTCTTTTGGTAAACAGCCAAAATAACAAAACTTGTGTCAGTGTCCAACTAGACCGAACTGTATGTGCTCTTCATGTGTCTTCCAATGAACCCAATTAACATGATTGTTACCTCCACCATGCTATTCCTTTTACTAGGCTAATGACAAAATAAAAGTTACATGTCCCCTAACCATAGCCTCATGGCCCCAGTCATGCATCAAAATTCAGAATGGGAGAACCATGCTTCTACCATTCTGATTTGACTGTGGCTCCCTTATATGAAGGCCATACTCTTAAGCAAGCAAGTTTCAATGAACCTGGTGAGGCAGTGTAATTCTGATGATCCACCAGCTGGCTTATGAAAGTAGATTACATACATAAGCATACATATATAGGCATTTTACACAAATGGCTACTGTAAGATCCAAGTAAGATGTTTCAGTAGCAGCTTCTACAAGGAAAGTCACTGAGGACTTTTAAAAAAATCTTGCTTAAAAAATGCTGCCACTTTCCACACTTTCCTCTTCTCTGTAAGTCAGTAATATGAGCCAGTGGGAAAGCAATCTGAAGTGATTTTTCTGATTAAGATATCAAGACTCAGAATGGACAAATTCACTCCTATTCTTGTAAATATGAGTTGAATTCTAGGGCTTTATTGTCATTTCAGAGTATATTGCATGTAAACTGCTTTAAAATTTTATTTCTCTCTCTGTGTGTGTGTACATTGCTGCATCATGCGACACAATGATGGAGTGTGGGGTTTCACTTAAGTGGGGCTTATTTTTGTGGTAGGGCTTATATTAAGAGCATCCTGAAAAATCATACTAGGACTTATTTTCACGTTAGGTCTTATTTTCGGGGAAACAGGGTGTACATACACACACATACACACACACACACAGAGAGAGAGAGAGAGAAGCCTTGTGAGTAGATAATAAAACAATCTTGATATTACAAAAAATTATTTGTGTATATAGGCAGATAAAGTGTATAGCCTAAATCAGATACAAAACTGAACAATAAATATTAGTTTTAAAACCACATGTTTTTCATAAAAATAATGGTATACCACATGATTATGTTTATGCATACATTTCAGTAGAAAACGATTACACAGGTGTATTCTTAGACCTATGAACTGCAATTTCTTAAAGTGTTTGGATAGTAGGCAATTGTTTACCTTATTATAATAAAGTGCCTCTTCAGGGGAAAATTCTCTTTTAAGGTCTCCCCCAGTAGGACAATGAGCATGAGCACAAATTCTCATCAGTCTCCCCATATTACAAAGAAGAAGAGCAGCATTGGTTGCATCATCAATCAATTCAAAATTTTGAATTCCCTTTTCAAAAAACGAAAAGCTTTTCTTCCAAAGCTGCTGTTCTGCTGCTGATGCAATTTTGTGGTCTACAAAAAAGCAAAAGAAAATAAGGCCTCTTTCATTCAAGCATCATACAAAAAAGGAGATTACTTACCTGTAACCATAGTTCTTCTAGTGGTCCTCTGTGAATTCACACAAATGGGTTGTTCTGCACTTGCGCTGAACGTCTCAGAAGATTCTAGAGCTAAAAGTAACAATTTTAGTGGGTTGGTGAGGGAGAGTATATCGCACACGCTTTGGCTCCTCATGAGAATGTCCCTGACAAGCTCCCATCTAGTAGGGATCATAGAAAGGAAGGCCTCCCTCCATGTCGAAGTGAGGATAACATGGAAAAATGGATACTGGTAATATTGTCCATAGGGAGGCATATATCGAGGTGGAGAAATATGCTTCCGTTTCTCCCGATGTTTCCAGGGAGAATGTTGAGGGGACTCCAAATCAGAGAGTGGGATTTCAATCGCCCACCCTGATGCAGGGCTAGAATGGGCTGAGGCCCGACTGGATGGCAATTCAGTCATTAAATGGCCAGTTTGTGGAGATAGGCTACCAGTTGATACCGGAGCCTGTGCCAACCTCTGTGCCTTTCAGAGGTTGATGCTGGCGAATCTCTCAGAGACTCCTCCAGAAGTGGGGATGGTAATGTAGTTTGTGGAGGTTCAATGTGGACTGATTTAGTCCTCTTTGCCCTTTTAGTAATCAATTTCGCTTTCATTTTCCTAGGCACCTCATGGGCTCGAGCAGTCTTCGATGTCGATGCCGACCTTTGTTTGGATGTTGACTTGGCCCTGTCCGAACCCTCTTTGGATTGAGGGGATGGAGTCATCTGGTCAGGAGCAGACAGAGATTGTGTTTGTCACTCAACTGACCTATCTGGGGATTTAGTTGTCTCTATCGCAGTTGTTGGAGGATTCATGGCAGTTTCCCAAAGGTGAGACCAGAGTCTTTGAAGCCTCTGCTTACGTGCCAGTTTGGTTAGTTTTGTACAGGCTGCACAAGAATGGTTTTGGTGCTGCTCGCCCAGGCAGAATAGACAACGTTCGTGGCCGTCTGACAATGGAATTTTTTAGAACAGCCAACACACCTTTTAAATGTGGCTGGTGATGCCATAAAGAAAGGGAAAGCAGAAGGCAGGACGGTTGAAGAAGTGAGGGGGACAGGAAGCCAAAGGCAGGAAAGGCGAAAAAATGGAACTAATTTACCGGGAAATGTTGATTAATAGATTAGAAAATAAGAAGGTATCAATTTAAGCGGTAATTAGAAGAGGAAGTATTGAATAATAGCTGTAGCTCTATTTTTCTAGAGAACTGATCAGCACAGCGGGAAAAAGGAACTGAGGGGAACCTTGGGTGGGCCGAGCATGTGCTCCAAGGGGGAACGTTCCACTAGAATTGTTACTTTTAGCTCTAGAATCTTCCGAGATGTTCAGCACAGGTGCAGAACAACCCATTTGTGTGCATTCACAGAGGCCAGGAAGAAGAATCAGCAGTAATGATCCCTTTACTGAAGAAATGTTTGTCTGTCATCAATATTAGGGTTTAAAAAAAAAATCATTAACTTAACAAGAAATATAAATCTAATTTCTTTTTAGAACAGACACAGTTTTAACTCAAAAACAATGAAGACCAACTAGCTCTCTTTGGTATGAACTTTCCTGATTTCCAGCCTTTTTTCCATGTCAGCTAAAGCAAGAATTACACTACCCTGTTTCCCCAAAAATAAGACCTAGACTGAAAATAAGCCCTAGTATGATTTTTCAAGATGCTCGTAATGTAAGCCCTACCCCAAAATTAAGCCCTAGTTGTGAAAGCGCACCCTCCACCATTGTACAGGAACCAAAAGATGACATGACTGTATCTGAATAAAAGTAGATTGTTTTTCATGAAAAAAAAAAAAACATCCCCTGAAAATAAGCCCTAATGTGCTTTTGGAACAAAAATTAATATAAGACCCTGTCTTATTTTCGGGGAAACACGGTATTGTTATTTATGCTGTCTGAGAAAGTGACATTAACATAAATGTAATTTTAGAAATTGTAAGAACAATCACATTCATGAAAGCAGAAAGCTTCCAAAGACTGCATTTTTTCCAATTACTCCAAACGTCATTACGAAATAGCCATGTTAGCTGTTCTTCCCAAACCATAAACTTCTAATATTCAAATTTAGCTTACTTCTAAGAAGTTCAATGATAAAAAGAGAAATCACCTAATCTTACTCTGATAATGATCTTCTAGAATAATACACTATGGAGATGGGAATGACTTAAGTTGTGCCGCATCACACTACTTGTGTGGTGCCACAGCTGCCACTTGGGATGGCACGCGGAGCCTTGTGAGTATGACTCGTGTTGCACAGTGCCACAGCTGCCACGTGTTCCCTCCAACCACCTCCCGGCTGGCTGCCCCACTCACAAGTTTGCATATGTGAGCCGTGAGGTGGTCGGAGGGAACGTGCGGCAGATGTGGCACTGTGCAACACAAGTCGTACTGACAATATTTCGCAGGCCATCCTCTGTCACTGACTGCTCAGTCTGCGAAGAAGCTTGGGTTGCCCTTCCCCAACTCCTCTGGCAGCCAACCACTAGGCGAGGAGGCGCGAGGAGTCTCCCTGTGCAGCTGTTGAGTGGTTGGCTGTGGAAGGGCAGCCCAAACTCCTTCTCGGACTGGGCAGCTCACAATGGAAGACAACCCAGCCAGCTCATGGAAGCTTGTGAGTGGGTCAGCAGGCCAGGGAATGGTTGGAGGGAACACACAGCACCTATGGTACAGCTTGAGTCATTCAATGCACCGTAACTAAAGTTATGTCCATCACAATACACTAATAATATTAGTGGTATCCAAGCTTGCAAACCTATTATCCTTTTCTGCAGTAACTGGGAGCAATTTTCTTCCCTTCCACGAACTGAGTGGAGGAACCATGCCAAATCTGCTGCCAAGATTCAGCAGCACAACAGAGAACAAGTGGTATTTTTCCTTAAATATGAGTCCCTTCCTGAACAAGAGGTTCACTGTCCCTCCACCTTGTTTGCAAGTTGATTTGTGTTTCCAAAACAGCTCTGGGAGCATAAACCGACTTGTAAACAAGCCACATCAGGACTGTGTACCTTATTTTGGAGAGAAATTAGCACCTCTGAAGTAAAATCATCACTTTAAAGTGACAGTCCTCTTTAGCCTCCCAAATGTTTTGGACTTCAGCTCTCAGAGTCTCTGTCCACCAGTCATGAGCAAAATATCTGAAAGGCCAAAGGTTGAGAACCATTAGCTCAATCACCACTACGGTATCTCCAATATTCTTTTCTGAAGATACTGCACTGATAATTAATCTAGTGGTCCTCTACTGCTGAAGTCTCTTGTAAATAAAGTATGTTCAAATATATATATATATTTAACTATACTTGCCGATTCTTTCACTCTGTAAAGCAGCAGCTTGGTTCATGTAAAACACTCCAATTTCATTCTGAATGTTTCCCATCCTCTTCACTACTTGTGTATATTGCTCGGGATACTGCTCTCTTAAATTACTGAAGAGCAGGATTTCATTAGCTGCCTCATAGCATTTGCAGCTAATTGAAAGCTGGTATTCCAAATCTGTAGACAGATCAGTAGCCCAAGAAAATACTAGAGAGAAAAAAAATACACATATATATTAGCTGTGAATTCTTATCATATTGGGTAAAATCCTATTCATAAAGGTGTAACATAAAACTACACCCATGCAAATGTGTCAGGTGTTATGCCCAGCAACAATGGTGTGATCAGTTGTGCAATTCCCGTTGTTAATATTGCAGAATGCACGAGTGGAAGTACTTTGTGGACAGTACTTCTGCCTTGATCCTACTGACACTATCATATGGGAGTTTTATCCTATTCAATGTCACAGGCGTGGATCTGTGGATCCCATTCAAGTCTTACATGTTATTTAATGTGTATCTCCCATTCTTCTTTAAAATGCATGTAAAACTGCTACAATTATACTGGTGGTATCTTGATAACACCAGTATACAGTGGTGCCTTGACTTACAAACGTCCCTACTTACGAACATTTCAACAGCTCCAGTCGCAACATTTTGCTTCAACTTGCGAACGGAGCTTCCACTTACGAACAGAAACAGGCAGGGGAAAAAGACTGGCAATTCAGATTTCTAACTGTAGGTGGTGATGAGGCTGCTTTGTACTGTAGCTCTTTCACTTTAGGCAGTTAGAGTGTGTGTTGTCAGAGGCTTGGGAGAGACTCCTTCTGCTTTGTGTGTGTGTGTGTGTGTGTGTGCGCGCACGTGTGTGTGTGTGTGCACACGCGCGCGCCTGTCTCTCTCTCTCTGTGTGTCTGCAGGGACGTAAGCTGCTGTTTCCTCCTTTTAAAAAACTGCTCTGAGTGGGTTTTGGCTGGGGCGGGTATCTTTCTGTGCTGTGTTGTTGGTGGCTTTGCTGTTTATTTTTCCAGGGTTTTTTTTTCTTCTTAAACCTTAGCAATGGAAGTGGCTTAAGTGTTTCTTTTTGGAGTTTTTTTCTTCTTAAACCTCTCATATGTAGGTCACTTTACTTTTTGTTTATGGAGTTTTTTCTTCTTCTTAAACCTCAGCAACAGAGGTGGCTTTAGTGTTTGTTTTGGGTTTTTTTTCTTCTTCTTAAACCTCAGCAACAGAGTGCCTGTTGGAGGTGGATGCAAGGTTAGCCTACGCAGCCTAGAATGCACCCACTGCTCCACTCATATGTTTCCTGAATGCAGGGGTAGAGTGGGTGGTCAGCTCTGTTCCACTCAAATTGTGAGTCCAAAATCAGTATTCAGATAGACAAGAAATTCTGCCAGAAACAAACTCATTATATTTCAGCTAGTTCAGTTCACCGTCCTCTGCCTCATCCACACAGTGCCTCTGAAACAAACTGCTGTCAGAGAATAAAACCAACAACAGCTTTCTTTGTCCCTGTCTGAGAGTGGTAAATTTTAACTCATACAGAGATTCATGGACTCATGGAAAGAATGTGAAGCCCTTCAAGGGAGCAAAAGAAAGATGAGGTTGGACCAGCAGCATGCTGACGTCCTGCGAATGCCTATTCCCCATTTATTGTAGATTGGACCTTGTAGATTGCAAACAGAAAGAAATTACTGAAGAACCTTCCTGAAAAGACTCGAATTAAGACAGTAAATCATCATTACCTTGGCAGGTGGACTCTCTATGAAGACTATGCAGTATTTCTTGATCTTCTTTTGTTTGATAGTTATACTCTTCAAGATATGCAGCTCTGTTGCTTGCATTCTGGGCAAGCATTAGTTGGATGTCACCACAAAGAGTTAAACTCTGACAAAGAAACAGCAGTACTTCTGAAAGCATGTTGGTGCAGAGGCAGCAATATGCATCTAGTCAGGAAAAAATTGAAAGGAAAGTGATGAGCACTGGATGCCAGAATGCATTTTTGATATGAAGCCACATAAAAATAAATAAGGCTTATGAAGCATCTTAATCTTCTAAAAGCGTTATGAAACATATACCTATCATCAAAATCTTAGTAGAACTTCAAAAATTGCCAACTTAAGCATCAAATACCAAGAAGAATTCTGTTCTCCAATCCTTTGCTAATGAGAACCATGAGTTGGTAGAAAAACAGTTTGCTCCTAGGTTCCAGGGCTAAATCCCCACCTCTCCAGCTTTCCATTCAAAAAGGGGAAATGCATTAGGAGACAGCCATTGCAGTCTCCCTTGACAGCACCTGAATTCTCAAAACAGTAGTTTGAGAGCCCCAAACATCTGCAAAATGTGCTTTATGCACACAGAAACTGTTTCAACATTTGAGCAAATGTTATCATTATTTAATGAGGCTTTATGACTATTGTAAAACGTTTAGTTCCAAAAAAGATAGTGATTGGCTCTTTGGGATATTCTGGAATACCATAAGATTTTGATATGTTAACTGAATGGAAGCTAATCTGGCTGCTTTAAAAATACAGTGCTAAGTAAAACCAGTTTTATAACATATTTGGTCATTAGTAAGCGAAGGCTCAAAAACAGTCTGAACACTAAAAAGGAGAACCAATATTTCAGCATCATGCAATGAAATCTCGTAGTGTGGAATCAATACAGGTGTGAGAAATAATTAACCCATCATATGTGAATTTCGTTGTATGGTATACTGTGTATCTACTTACAATGACAATAAATTATATTATTATTATTACTCAGAAGAAAAATTTGTGCTTAAAGCAAAAAATGCGACTCATTAAACATACACCTATAGACATTACCAGAGGGCAGCCATGTTAGTCTGTTGCAAAGGAAACAATGTGGAACCTCAAAGATAAACAATCTTTAAATTGACGTAAGATTTGTGGACTTTGACCCACTTCTTCAGCTACAATATCACTGTACTTGATGAAGTGGGCTAAAGTCAATGAAATCTTACCCTATCAAAAACCCTTATTACTATTTACGGCGCCACACAACATTTTCTTGTGTGAGCTATAGCCTTTAAGAGCACTGGAAGCTGGCATGAAATTGCTATGTGTTTAGAATGTGCATTAAAAATATACCAACTTACCATGGCACTGTAAAGCTAGTTTTATGTAGCGCAATGCTCTCCCATATTTCTGAAGACCCACAGCAGCATCAGAGAGAACATAATATGCCTTTGAGGATTTCAAAATCAGTTGAAGCTTCATTTTATATTGCCAGGATCCAGGGATCATTCCTGACTGACTAGAATGTTTAACTTCCTGGAATGAACCCACTATAATAATAATAATAAAAAAACACACACAATTAACTCTTAGTAGCCATAAAGTTAAATTCAAATGATTTGCACTGCTAAGTTAATTATAATTTATCAGTTCTCACTCAAATTAAAACTGTTCTGTCCTTCTGTCACATTTCTATTTATCAATAACATGAGCTTGTGGCATTCATTTTTAGCTACAAGGAGAGAGAAAAATCCACAATTCAGCTTTGGCTTTTAATAGGACTAGCCAACATGCCACAAAAATGTACATTTTAAAATTCTCTAAAAATCATCACGATAGTTGGAAAAAAAATCTGATGAAGGAAAGAACTGAAAAGTACAAAATTAGCTTAGGTGTTCTACCCATGATCTGCTATCACATAAAAACTGTTGGATAGCTGAGTAGTTAAATTATCTGGCTGTGGAGTTAAATTCCCCACTATGTCTCCCTGAGAGGGGTTGGACTCGATGATGCATAGGGTTCCTTCCAGCTCTGCAGTTATGAGATTATTATTGTTTGGTCTCAAGACAGAGACTGCAAAATGAACTTTTTGTTGCTTAGTCATTAAGTAGTGTCCGACTCTTCGTGACCCCATGGAATAGAGCACACCAGGCCCTCCTGCCTTCCACTGCCTCCCGGAGTTGGGTGAAATTCATGTTGGTAGCTTTGGTGACACTGTCCAACCATCTCGTCCTCTGACGTCCCCTTCTCCTCTTGCCTTCACTTTCCCAACATCAGGGTCTTTTCCAGGGAGTCTTCTCTTCTCATGAGATGGCCAAAGTACTGAAGCCTCAGCTTTAGCATCTGTCCTTGCAGTGAGCACTCAGGGTTGATTTCCTTTAGAATGGATAAGTCCATTCTCAAGAGTCTCCTCCAGGACCACAATTCAAAAGCATCAATTCTTCGGCGGTCAGCCTTCTTTATGGTCCAGCTCTCACTTCCATACATCGCTACTGGAAAAACCATAGCCTTGACTATGTAGACCTTTGTCAGCAAGGTGATGTCTCTGCTTTTTAAGATGCTGTGTAGGTTTCTCATCGCTTTCCTCCCAAGAAGCAGGCGTCTTCTAATTTCGTGGGTGCTGTCACCATTTGCACTGATCATGGAGCCCAAGAACGTAAAACCTGCCACTGCCTCCATATCTTCCTCTTCTATTTGCCACAAAGTGATGGGTCCAGTGGCCATGATCTTAGTTTTTTTTTTTTTGATGTTGAGAGTTTCAGACTGTTTTTTTGCACTCTCCTCTTTCACCCTCATTAAGAGGTTCTTTAATTCCTCCTCACTTTCTGCCATCAGAGTGGTATCATCTGCATAACTGAGGTCGTTGATATTTCTTCCGGCAATCTTAATTCCGGTTTGGGATTCTTCCAGTCCTGCCTTTCACATGATGTATTCTTCATATAAGTTAAATAAGCAGGGGGACAATACAGTGGTGCCTCACAAGACAAATGCCTCACAGGACAAAAAAACTCACAAGACGAAAGGGTCTTGAGAGTTCTTTGTGGGGGGGACACTGCCCCCCCAGCCAGCGCCGCTTTCAGAGGTTCCCCACCAGTCTTCCGATGGTGCTGGGAAGACTGACGAGGGACCTCTGAAAGTGGTGCTGGCTGCAGGGGGGAGGCGGAGGCCCCCCGCGGCAAAGCGCTGCTTTCAGAAGCCTCCCAGGGCTTGCCCAGCATGTAAAAAGGCAGGGTAAAAGCACAATTTTTGAATTTCCCGCTTTCCCCCTGCCTTTTTCCATGCTAGGCAAGCCTCGGGAAGCCTCTTAGACCCAGCGCCGATCAACTGAGAGGCAAGGAGAGGGGGGGCAGGAGCAGAGACAATCACAAAATGGCTGCCGCCTCCATGCTGGTTGCCGCCTCTCAGCTGTTTGGTGCTCTTTTCCCGCTGTTCCAGGGCTACAAAGGCACTGCGAGGAGCGGGGCTCAGTCCATGCACCTGCTAAGTGACTTTTTGCTGACCTTTTGTTTGTTTGTTTGTTTCTGACCATTTTCCCCCATAGGAACACAATAATTAAATTTCAATGCATTCCTACGAGAAACCGCGCTTCGCAAGACAAAGTTTTCACTAGACGGCATTAACCATGGAACGGATTAATTTCGTCTTGCGAGGCACGACTGTATGCAGCCTTGTCATACTCCTTTTCCAATTTTGAACCAATCATTTGTTCCATATCCAGTTCTAACTGTCGCTTCCTGTCCCACATATAGGTTTCTCAGGAGAAAGATAAGGTGGTCAGGCACTCCCATTTCTTTCAGAACTTTCCATAGTTTGTTGTGGCCTGTAGTCAATGAAGCACAAGTAGATGTTTTTCTGGAACTCTCTGGCTTTCTTCATAATCCAGTGCATGTTAGCAATTTGGTTTCTAGTTCTTCTGCCCCTTCGAAATCCAGTGGCCAACATGCCTGGATGGCGGTCTTCCGGGGGTTTCTTGCCTCTGGAGGATTTGGAAGGTGGGGTTGAAAGTGAGTAGATCTCCACTCACTTCTCTCTGGCCCAAAAAGGAATAACCCAATTCTAAATTCCTCTTAACATTTCCAAGCACAACAATACACCCACAACAAGACACACTAATCACCCATCTACAGAAAAAGTCAAAAGCCTATCTCACAGCTATAAATACTGCACTCCCAAGCCGACTACACCAGAGCACAGAGTGCTGTCCTCTGAAGATGCCGGTCACAGACTCTGGCGAAACGTTAGGAAGAACAACCTTCAGAACACGGCCAAAGAGCCCGAAAAACCCACAACAACCATTAGATCCCGGCTGTGAAAGCCTTTGCGAATACAATAATATGATTTTTAGAACAGCTTCAGAAAAAAATGCAATAAGAGAGACATGGAACACTAAAATAGAAGAAAGAAAAATAAAAGAACATTAAGATACAATTTATTTAGCAATTTAAACTATTTCAAAAAGATGCATGCATTTATGCCTCAGGAGACCTCCAACAATGGCAGGATACGACCATCCACAAAATATTATTAGAAAGGATGCAATAAATGCTTACTTTTGTGTAAGAACAAAGCCATCTGTTTTTCAAGACACTCAGGACCAACATTTGTTGATTCATCTTCATATTTTAATGGAATTGGGGTACTAGGATCTGCTGCAGGAAGATCACCCTCTTTCTTGATGCTACTGTCAACTGATTTCAAACCCTTTAAAAAAAACCAAAGACTTTCAGTCATCTTTTATATTTTGAAAAGGATGCTGGAATAAAATGTTTTTTTGCGAGGAAACAAAAATGCTAAGACAATCAGTGAAAAACCTACCTCAAGAACATAACTGAGTACTAATCTGCATCGTTCTTCAGTGTCATGGCAAACAGGAAATGCACAACTAGGCTTCAGAGAACAGAAACAAGAAAAAGGCTCATTAAATAGGTAAAAATAGGCAAAGGTTATTCTTATTGGAACTTATAAATAAATCTTTTATTTTCAATAAAATTGGCCTTCAGATGGTTCCATTGGCCAAACTTTCAGTATTCTTATTTGGCTGATGTCAAGGTTTCCTCTAAGTTGCACAACTGTGTGACTGCATGCGAGTCTGTCACCTCTGTGCAGTATTCCTCCTTCTCCATGCCCCCACAGTGATCATTTCCAGCCCCTTTGGTTCTGGTTGCAATAGAACCCCGAGCCATGGGGGGGCAGAGTTGTGGGGGGGAGCCCTGCCCAGCAAAGCTCAACATTAGAGGGAATGTTAGCTGAAACTAAACTAGCAACAACTGCTGAAAAGCACAAAAATGCGTTCAATATAATAGTTTTATAGTTCCAGTGTACAAATAACATTACACACTAGCTGTTTTCCTCATGTATCTAGCCCTGATGCAGTCCACAGACTTCTTTGCTGCCTTCACCACTACCTCTTGGCGGCCTTCCAATGGGCTCTAGCTCATGTTCAGTCAAATTCACTCTAAGTTTTCTACTATCATCACTCTAGTCTCCATTCCGCTCATTTCATCACCCCCAGCTCCTTGGTAAAGTACAGTGGGGTCTTGACTTGAGAACTTAATCCGTATTGGAAGGCGGTTCTCAAGTCAAAAAGTCTGTAGGTCAAGTCTCCATTGACCTACAGTGCATTGAAAACCGATTAATCCCGTAACAGGCCGTTTTTGTTCCATTTTGGTTTTTTTCTGGTCTGTAAGTCAAGTCTCAGGCTGCAAGTCAAACCTAAATTTTGCGGCCAGAGAAGTCTGTAACTCAAAAAGTCTGTACGTCAAGCCGTCTGTAAGTCAAGGGTCCACTGTAGAAGGCCAGTTTGACTCTGCTTTGTGGAAGATACTTATGGAACACAGAACAAAACGTACACATAAACTGACAGAACATCTCTAATGACACACTTAAAATAGGATTTAAAAGGCCTCAGAAGAGTATCGTGAACAATCCTGTATTTTGACATGAAAAGCATTTTTACTGATTACATTAGTCAGCATCTACTTGAGACAAGAACCAAAACCAACACAGATATGCATAGTTTCAGGGCATGGGAGTGAAACCCGAATAAACCAATCTCATGTAAGAAGCATTAATATATGTTCCACAGGGGGAACTAAAACCATACGCTTACTATTAACTTTTCCAGTCGAAGAGAAATAATTCATTTTAAAGAAATTACTTTTATACATTTAATTTCTATAGAAGACAAATATATATTTTATATACCGTATTTTTTGCACCATAAGACGCACTTTTCCCCCTCCAGAATGTGGGTGGGGAAGTCAGTGCGTCTAATGGTGTGAATGCAGCAATTTCGTTGCTGCTGGCCCCGTGGGGGGGAGCGTCGCAAGGGTCCGGGTGAGCCTTCCAGGACCCTTGCGAGGCTCCCCCACCCCCCCACGGGGCCAGCACCGGCGAAATCGCCAGCTTCCAGGTGCGGGGAACGTTGCAAGGGTCCTGGAAGCTCATTCAGATCCTTGCGACTCTCCTCCCACCCACGCACGGGCCAGCACTGGCAAAATCGCCATGTCCTGGGAGTGTTTTGAGGCTTCCCAAGCCTCCAAACACTCCCAGAAGCTGGCGATTTTACCCCCCCTGGTCCCATGGGGGGGTGGAGGGTGGCAAGGGTCCAAGGGGGCCTCCCAGGACCCTTACCACCCTCCCCCCACCCCCACACGGGGCCAGCCCTGGCGAAATCGCCAGGTTCTGGGAGTGTTTGGAAGCTTGATAAGCCTCCAAACACTCCCAGAAGCTGGCGATTTTACCCCCCCTGGCTCCATGGGGGGGTGGGAGGGAGCGTGGCAAGGGTCCAAGGGAGCCTCCCAGGACCCTTGGCCTGCTCCTATTTTAGCTAGATTCCACTATTTCCTCAGTGGGATTAGATCCTGCCTCAAGATACTGAATAATAGCTAGAACAATTGAATGAAAGTACTATACACTTGTTGTTGTTTAGTCGTTAAGTCATGTCCAACTCTTCGTGACCCCATGGACCAGAGCACGCCAGGCCCTCCTGCTATAAACTATAAACTAGCAGGCTAAAAAACTGACTGTTATTTATATATTTATATATTCAGTCTTTTCTTACAAAAATCCCAGGGTTTTTTAAAATATATGCTGTTTCAACCCTAGATATATTTTAAAAAAGAGAGGAGGAATGCTTTCTGCTGAAAAAAATGTTTTCATAGTGACTACAGTCTCTTACTAATAGATTCAAATTGTGTAGCATATTGCATGGTTTGAAATGAGTTAGCACCCCTTTGTCCATGATCACAACAACCTGATCTTTTTTGTTCTTGTTCTTGTGGAGTGTTAAAGGTTGTGAGAAGTGAGAAGTGATGCTTGGGAAGCCTCAGAAGAGCCCCAGAAGGTGGCGATTTTGCCCCCTCTGGCCCCCGAAGGAGGCAGGGGGAGGCTCCAAAGGGTCCTGGAACACACCCTAGGACCCTAGGGTGTGTTCCATAAGATGGACCTCTCCATAAGGCTCACCAAATTTTAGGAGAAGCAGATATTTTTTCCTGTTTTCTTCTCCTAAAAATTTGGTGTGTCTTATGGAAAGGGGCGTCTTATGGAGTGAAAAATACGGTATGTCTTCTATATTTTATATCTCTCTATATAGAATATATAATTGAGTTAATACCAACATACACGGACTTGATGAGTAGATTTATACTTTTCAGGTACTGAGAGTTCTCCAACAGATTTGATTACAGCAACAGCTTTGTTATCATCAGGAGGATCTGAACTGGTGCTGTAGGAACCATTTTCATCACTATCAGGCATTTCCTCTTCCTCCTCCTCACTGTAGCTCTCATCAGAGTTACCATTTAAAGGGAACCCACCACTCTCTTCTTTTTTTGGCTCATCTAGCTGGAACAGTTCTGAAAGCATGTAGTTTGCTGATGCAATAATCTTATTAGAGAGAAAGAAAAGATAAATGTGAGAGGTTTTCCAACATTCATTTTTTTATTTTTATTGTATTTATTTTATTATTTTATTATTTTATTTATTTATTTATTTATTTTATTATATCCCGCCTATCTGGTCGTATTAGATTTGTACCTCGCCCATCTAGACTACGTCTACTCTGGGCGGTTTACAGTAAAAACATAAAAAATATAAACAATTAAAACAACAATTTAAAACGACTATTTAAATCAATGATATTAGTGGCATTCAAGATGGAAAAGCAAAATGGAAGTTAGAAAGATAGAAAAGAAAATCAAGTAGTGACTGGAGAGAAGGCCTGCCTAAAGAGTCAGGTCTTAAGTTGACTCTTAAAAACATCCCCTCCCTGTGAACTGGGTACTCAGTTTACTGACCTCAGAAAGATACAAGGCTGAGTGAATCCTGAGACAGTTACCTGGGATTGAACCCAGGCCATGAGCAGAGTTTTGGCTGCAGTACTGCAGTTGAACCACCGTGCCATGTTTTTAATAAATTAATGTTCATAGCTGGAGTTACTGGTTTTGTTCACCTTCTGAAACTATAGTGTTCTGTGTCTGCATGCAAAATCTAGTCAGAGTGCTAAACTATAGTTCATTACTATGTGAATAAATATCAGCGTCCTGTTTTAAAATGAGTTTGCTAGTACATCTTAAAAAAGATACTTTGGATCACACTTCTGATCATCCCTAATTTGGACAGCCAATGGATGAAATTAATGGGAGCTTTAAACACAGAGGTACAGATACTCACCTCTTACTTATACTGAACAGAATTCCTCAATAAAATAGAGTAAGAAACACTAGTAAGTTTAAACCATGAAAAAGATTATTCTACCCTGTTTCCCCTAGAATAAGACCTAATCTGATTTTTCGGGATGCTCGTAATAGAACTCCTACTCCAAAAATAAGCCCTAGTTAAGTGAAACCCCACCCTCCACCATTGCGCAGCAACCAGAAGATGACATGACTGCATTTGTATAAATGTAGATAGTTGTACATGATAAAAAATAAAACATTCCCTGAAAATACTGTAAGCCCTGATGAGTTTTTTGGAGCAAAAATTAATATGAGACCCTGTCTTATTTTTGGGGAAACAGGGTACTCTCACAGCAGAAGAGAGGGGAGGAGGGAGTGTAGATGTCCAAGGCTGCTCATTCACATAATCCATGACTGTGAAGTATGAACTGGGACTGAGTATATCCCAGAATTGTACAAGTACTTTTCTCAGAAACTGGTATTTTAAAACTGGTGCCAAAGAAGGCACAATTCATTAAATTGACTCTTTTTCTCCTATGAAATACTTTCCCCTTAGCACTCACAAACACATGGGAATTATGTCAGAGTACTGTTCTTACCTGAGGATGTTTACCCTTGTCTAATAACTTCACACAATTAAGGAGTAATGTTCTAATAGTACCATAATGTTTCCTGTTTTGATTTTTCTTTAACATCATATTGCAAGCAACTCTAGGAGAAAGTGAGATGAACAGGTTAAGGAACCACAGAGGCTCCCTCATGCTGTGCACACAACACCTACTGAAACAGCAAGTTTTATTTTGAATTTATCATTCCAGAAGTCGAATTGTCAGCATTTTAATAGCTGAAAAATGCTGATGTAGTTAGAAAGAGGATATTTTCTTACATGAAGCTGTCAGAAAGTCATGACTTAACTTCATGCTACATACAGTACATTCTATTTTTGGAGACAAGCTCCCTTCAATACAACACAAATACATTATATTATACTTTTTAAAATGCACTCCTCCCAAAAAATAATTCTGCCTCTGGAGGTTGGTCCTAATCCCATGTTACCAGGTGAAAGGTTAGGGTTTAGCGGAGGTCCTCCTCTTTGCTGTGCACTCATAATCATGGCTGTAAGTTGGAGTATTTCAGACGCAATGCCAATCCAGCATTGCCGTCCCCCCACCCCCATATATAATTGATTTGGGCCCCTTCATTATGCTAGACTGGAGCTTCCTTCCATACATTGATTTTAAAAGGAAACATTTAAACCAAAGAGATTTACTAGGTTGAGACGTCTACCAAAATCCTGCCCGCCCCCCCTCATGTATCTCCTACCTAGGCCATTGTCCATGGATGTAGTAGCAGATCTTCCACATTGCTTCTACCCAGAATAGCTCTACTAGTTGCTACAAGGGCTGCCACAAATATGCATTCACTAATGCTGTCATTGAGGTCATATATATTGCAAAAAAGTCACCATTTAATGATCTACTGCTAAGAGCAATGCATTGGTTTGAGCCTGCATTCTCATGCTCAATATTATCAGCTGGATGTTCTTTGTCTGTATACTAAATTCCATATGGCATACTTACTTATAGAGAAGAATTGCCACTGGCATTGTGAAAGGGTTTTGGTATTTATCTTCTGTTTCTTCACACAAAGTGGTAAGATCATACAGCTTTACTATATCACTTCCGCTTGCTGAAAGATAAATGTTCATCAGTGCACCAGACACTGTACAGGAGACCACATGTCTTACCCCAGCCTTGTAAAACATTTGGCAGTAACAACTCCATCTATGTACATAGCCAGCTGCCAACAATATAGGGGGAAATGGAAGAGGAAGTCTGGGCACTGCCTGGTGCCTTTCTACAGGAACCTCCAGCAAAGCAGAAACAGCCCTGCACCTCTACCTTTAGCATTTTCTGTTATCCGCGGGCCCATCCTACCATCCCAAATCATTGTTTTGTCAATCTATTGTTTTGTTTTAAATTGTTAATGGAAATACTTACCTTTAAAAAGCCAGTATGTATGCCCTTCTTTGGTACAGTTGGATTTCAAAAAAGACAAAATATTTTGTGCAATATCTTTTATTACTTTGGTAGAAAAATTTGAGTTTTCCAAATTGGGAATATCCTCTGTCTTAATCATTTCATATTTCTACAAAAGAAAGACAACAAATTCCACAAATAAATAAATAAATAAGATATCTTAAGTCTCATAGCTGATGCCTCCCATGTACAGTATTCTGAATGTTTCTTTGTTGGGTTTAAGAATCTCAGTAACATGGATAGCTTTCATACTGTTCAGCAATATTTTCACTGGATTTTGGATTATATGTACACTAATGTCTCATTACAATACTGCTGAGTCTCAATATGCTTATATGAATAAATAAATATTGGCAAGATGCTTGTTTCTGTCCAAATCTAATACAACAATGCTACCTGAGTGCTAAATCAGCACTGGACAACTTCTAATAGTTCACAGGCCACATCTTCCCCCTAGAATTCAAAGGGCTGCCTTCAATTTCTAATCCTGATTTCCCTTCTTTTTTCTTTATTGTTCTCCTCAGCCTGTTTTAAGACTAGAAGAGGTTCCCCCCCTCCCCATATTGGAGATGATTTGTGGTCATTTTGTCTGAAACTCTGCCTTACAGATCTAAGGAAGGTAAAAAAACATCCTTGATGGAAGCAGGGGTATTACATTAAAAAGAAAATGGGTTCAGGGGCATGGAAGGCCACTTTAGACTTCATTAGAACCTGTAGGATGCTCTTTGCCCACCCTGTGCTAAATAATGTTTTAGCACTACAGCTTAAGAGTCCTAAAATCATATTCTACTGACAAGAAATGAGAGTAAAATTATCAATCTGAAATTTACCTGAACAATTCCATTGACATGGAAGCACATCACAAGTTCTGGCACATTGCAGATCAAGTTGTCCAACCAATAATCAATGCCTGTTAGCACATTAATTGGCTTATTGTTATCCCTGAGAATAGAAATGCTTGAATGTTATTTTGAATAAAATAAATTAGCTTGTAAATTCTGCAGGACTTTTTTTTATCAAACTGGTCATTACACAGCTGTGGGATGCAGAAGCAATATAAAGGTTCCAAAAACCACAGCCAGATGTAGAGACCATGGTCCAAGTTCCAAAATGGAGTCTGCAACTTTGCAAAATCAGCTTAAGGTAAATGTTTCAGATTTCACCCCAGGCTATGAAGATACAGGTAACTGTCCTGCAAGATTTTAATGATCTAATAAACAGATCACCCACACTTAATTTCAGGTAGGACACAACTTTTCTCTTTTTTCCATTTCTTAGATTTTCCTACATTTTGATTTCTACAACAGAATGGACTATGTTTCAGAAATCAAACCTATGAATTAGAATATGTAAAATATAGGAAGCTATTCTAGAACTGCTCTTCCAAAACAAGACAATTAGATGATTACCTATAGTGGGAAAGAAAATCTCTTAAGTTAGGTGGAGAGGCCAAAAACTGGAAGATTTTAAGCTGCAGCACTGCAATTCTGAATTTCCCCGTAATCAGGGGAAACACGGTGATATTTGCAAGTTGGGTGTAAGAGAATCCCTATCTATGACAACTGAATTTATTCTTAACCTTTTTATTTAAAAAAGAAATATATAGACTAATACAGACTAATAAGGGATTTCTCAACTGTGACCCTATTGTTAAGTAACACACCAGCTTCAGAGGTGTGTCAGGTATCTTCAGTTCCATACTTATGCCAGCATAGTGCCAACAGTATACATTTCAGCACAGAAAGTTACAACATTGGAGTTAGGCTGGTTGGCAAAGTAATGGGGTCCTCATCTCTAAATATTTTACTTCTAGTTAGAGCAACAAATGTTTCCCTTATAAATGGCAGCCTTTGCATTTTGTATTTTTATATGTAAACCACTAAGCATTTCTTATGAAACTGGCATATTTGCTTAATAAACAAACATTACTCTGCTAGCTAGGCAAATAAAATAGAAATTAAGATGCTGTCTTTTGCAAAGATTTGTCTTACAAGTCAACAGGAATTGCGTGAATTTGATTCTTATCTGGAAGAAAATTCATTAAAACACCTTTTCAGAGAACAGAAATGTGTATATCCCAATTCACAAAACTGTATGATAAATCATTATGGTGGATGAAAAGTATGAATAGAAGAGATAGTTCACATTATAAAATAGGTTATACACAATGAGAAAATCACCTGAGACGCAAGCTCACAGCAGGGTATCTTCCTCCTCCAAATATAGGCATATTTGAACCAACCAACATGTGAATATCTTCAAATGTCCACAAGATGTTCCGAACAAAATCATTTTTAAGACCCTTGAAATTCGAAGACAGCGTTTGTAAAACAGTTTTTTCTCAAAGAAAAAACAACATATTTTGCAGACTTATGAGAAAGCAAGAAGCAAGACAAGCAAATATAATACAGCAAATATAATGCTTCATGACCTGCTTCATAATACATGGTGACTATACTCAGACATTCACAATAAAGATTAATATCACTGATTTCACTAGGCAACTGAGAGAAGCATTTTTTTTTCTTTTTCCCCTCAACTGCACTGGAAATTAAATTGAGCAAGGGAATCGTATTTCTCAGCTCAAATGCCACATAAATTCATACCTGACTGTTTTCCCCGTCACTGAACAAAGTAGTTAGGTTTTGTTCTTTGGGGGCTGAGGCCACATGCCCCACTATATATGAGGGTTCAAAAGTCACACTTCCCTGTGAAAAGCACAAGGATATAAGAAGTGATTCTACTGTTGAAATACAATCATTTTATATAAAGTACGTATTTGGCATACTGACCAACCAGAGCTTTGAGAGGCATCATTCACTGAACAAGACATACCTTTGCAAAGCATGTTCAACACAATTTGTTTAATATTTTTGAACTCTAAGGACACTAATTAAAAACTTTCCACATGGAAAACAACTCTTCACAAGCCATCTACTATTATATATTTGGTAACAGCATTTTGACCCATAAAAAATAACATATACAACAAGCAATGTAGTTTCTACTCCAGGTGGTTTATAATAAACTTGAGATAAGTCAAAGGAGAAAAAAAGAGAACAACGACTGATAAGTCAATTGTGTGCAAAGAAGAAAAAACGAAGAGGTAGTGGAGTTCAAAAATAACATCAATATCCAAGAAGAAACTAAGCAGGGAGAAGCTATCTGTTGCATAATACTGAGGACCAAATGGTAAGGAAAACATCAGAAAGAATACTGTAGTTCTAGACATGCAACCAGATTAAAAAAATAAGAGAATTCAATTAAAAGGCATAGTATTATATAGTCCATGATTACAGAAAAAGTTTGTAAATCATTTGGGTTTCATGGTTTTGATAATTACCTAATAGGAAAACAATGCCACCTTTACTTAAGCCACTATTCACAGATGTTTCTGAACATCTCCTTGTGTTTGTAAGCTCTTTGTTAAACAATGTCTGTATGTATCTAATACATATTGACACTCAATCCTTCCTTCAGACCAGAGAAATGTACATGGGACTTTCTCATGTTCCTCAACAATTTTGTGAAGCAGCTTGGCTAAGAATGTGGCTGAGCAAAGATGCAAACCAAAATTCAACTAGGCCAGAGTCCAATCAGCTTTAATCAGAAACTGCAAGACAGGGCCAACCTTTAATTGTTTTGCTGAACATCACTCTCTAATGCAATTGCTTTCATCCACGCTTTTAGACAAGCAAGGGGAACACTGATGGTCTTCAGCTTCCCCAGCTCCTGGCAGAATAGCAATGGTAGTAGCAGATGATGACTCCAGGAACATCTGGAGGGCCATAAGTTACATAGCCTTGTTGTAAGATTACGAGAAGTAAAGGGAATTCTGCCAGCTGAAACATTAATTTTTATTTAATACACGTCTAATCTTTTTCCCACTAAAAATAGTGCTCTAGGCTTATGTAATAATAACAAGAGTTCTGCCCAGTACATCCTGTCACCTGTCTCTGCTACTCAAGAAACTCCATTTCATTACAGGGTATTACAGAAGTAACCTTATGGTTAATAAATGCCAGCAGATCAGAATGAGAATGAGTATTCTGTAGAGTATTTTGCAAGATAACACATGAAACCTCTTCAGCTGAACCATGTGCTAACCCTAGTTAGCCAGATCATCTGTTTCTGACTCCCACTTAAACACTCTTGGATTTTGTACACATATAATGTCTCAGCTTTCTCTCTCAGTATTCAGCAACTTTTACAGGAAGAATTGTGCAAAAGTGGATTACAAAGAAACTTATAGAATAAAAGAACTCAATGTTAATCAGACCTGTAACATCAGGAACTGTACTTTTGTATGCCACTCCTGCATTAGCAGGGCAGTCTGAACTTTCAAGAAGGTGTTTTGATGACCAACCAACACAGGCTTTATCAACCAAGATGAGCAGAAAACAGAACAGCAACAAATCTGAATTAAGACTGATAAAACAAAGAATGGAACTACTGTTCCAGCTTTCTCATTTATCTATTGTTAGTGATTCAAACACAAAGAATAAACAGCACATTCTCAGAATGGAACAAAAATGCATTACAGATACTGCCTGGAAGCAACAACAGAGAAAACCGTGTAATCAAATACAGAGACGTAAAATTTCAAAATTTCAAAATATTTTCTGGAAAAAAAACAAGAAGTGTTTTCATTTTATATTTTCTTATTATAAGAACTCTGGTGTTCTTTGGAGGTGTAAAATTTCCAAACATTTCCGTGTTTTTTTCCTAGAAAAAATGGAAATTCAAGAAATTTTGACCCAAGCATAAAATCATTACCTAAATAAGAAGTCTATCACAATGTTAAAAAATAATAAAATAGTGTCAATTAGACTTCAGTAAACCTTCCCTCAGAATTTTTTTCTCAGTGAGCAAAAGACTGATCATTCAGATGAGCCACATTCTTGGAGATTAGTTTTGAAACACATTCAAGACAAGTCAAACTGAAATCCTAGCTATGTTTCCTCAAAAGTATGAATGAAACTTATCCTTTAGAACAGGGATACACAACTTTTTTTGTTTCAAGAGCCAGATCCAGTACATCTCCCTAACACTACTGCTTGAAGTGCACATGCATTTCCAAATGCAGATTTTCCACAGCCATCTCAGACAACATAACTTGGAGATGCAAGAGGTGAAAACCTCCACTGCCACCCAACCATTTACACCAAGCTCATTGTTCTGCCACTACAAAACAGCAGTCTTGAATTGCTGTCGCAATGCTTCGAACACAGTACAGGAATAAATGAGGTACAAGGAAAAGCAATTGGGGATGTAATGGCAGTAGCTGAGGACCACATGTAGGCCACATAAGGTAGGTATCTGCAACTACTGCATCCTGTGTAACAGCCACCAAAACAGGTAATGGCAGTAAGTGCTGTAACAAGACCTCTTGCTCTTATCCAGAGGAAGAAAGCATTGAAAAAAATTAGTGCTTCTCTTTTTTACCATATTATCACCAACCTTTCCAACAGGTCTTCAAAATGCCAGCATTATTTTACTTAATGCTCAATTAGTTTCCTTGATTAAGTAATTTATGCCATATTAACCTGGTCAGAAGCAGCTGCATCTTCAGAAAGTGAGGAGGGCATTTCAAAAGGGGCTGGCCAAGAGACCCGTCCTGCTCCATCAGTTTCTTCCTGAGTTCTTTCTTCTTGATGTTGTTCTTCAGGAGTAGGAGCAGGCTGAGCAGCTTCATCACCATTGATGCTAGCAAGACATGGATTGATGTTCCAGTTAGAATGTTCTTTTGAATCCTACATTTTAACTTCTTAGAGGTTTGAGAACTTCTATTATTCAACAGTTAAAGCTAATACAGAGAATTATCTTCAGATCTTATTATATCCTGATTTCAAAGTACAATTCAAAACAACAACACCTGAAAACTAAAACAGTACCGCTTTTACACAATCAAAAATATGTCACTTTTGATCATTTTAATTGTGCAAGGGTACACAAATATTGGACAGTAAAGGTATCCACCATTTAAATTATATATGCATCTATTAATAGTTATCCACAACCTCATAATGTGGAATAACACAAATGCCATCCTGCAAAATACATTATCAGTGCTATAAGTATAACGACCAAATACCTTGTGGTAAAATGGAGGCGAGACAGAAAGAAAAGAAAAGAGAAAGAAAAGAAACTCAGTAGCTACATTATATCTCTACACATCAGTACAGTTGTGCCCCGCATTACGACGAAACCGCATTACGTTTTTGTGATCGCTTTTGCGATCGCAAAACGATGGCCCGAATAGGCTTTTTAAGCTTTGCGATGATCGGTTCCCTGCTTCGGGAACCGATTCTTCGCAAAATGACGATTTTCCTACAGCTGATCGACAGTTTCAAAATGGCCACCGGGTAAATAAAATGGCTCCCCGCTGTTTTCTGGGACGGATTCCTCGCAAGACAGCCACCGAAAATGGCCGCCCTATGGAGGATCTTCGCTGGACTATGAGTTTTTAGCCCATTGGAACGCATTAAACGGATTTTAATGCATTTCAATATATTTTTTATTTTCGCATTACGATGTTTTCTTTCTACAGCGATTTCGCTGGAATGAATTAACGTCGTACTGCGAGGCACCACTGTACAGCCAAAGACATCACCAGCAAATATATACTTAACACAATTTTCCTACAAGATTGGTCTTAGATGTACCAAAAAGTGCTACACAAGCGTAAGAACTCAATACAGCATATTCTGAGGTCTTCCTTGCTGCATTATGACATTTCTTTCTGGTGGTCTCCATTTTAGTGAGCAAGGAATGTATGGCTTTAACATGTTACAAAGTAACACATTACAGGTAATAAATTAGTGAAAAACATATGCGGAATACAGTCATTTTCACAAAGGAACACCCAGAAATGTAACTAGTTCAACTTGTCTGTAGCAGTATCAGCATTTCCCTCCATTGCTCATTAACAATATAGAGGGCGTGCTATGCCACAGAAGACAACACATCGACTGAGGGGAAGGATGAGACACAAACACAAATATCTCTGCAGAGAGAGCATTTTCAAAACTATAAAGGCACCAGCAACTGTTGTGCATGTGGCCCTGCAGGGCCAGAAGGATCAAGAAAGAAAGGCAGCCTGAGAAGATCCATCATGAGTAGGATTGGGGCCAACACTGTGAAAGCAGCAGTTGCTTCCTCAGACAGAGCACTCAATAGCTCAATGAAGTAAGAGAAAGATCTAGCACTGCAGGATGGCTTTCTGACTGTTTAGTGTCAGGTGTGTGAGAAAAGAAGTGGGAACAACTGAGCAGAGGTGGATGGAAGAAAACATGAGGCAGCATCACACACATCTGAAAGACAGAGAGAAACTGACTAACAAATGAGTTTCTAAAGAAAAACTATAGAAGCAACTACAGCTGCAGTACATGGCCTGCAAGAATCAAGAGTACAAGAATAAAGACAGAAAGGGGAAGAAAAGAGAGAGACATTCAGGCTGCATGTCCTTCGTAGCAAAGGAGAGGCTGGTGCCTATGAGGGAGAACTGGGAAATGTGTGTGACTGGGTAGGGGAAAGTGAGAGATACAAGCTTTACTTGTAAAGCTGCCCACAAGTCCATTGTCTGGCAGGAAAGCAGCTTGAGGTCCATCTGGGGGGGGGCGGGATGACTGGAATTCAGGAGAGGTATGAGAGAGAAACATGAGATACTGGTGCCCCACATTACTACTGAAGGAATTAAAGCAGCAGTAGTTATCATGCACATGGTAAGGCATAGGCTGGCTCTAAGAAAGGGATGAAAGGAAAGATCACAGTGTTTCTCTAAAAACTGTCTCAAATCTTTAAGATCTTAAATCTTGTATACAACATTACATCAATAGTAACATTAATATATCAATAATGAGTAGCACAACATGTTCCTTCTTTGAGAGGGGAAAATGATAACTATAACAGCTCTCTGGAGCAGTAAAGTACCAAATAATGTAAGGAGTTCCTTTTCAAAAGTAATATTGCAAGCTCTGTAAATAAGCTGTTCTCTGAAATTCTGTATTTGAGAACATTCATTATGATGTACATGATTTAGAATAGCTCTGCAGTGAGACAGAAAAAAAGAGCCATTTAGCCACGAGTCATCTCCCTTAAAGGAATCTTTCTGTCTTTTGGAGAAGTGGTCCAACCTGAGCATGGATCAGGGTTGGGTTGAAGTGCTATTGCCTGTCCATTGTGCAGTTGATGGGAAATAACCCACATTGGGCCATGTCACACGTGGTCCAAAATGTGATCTATTTCTCCATCTCAATGCACCCTTAGTTGCTAACAGTTAGAAAGTTCTATAGTACTGTACTTTAAAGACCAACTAAGATAATGCAGCGCACCCTTAGTTGCTAACAGAAAGTTCTATAGTACTTTAAAGACCAACTAAGATAATGCAGCATAAGGTTTGAAGTTCATATTATTCTGGATATACCATATTTTTCCATTTATAACACACACACCCGTTTATGACACCCCCCCCCAATTTTCTAACTCCCAAAATTAAGAAAACTTAGCTTTGAGTATTCAGCCTTTGAGCTCAGAACGTTGGACTTTTTGTCTCTGTTGAATCTTGAGCCTACAGGCTCCACCTCCAAGGAGGTATGTTCCAATTGGTTTGTTCGGGGTCTGCTGACATAAGTTCCATAAGGTTCCTTAGATTAGAAGAAGCTAAGTCTCCTGACTCTAGGAAACTCAGCCTCGTAGCTAAAGGGAGTCTATTTACAGAGGCAAGGTATGTGCTGTTTTCTTCTCTTCTCAACTTCTGTGTAAAAGACAACCCTCAATTTTTAGGGAAATAATTTTAGGAAAAGGTAGCATCTTACAGATGGAAAAATACAGTACATTCTGGAATATACCAGTAGTAATAAATTTCTAACATCAGCAGAAATGAATTCAAGTTAAAATTACAAATAGATACCTGTAATACAAAAATTTGGAAAGTATAGCTTTCTGATACCAGTGTTCCTTGCTTTTTTTCTTTCGTTGCCATTTCTGATCTATTAATCTCTGGTAGAATTCTTTCAACCAAGTCCAATCTCCAGTCTAAGTGACACAAATAAGAGCAAATTATTTTAAAAAATCAAGTCCTTTGGTTCACATACTGTTTATCGTGCCTGGAGGAAGAACTGTGGGAAACTAAAAAACTGAAACATCTATTGCACATTGGCTGCTCTTAATAAAGATATTACTTAATAACAGCTCCTGTTTTCATTTATGGACCAACATGACTGCCCTTCATTTTTATTATTTGTTCATGGTATGTTTACTCTCTTTTACAGAGAAAATATCATATCCCAAAGTAGTTCAGAGCAATAAGAAGAGAAACGAACAGACCTTGACAGCAGTCTTACAAATGAAAATGGTAATGCATGAGAGAAGCGAAATAGTAAGGGAGTTGAATTCTATAAGGCAAGAACAACGTGGTGATCTATAGTATAAGCAGACATTTATCTCCATTTCATGCTGATCTTCCTACCAACAAATGTGACAAGCTAGTTTACCTCTCACACTGATGTTATTCTTGGGAGGTAAGATTTGTAATCCTGTCTTCCCTGGTCTCTGCAGAAGCAAGAATTTCCTTCCCTTCTACACTACTGTCTTGAAGCCACGGCATTAAATGATACTCAGGAAATTATAAGTTGCATAAATCAAAATATTTTGTGTGTACTTAAGCTGTTATACTGTTATCACCACCATATCAATGTCCAAGCTCTGAAATAATTTAACCATATATTTCAACCTATTCATTATGATAAAAAAAACCTGCTAGATACACTGAATTTTAAGAAAACTACACTGCGCATGAAATAGTTTAGCAAAAGCAAAATCAAGCACTGGAAGACATCTTCTGTTCCATCAGCCAAAAAATATCCAACCCTTTAGACTGTATACTTATTTTCTGTTTAGCTAGTCATGCACCTACATATTCCCTGTCGCTCAGAGTAGGGGAGGGAGACTATTACAGTCTAAAAATTAAAATACCATATGGTTAAAAAAATTTACTGGTTTACCACCTGTGATGATCTCATAAAAAGTTCCTGAATATCCAGATCATCCAATAAAAGGGTTCTCCCAATCCGATGTACTGCCATGCTGACATGTGATTTGCTGTAAGGTATCTTAAGAAGCTTCTTAATATTCTAAAGCATAAAGAAAAAGACAAAAATTTACCAATCATTTTAGAATATTTACAGGCTAGCTAGCCCTACAGACTTTCCACATGGGTCAAACTGGACAGTGTGATACAATGTGTAAGCTTTAAAGAATAGCAAGTAAGTCACTCATCTCAACAGCAGCCAGAAACCAGCTTAAAAATGTTTTTGACAATGACAAAATTCAGATATCAAGCCAAACCATGGTTAAGATAGCTGAACTTTATTTAGGCCGAATCTACATTAACAAGTCAATATTTGTAGAATGTTGACAAACCTGAGTCAGAAAATGTGGTTTGGAAGATATGTAAGTTTACAAACCACTGTTTGTGTTATTGTTTAATAGGATATTCAACTTCATAAACTACAAATACGGACTCTGCTCATTTCCCAGAGTCACTGTATCTAGACCTCAGAATGCTGAGCAGACAAAAACATGATGTAAACAAGCAGTTCAAAATGGTCTGCCTTAATATTTGGCACACCAAGCAATGCCTTGCAGGAAAGATAATGTTCGAGGTGCAAAAGTTATAAAGCACTTTTTTACTGCATCAGGAGGATATTTTGCACATTTATTTCCAAACTTATCTTCATTTGTTACCAATCATGTATGTTCACCTAAAATACTGTTTCCTCCCCTTTCCTCATCTAGTAAAATACTACTCTAGTATGAAAATTACAACATTATTTGAGTTACTACTGTTTCTTTTAACAGAAAAACAGGAGTTAAGACAGTTTTTAATGTTTACCTGCTTTTAATTAATAATTGTATTTTAATTTAGTGTATAATTTAATTGTTTTTTGAAGTTTTACTTATTATGCTTTTAGTACTATTCTCTTAATATTGTGAGCCACCTTTGGTCCCCTTATTGGGAGAAAGGCAACCTATAAAACAAACAACAGAACAAAAGGATTGGGCCACCTCTGACTAACTTGTCTATTTAAGAGTTGTCGTTTTAGAAGAGGCAGCTGTGTTAGTCTGTGCTAGCATATCAGGCCAAAAAGAAAAAAGAAAAAAAAGAAGATAAAAACGTGGCACCTTGAAGACTATATTGCAATATTTTAATGTGAGCTTTCATGGACAAGTCCACTTCCTCAGACATAAGAGTGGTACCACATGACAAATATTTATACATTTGCACATGGCCCCAAAACAAAGAGACTGTTTCCTGGACACAAGTTGTTGATAATGTAGCATTTCACACCTGGCAATGACCTTTAAGACCTCTGTTAACATTTATTTCCCCTCCCAGGAAGCATTTAAGTGTGATCTCTTGTGGATTACAATCCATTTTTAAAAGATACGCACCCTTAGAGACATACATCAAGAACCGTTTCAAATTTAATATTTTACACACCAGCTACATTAAAACAATAGCTAATACAAGAGGACTCCTATATTAACTGGGGATAGTTCAATGCTCCCACTGCAGATGGATGAAATCATGGATATTAGCAAACCCATTAAAAAGAGCAAGAGGTGGGGAACAGTGCGAGGAGGAAGAAAGCGCATATGCACACTGTGGGCTGGGCTGCAGCAGCGGCAATGATGGATAGCTGAAACTGCAGATACTGGTTCTGCAGATATGGGGGTACTACTGTATAACACGGAAAGAGCTTACAAAAATACAAGGAAATTCCAGAGAGTAAAATATACCATTACAACTGTCACATATAATTCTCTACCCATTTTCATGCAGGTGATAAAGTTCTGCTTTGTATAAAGAGTAGTGAACCCTGCAAGTGGGATCTGAAGACCTTAGGAATAGACCTCAACAGATGGGAACCTTTGACATCTGAGCGTTCAGCCTGGAGGCAGGTGGTGCAGCATGGCCTCCCCCAATTTGAAGACACTCTTGTCCAGCAGGCCGAGGCAAAGAGGCAGTTCCGAAACCAGCAAAATCAGGGAGCTGGACAGGGGACAGTTTGTGTTTGTCTTCAGCGTGGAAGGGATTATCACTCTCGAATCGGCCTTCTCAGCCACACCAGACGTTGTTTCAAGACCTCTATTCAGAGTACATTACCACAGTTTCTTGAGACTGAAGGATGCCTACACAGTGAACCCTGCATATTTCCACTCAGAAACAAAATATTCCAAGGTGTTAACTCTCCCTTTTTCTTTTCTTCCCCCTGAAAATAGCACAAGAGGATGGCACCATGGCTCTCTGGAATACTACAGGAGGTAACTTCTAAGGTAATAGGGAATGGAAGAATGATGAAAGTTTATCCCCTCACCCCATCCCATTCATGAATGTTCAACTGAATCCAAGCCTTTTCTCCAAACAAAAGAGCAATCTTCCACTGGATTTTGCTTTCAAATACAGTTGTATTCTTATTTAGAATTAAAATGTAGAAGTGTCCTGTGTTATGTTAAGATTTACTACTCCAGTATCAGGAAATTTACACATTTAATTAGGTCAAAAATAGAAACAACTATCACACAAAAATACATTACGAGTTTATCACCCTCTGATATCATGAGAGTGGAAGCAGCAGAAGTCAGACAGCTGCTAATGTGCCTGGACACAGCTTGAGCCAAAAGTACCCTTCTTCCAGCTAACAAAAAACATTGGAAGTCCTTTCCCTGAGAGGTAGCACATGTCTAACATCAACAAATAAATTTACCGTATGCACCTCCAGATAATACTGATTAAAAACAAAACAAAGTCCAAGTCTCAAAAAAAGGATTTGTTTCTTTATGGGTAATTTTAGCAGTAGGCTTTTTAAGGGTAAGGCCAACGAAATGGTCATGCTAACTATCTGAGGTTATGTCCTTCATTATGTTACCGCATAATATACATACCTCTGAGTCAGATACAACATCCACATCATTTCCTATTGAATCGATAAAATCATACGCCATACCAAAGCTATTATAAATTAAAAAAATAAAAATATATCATGTACCATTTGAAGTAATTATCAAGTACTAAACTTTATCCAAAGCAGTTTTACTATAATAGGCAAAATCTTGTTGCCTTAGTTATTCTGGAATAAGCTAAATAAATTGAAAGCTTTCTATCCATTTTCAGGTTCCAAGGCTCCCTACAGCTCCCATTTGCTCTGGTGAAGCCTCGGTAGCCTTGGGATGGGGGGGAGGAACCTTTAATAGTCAAACATTACTGTCAAATTACCACTGTTGGAATCAGGATCATCGGCAGTGATTTTTGACTATAACAAGCTCCTACCCCCATGTTGAGGCTCCCTCAGAACAAAAGGGAGACTAAGGAACTTCAGGACCTGAAAGGAGATGAGAGGAGATGAAGCTTTCAATGTATTTAAATTAATTTCCAGAGCCTGTCTCCAGGATTTTGCCCATTATCAACATTAACCAACATTATAATTACATATTTACTCACTATTACAAATCATTTCAACAACATAAATATAAATATTAAGATGGAGGGCTGGATCATGTATGACATTCTGCTAACGGAAAGAAAGAGGCTGTTTGTGCTGCTTTCTCTTCTGCCTGCACCATTAGGACCCTTTTGAAACACTACAGGGAGTGGTACAGGAGAATCAGGTTGCATTTATATATTTAAACAAACAACACATACATGATTTCCCTAATGAACATAATGTAAACAAATGCTTAGATCATGTTTAAAAATGCTGGATGAAATCCTGCTGCTTAACTTACTCTAGAGTAGGCCCACTGAATCAGTGGGGATTTGGTGAGTCAATCAGTTGCATTGATTCAAATGGGCCTACTCTAGTTGCAACTTGCTAGCGTTTGGGTCTACTCTAGTGTGACTACACTAAGCAACAAGATTTCAGCCCAAGTGTCCAATGGAGCCAGGTCCACCAGTAATTGCCTGTATCATTAGTTATTTATAGAAGATGACTCACCAAATCCCCACTGATTCAATGGGCCTATTCTAATGCAATTTATTATGCCAAACAACAGGATTTCAACCACTTTTGTTCACAACCAGCTTGGCCTTTCTGCTACATTTCATCATACTAGTTATGAGCACATGATTTTCTACTGTGGATACAAAGCAGACTTAAGAAGCTTTGTTTTACTATAATCTAACAAGGTTTCTGTGCTACACTTCTATTCATAGCTGATTGCTATGTTAGGACATTAAAGCTACATACAAACTTTTTATGCACATACTAACAAAGTAACTCCGCAATTTAAATATTTCTGAAATGAGCCAAATATTTGCTATCTTCACAAAACTATATGAGTATATAAATAAAACATAATTAACACTGTCATTAAAAATAATTAAGTACCCTGAAAATCCTACAATGTATTTATAACACATACTATATGAGCTGCCTTTTATCCCACCTGAGTATCTTTACTACTTACCTTGAAAATGGTTTGCTTTTCTTGCTGTTTCCAAGAATAGTAGCACCTGCTGGTCCCAGTTTGGCACTTTCACGTAACCAATTTGCAGGAGGAAGTTTCAGATCGGTCTTCTCTTGAAGACGAGCAAACGCTGCTTGTGGTGGAGCAGATGAATATTTTACAACAGCACTGCTTTTTACTTCATTGCCTCCAAGAAATAATACAGATCTCTAATTCACAAAATACGAAATATTTAATTAGCTAAGAGATTCTAATTCAATGACTTCTATTACAAATGTCATTATATACAGCTTACATTAATGCAGTTTCATTCAAAAAAGCCACAGAATGTACAGTAAAAGATGTTGACACTTCAGATCTAGGTACTAATTCTTTCTAAACAAAAGATAACACCAAAATATAATATGGCTAAAATTCTCACCCATGGAATAGTTTGGGCAACAGATCATAAATTTACTTACAGCAACAAATCATCTAGTACATTCCATAAATCCACAACATTTACTTGTTTAGGTAAAGAGGAAAAGAGATGAGAATTTAGGGCAATGGTATAATTAAGAGAAAGGTAACTGTGTGTCCCTCAGAAAGCAACTGGACCACTGCAACAGTGCTTACGGATATGGTAGACCCTTGACTTACAGACTTTGAGTTACAGACTTCTCTGGCCGCAAAATTTAGGTTCGACTTGCAGCCTGAGAATCAACCTACACACCAGAAAAAAACCCAAAATGGAACAAAAATGGAACAAAAACAGCCAGTTGCAGGATTAATCAGTTTTCAATGCATTGTAGGTCAATGGAGACTCGACCTACAGACTTTTCGACCTGCAGCCACCGTTCCAATACGGATTAATTCCATAAGTAGAGGGTCCACTGTACCTAGCACTGTCTGGATTTCACCCCCAAAATCTGTACACCAACAAACATATTGCTTATTGCTAACATCACCTGAAAACATACTGATGTGTAAGAATGGCAGTAGCATCATCTTTCCAATGTTTTATTTCATTAAGTTTCAAGTGAAGGAGAAAATAAAAGCTTCAAACAGAAGCAGAAAAGAGAGGAAGACATACAAAGCAAATAAAAAAAGAGGAAGATCAGCAGTGATACTGAAAAATTCAAATTGATCTTATATTAAGGCTAAATCCTAGATCTACAAAATTTGAAAGACTACTAATATATCACTTCGTGTCAGGAATGTTGCAAACTACAAGGTAGATACGTAGGATACAGCAGTGGAGATACACATTAAACTTTCTGGGAATCTAATCCCCAATCTACTAGCAAGTACTGAAGCTCACTCCTCCCTTCCAGCTTTCACAGCTGAATTAGTATGGGCCAGAAACTACATAAACAGGGTAGTTTTATTTGTGGACCGGAAACAAAACTAAACCTACCTATCTCAACATGGGAAATGAAACAGTAGCCCTGTAACAAATGCATAATACTTCCTGTAACCATAAGGCAGGGTAACAATGCATTTTTTCAGTTACAACCAAAACATAACGCCATGTCACCCCTAACACATACTACAGTAAAGGTTTCCAATGTATCTCAATATCTATTTGAATAAAGAGGAAATACTTTCTTAGTACTGTATGTCATTGACTACTTTGAGGGATCAAAATACATTTGTTAAGTGACAGAGAAGACAGGGAAAAGCAATTTGAGGAATGCTCTGGATACATCTACCGCACAATTGCACTCATTTCACACGCTAGCAAGGTTATGCTCAAAGTCCTACAAGGTAGACTTCAGCAGTATGTGGACTGAGAACTCCCAGAAGTACAAGCTGGATTTCGAAGGGGCAGAGGAACTAGAGACCAAATTGCTAACATGCGCTGGATTATGGAGAAAGCCAGAGAGTTCCTGAAAAACATCTACTTCTGCTTCATTGGCTATGCAAAAGCCTTTGACTGTGTGGACCACAACAAACTATGGCAAGTTCTTAAAGAAATGGTAGTGCCTGACCACCTTATCTATATCCTGAGACATCTTTATGTGGAACAGGAAGCAAGAGTTAGGACTGGATATGGAACAACTGATTGCTTCAAAATTGGGAAAGGAGTACAACAAGGCTGTATATTGTCCCCCTGCTTATTTAAATTATGCAGAATACATCATGCAAAAAGCTGGACGGGAGGAATCCCGAACCAGAATTAAGATTGCCTGAAGAAATATCAACAACCTCAGATATGCAGATGATACCACTCTGATGGCAGAAAGTGAGGAGGAATTAAAGAACCTCTTAATGAGAGTGAAAGAGGAGAGCACAAAAAATGGTCTGAAGCTCAACATAAAAAAAAAACTCTAAGATCATGGCCACTAGCCCCATCACCTCCTGGCAAACAGAAGGAGAAGAGATGGAGGCAGTGACCGATTTTATTTTCTTGGGCTCCAGGATCACTGCAGATGGTGACAGCAGCCACAAAATTAAAAGACACCTGCTTCT